AGCTTAGCTATCTCTATCAGAATCAACTCTAAACCAGTTTAGTTTGATTTATGAAAGAATTTTAGGAGGAGAAAAAGCGGTTTTTTTACACTGAAATGGTGAGAAAAGGTAAGGCTATAGGCTTGACAAAAATTCCAATTTTTGAAGCTAAAATTATTTGTCTAAATAGATACTCAGCTTAGCTATCTCTATCAGAATCAACTCTAAACCAGTTTAGTTTGATTTATGAAAGAATTTTAAGAGGAGAAAAAGCGCATCTTTTTACACTGAAATGGTGACAAAAAGTGAGGCTATAGGCTTGACAAAAATTCCAATTTTTAAAACTAAAAATAATGGTCTAAATTGAAGCTCAGCTAAGCTATCTCTATCAGAATCAACTCTTAACCAGCTTAGTTTGATTTAGGAAAGAATTTTAGGAGGAGAAAAAGCGATTTTTTACACTGAAATGGTGACAAAAAGTAAGGCTATAGGTTTGACAAAAATGCCAATTTTTGAAGGTTAAAATATTTTTTTAGAAATAGAAGCTATACGAAACTATCTCTATCTGAAACAATTTTTATCCTTTTTTGTTTGATCAGGAAAGAATTTTAGGGGGAGAAAAAGCGGTTTTTCACACCGAAATGGTGACAAAAAGTAAGGCTATAGGCTTGACAAAAATGCCGATTTTTGAAGCTAAAAATATTTGTCTAAATTGAAGCTCAGCTAAGTTATCTCTATCAGAATCATCTCTAAACCAGTTTAGTTTGATTTATGAAAGAATTTTAGGAGGAGAAAGAACGGTGTTTTTTACACTGAAATGGTGATAAAAAGTAAGGCTATAGGCTTGACAAAATTTCCAATTTTTGAAGCTAAAAATATTTGTCAAAATTGATACTCAGCTAAGCTATCTCTTTCAGAATCAACGCTAAACCAGTTTAGTTTGATTTATGAAAGAATTTTAGGAGGAGAAAAAGCGGTTTTTTTACACTGAAATGGTGCCAAAAAGTAAGGTATAGGCTTGACAAAAATTCCAATTTTTGAAGCTAAAAATATTTGTCTAATTTCAAGCTCAGCTAAGTTATCTCTATCAGAATCATCTCTAAACCAGTTTAGTTTGATTTATGAAAGAATTTTAGGAGGAGAAAGAACGGTTTTTTACAATTAAATGGTACCAAAAAGTAAGGCATAAGCTTGGCAAAAATCGCAATTTTTGAAGCAAAAAATATTTGTGTAAATTGAAGCTCAGCTAAGCTATCTCTATCAGAATCGACTCAAAACCAGTTTAGTTTGAATTATGAAGGAATTTTAGGAGGAGAAAAAGCGGTTTTTTTACACTGAAATGGTGATAAAAAGTATGGCTATAGGTTTGACAAAAATGCCAATTTTTGAAGGTTAAAATATTTTTTTAGAAATAGAAGCTATACGAAACTATCTCTATCTGAAACAATTTTTATCCTTTTTTGTTTGATCAGGAAAGAATTTTAGGGGGAGAAAAAGCGGTTTTTCACACCGAAATGGTGACAAAAAGTAAGGCTATAGGCTTGACAAAAATTCCAATTTTTGAAGCTAAAAATATTTGTCTAAATTGAAGCTCAGCTAGGCTATCTCTATCAGAATCAACTCTAAACCAGTTTAGTTTGATTTATGAAAGATTTTTAGAAGGAGAAAAAGCTGTTTTTTTTACACAGAAATGGTGCCAAAAAGTAAAGTTATAGGCTTGACAAAAGTTCCAATTTTTGAAGCTAAAAATATTTGTCAAAATTGATACTCAGCTAAGCTATCTCTATCAGAATCAACGCTAAACCAGTTTAGTTTGATTTATGAAAGAATTTTAGGAGGAGAAAAAGCGGTTTTTTCCACTGAAATGGTGCCAAAAAGTAAGGTATAGGCTTGACAAAAATTCCAATTTTTGAAGCTAAAAATATTTTCTTCAAAATTGAGGCTAAACGAAGCTATCTTTATTAGTATCAATTTTAAACTAGTTTATTTTGATTTATGAAAGAATTTTAGGAGGAGAAAAAACGGTTTTTTGCACTGAAATTGTGACAAAAAGTAAGGGAAATAGGCTTGACAGAAGTGAAGATTTTTCAAGTCAAAAATATTTTCTTTGAAATTTAAACTAAACGAAGCTTTCTCTATCTGCAACAATTTTAATCCTGTTCAGTTTCATCAGGAGAGGAGAAAAAGTGATTTTTATTGGCACTTAAAATTTGACAAGAAGTAAGGCTATTGGCTTGAGAAAAATTCCGATTTTTGATGGTAAAAATATTTGTCAAAATTGAAACTTAACGAAGCTATTTTCTTCTGAAACAACTTCAAATTTGGCTACTGCAGTAAGTCTTCTAGAAGAATGTGCAACATTCTATACTACTTTAAATTGTTAAGTTGGACTTTAAAATGAAAGGCCTGTATCAACTTAAAACCATCCTGTCTGAAGCTACACTAAAAACTAAAGTTCTTGATAAGACTTTGTAAAAATTTGGATATTGAAATATAAAATCCTTGTCTTTATATAACTTTATTCAGTTTTCTTATGTAGGGATACAGCACGGCTTCCTTCTCTTCTTATGAGATGCACGTATTTTCGTTTAGTAGTTTTGCCTTTAGAAAGCCTTGGCTGCAAATAATTAGGCCTCTTGTGGCCTAGAGAGCTTTCGTTGTTATCATCTGTAAGATGAAGCAGCCAAACTGCCACTTTATAGATGTCGTAAATAAGCGACAGGTAAAGAAAAGCTATTGAAACTTGAAAGAATCGCTCATAGTACGACATGTCTGTAGCCTTGATTTGTGTTTACTGCCAAGACATCGAGTGAATAAAATGTTCTTTTCGAATCTAGGCACGTCTATGCAAATGGTTCAGGAAATCTAAATACAAGTCTTTGCTCTCCTCACCTGCTGCTAGTGTAGTATCATTTATTTCATAGCCACGCTTACACCTAAAATGAATCAAATCGATAATTAGTTTCACCTGTTTAGCGATTAAATTTAGATTATAGAGAACATCAACGATCACGTTAATGATCACATTTTAAATAAAGGCCAATAAATGGTAGCAAGTTGATGGTTTAAAAAATTCATATCAAGAAATGCTTCTTTTTATGATAAGTAATTTTCCCATCAGTCAATAAAATTGCTTATTTCTGCTTGTTAGATATTTTTGTTGATGTTTAAAACCGATATCAAGATATCAAGCAAGATACACCTCCAGGTTTGTTAACTTTTAAAAATTTCTTGCATTTTTCTTCTTTATTACAAAATACACAACACAGCTCTGGAGAATAATAAATTATTCATGATACATATACAATGCCGCATTTTGCTAAAAAGAAATCAAACATAATAGCTTACATTGTGTTAATCTTTTATTGCTTTGGAAGCACTTGATATTAAATAAATTGTTATTTTATCTTCATGTACCTGCATGAACGTTACGTTAATACGAGTAGTTAATGACAAAATGAGGTTTCCAAGATGACCAAAAATTTCTCAAAAATTGCAGAAACGTTATAATTTCTATATTTGCGACATCTAGATTTGCGTTAGTAGACATGAAATGATTGACGTACTTTTAAGCAAAATAATTGAATCTATTCTGCATAACAACGATTCTTTAATCGAATATTGCCAGGTGCGTTGAGTTTATTAACATCGATAGGTTGCAAGTTATAAATGTAAACTGCTACTATTCTGATCTGTTTTCAATCTATTCAGTTTCATGTCCATAACTCAACTTCGATCAAATCAGCATGAATAAATAAAGACAGAAGCTTAACTAGAACAGTCCTGTTTAAAAAGCCTGCAATTATTATTCATCAATACCAAAATTTTATTACTGTAATGAAATGTTCAGATGTTAATCTTGCCTAAAGAACTCACCTGAAAATACAGAGCCTGATTTCTTGTTTCGATAAAACCTTGTTCCTTTCAATGCAATACTCCTTCCAATGAAAGTAAACGAGTTTTAATTCTAACCGTTTCTTTCACGCCGTTTTTGTAGCAGGTGCGTTCAGTTTTGCTATTAAGTAAATTCAGAGCTTTGTTGTAATGTTTTTTCTTATGAATTTCTGCGTATGTTTAAAGCGATTTCACTTGCCATTGGAAACAAAGCCCATAATTTTTCCCAAACTACACTGAAAGTTCTTTATTTATTAAAGAGCCCTCATCATTTGTTGCAATAAGTTTATCTTCTTCTGCGATCGTTGGACACGTTTAAACAGATTCAATTTGCATAAGATTAAATATCAACCTGAAGAAAGAACAATATGTTTCCCTTAAAGTACTTGCTCCTTTAAGCTCATTCACAGCACCTTTCGTGAGCTTATAAATCACATTAGATTTAACGATAGCTACTAGGCACGTGTTCATATGAATCGCAATAAGCAGACCCATACTAGATAATAATTGTTTTAAATTTCTACTTTCATCCATCTCTACTTTCACTGTAGGTTAAACTGAGAATTTCCCTTGTGAAGCAAGTTTTATTGGTTTTTTTCTTTTGAGATTTTGCTGAAATTCTTGTCTGCAAAAGGAAATTAAAAAATGTTGGAAAGTTGCAATAAACAATGTTAAGTGAGTAATAAATTTGTTACTCTTACCTGCATTTGTCATAAGTACTCCATGTATGCCGGTATGAGAAAGACATTCTCATCTCAGCAATGGGTTGATTTTGTGTGAATGACATCCTTTAAGGGTTTCTTAGTGACACATATAGCTCAAGAAAAAAGCATTTGGCTAAAAAACAGTATATTAAGTATTAATAAGAAAACAAATTTAGAGCAGTAGAATAGGTTTTGGAAAGGATATGTCATACAGAATTGGTAAATGGCCTTGAAAAAAGCAAACATTTTGAAACATAGTAGTAAAGCTTTTCATCTGACAACCTTCAGAGCATAAATGTCATAACAAAGATTTAAATATCTACGCTAAGAAATATATATATACCCAGTTGTTGATCAAAAAAGTCCAATCAGAAACACGAGCACATGACTGTTGGATTGTCCAATCAGAGCCACTTGCCTTTTGAAAATGCTACCAATGGAGTCCTTAGGTGAAAACGAACTCTTTTTGTCTACACAATAGTGGCTTATTCATGTCTATCTAAATAAACACAAAAGAGTAAGAGAAGGTTATAACAGAGTGAATGTATTGTCAAGGTGGTGCATTTCATAGAGAGATTGAATTTAGCATCTCTTAAAACCACATGACTGCAAATAGCTTTGGGTTGCCAAAGTAAAGATTAAGAGGGATTTTGAAAGCTCTCTAAAGCTGCACGGAAACAAAAGGGAAATGGCACTTTTTCTTAAAAAAGGCAACACTTTTCCAAAATTTTTCAAGACAGCACATCTAAGAAAACGAGAGCATTCCTTAAAATTCGGAGTATTTCTTTTGTATCCCTCATTTCTGATGTCCCTGAAGTTTCAAATATTTTAATAGAATAAAAAGAAAACACCAAATATTATTTAAGCCTAAAATCAAGAGTAGAAATAACATTAGCAAGTCAAACAACTACCTTTTTGCTAATACTTGCTTAGGTCAATAGTACACTTGCTCTTCTGATAAACTTCATAAAAAAACCCACTGATTATCAACCTATAGGTAAAAATTCAAGTAGTACAGTTCTTTAACCAGAATTTTTAAATGTAATTTACACATGTAAGAATTTTCGACGAATTTTACAAGCAAAATATGGAATCTTCAAAAATATGTGCTTAACTTTCACCAAAATATTTTCTACAACTTTATACAAAATGTTTAATTCATAAAATTATGTCGATCTGTACATAACCTTTCAACACGCAAAAATGTTCAAATGAATATACAAAATTAGCAAGTTATTTACAAGAATGTAAAAAAAGCCTGATTAAATGAATCCAAAATTTTCTTTCCTTCTGAAAAAATCTGAAATCTGAAAAAACTATTTACAGAATCTTTAATCAATTGCTTATTATACAGAGCTGTTATAAATATTTTAGATTTCTTCGAAACCAGTTGCTGTTATGAGGCAAAGCGGTATTTTCCTTAAATGCCTCAGTGGCCTTAATGTAAACAGGGAAGGTATGTAGTAAACATGTCGCATTATCGGCAGGTATGACCATTATTGAATATGTCTGGTTACAATTATCATCAGAACAAACCTGTGTCTACGATTATCTTTGGTTTTTAAAAACAAACATAGACGTTTCCCACGTTTTCCGCGAGTCTGTTTTAAAAAGAACATAGTCTTTTTTTAGCAATGTTTCTATGACAATATCTATTGCGGCATTTTTGAAATTGAAAGAGAATGGAAGGGGAGGGGAGGGGAGGGGAGGGGAGAGAGAGAGTTCGAGTCAGTTGCGTCGCTAACTCGAAAAATTTGAAGCTGTCAAAAGAAATGCTCAATCACTCCCTTTAGACTCTCAGAAAACGTGGGAAACGCCTTTTTTAGTATTTTTGATCTTTTTTTATTTTTTTGAAAATCAACTTTCTTAAGCAGCCCTTTGACAAGAACAAAAATCGAAATCGATCTGATGAACCCCCTCTGGGAAATTTGAGGTGGGCGTGTCCTGCTCGGACGGCAACAACACTGCTCGAGTTATCTCCCAGGAAGTTATTTATGGTTCAGCATGTTACTTAAGAATTCTAACGAGCAATTGTTAAGTAGCATATGCCAGAAAAGTGCGAATGTCACAGAGCTGTAATGAAGGGGGTTGTTTACACTAAAGTCAAACTAGGCTTGAATATTTTGAGCCAGAGAATACGACATGCTGCTTCATATAGGTACACTGTAACGTAGAAAATCAATCCCAAAGCTCTGCTTGTACCATCTTTTTGGATGCTTCTTGGATTTTCTTCCTTTGATCCACAACATCAATATCTGGTCTAGATAGAGTTGATTTATCACCAGGCATTGCCAGTTGTGGTTCATCATCCTCAACGACTTTGATTTTTGTATATGATGCATACACCGATGGTATGCTTTTTATTCCTTCGCAATGAGGAAGAGTCTTTGATAAAGGTTTCAACGACCAAGTGACTTCAGAATTAATACATTGCAACGTTCCACAATCATTTTGATAGATTTCTTCACTATTTATAATCCTGTTTCCATCAATGTAACAATTCCCATCATCAGAACGCATAAACTCCTTTTTCTGTCCATCGGCAGTCTCAGCTTGGAAGGCAATCATACCATTCTCTAAGAGTTTGTCGGAATTACCGTCTGCTTTCTTTAATGCGTAATTTTCACGCTTTTCCTCAAGCATCTGAGAGAACTCTTTCCCCCGGCTTACAATTGGTTTGATATCATTCTCAGGCCTAAGCCCATTGTCAGTATATTTGCTAAGTTCTTTTTCTTCGGATTCTACTCGATTAAAAATGGATGATACGCTAGGGCGCAAGAATACACCACCATCTCGAGGTAGCCGAATCATTGGCACAAGGGACCTGTCGAATTCACTGTCTTTTATCGCTCGATTATCATTGAAGTTTATTCCAATATAGGCACAGAATACATGCTCTAAAGAACAGCAAACTGCCAATAAGATTGTTAGGAGGAGCGCCATGGGCTGCAAATGAAACATAAGCCGTAGGTTAGGCTGTGATTATGCAATAGCTTTTTTACAGCAGTCATCTTGGAGCAACCATTTTTTCTAAATGAAAATGGGAGAAAAACTTCCAAGTCAAATGCTGTAGTACTAATGAAGAAATTAGGGCAAATGTTAGGCTAGTTGCTTCATGTGCTACAAACTTCATCGGTTTTGCATCTGTTTAGAATAAAATGAAAGCATTTACTTTTAGATGCGAATTGCCTAGGACCTTCTTTATTGTCAGTAAATTTATCTTCTCGAGGACCGTTTAAGTAACGAGAGCTCTTTGGTTGCATATTGCTAGAATAGAAGTTTGGCTCAATAATTAAGAAAAGTGTTTGGCTGTTTCCTGGAAATTCGAAGAAAAGATTTTATTAGGAAGAACACATTTTGCATTTTGAATGTGCGGAAACAACTAATTTAACACATACTTTGCCCAATGATACATAGGCCCTACCGCTATTTGGTCCAAACTAAAAAGAACCAACTGTAAAATATTTAAACCCTATTTTCATTTCAGATAATGACAGTAGCGTTAAATTTGCACTTTCACTTGCATTAATACTTTGGAGCAAATCCTAGGCAAAAGCCTCATATCGCTTTTGTGTGTTAACAAACGAATTATAAAAGCAAATATTGCTTGTATTCTGTTACTTAAAAGTATGAGATGCAATTTAAATGCTACGAATCATGTATTGCGCCGATAATATCTTAGAATATATTGAAATATGTACAGAAGATGCCTTAGACTGTTTCCTTGATGTTTAGTCGCATTTGGTAGACAATGAGACCACTAGCAAACAGTCTTACTCATACTCATAGCAAAGTTTTGCAGATAATTAATAATAAACATTGAATCAAATATATGCTTGTTTAAAATATTCATACCTCCTCCTGGTTGATACTGGAACCAAAGGTTTATATTGTTTGTCAACAAACTATAAACTTACGAGAAAATATAAAAACTGCTACGCTTAGAATTCGAAATTAACCCTAAGGTCATGATCGACAATGATCACAAGATGAATAAGAATTGGCTTTATGTGAGCACCTGTTTTCTTTCTTAAAAGGGCTTTTAACAACACGTTTGATGGATGTCACTGACATATTGTGTATCATTTAATTGATAAATTAAAGCTACTGAACCGGTAAACTAAAGAAAAATTATACTTACTTGATGATTTTAGCTTTTCTGACAAAATGAGCCTACTTCAATGGAAAATGTTTATTGCTGCAAATGTTACATTGGTTTAGAGTTTGTTTTGAATTTAAACCCAATCTGCAGAGATTCCAAACTAGGTCTGCAGAGATTCCAACCTAGGTCCTGTGTGTGACGTTTTCCGTTTCTAGTGCTCCTGCAAGTCAAATGTCACTGATTATTAATTTGGAATTTTTGTTTTAGCCCGTATTACAATCAACAGTTTTCAATAAAGTCCATTCTATCGTAATTATGACGGCTTTAGGTCAACAGCTTAAGAATTTTTGTATTGGCAAACCTTATCTATGATCTGTAACAAGGCCTATTTATAATATGCAACAAGGCCTTTTTCAACATGCTAAATGGAGGGGGGGGGGGCGAATACTCCTCCAGCCCAGTGATCATCAATCCTTTTAAACTATTGGCTGTTGTCCTTCTATTTACCTAGACAAAGACTCTTTTTTCCTAGATGTGCAATCTTCTTTGTCATGATGTAAGGAGAAATCAGTAAGGAGAAATCCACCCCCCCCCCCTATCTGCAAATGAAAGCTCCAGTTTAATAGTAAATTGATAATACCGACTTTACTGAACAACTTCTCAGAAAATCACATTCTAAATGAATAGAAAAACAATTTTGTTTTTATTCGACATTTCACAAAAATTACTACCACAAGACTGGTTGATAAACTTAAATATGATGATTAGATGGCTTGGGTATAACAAACCATTGAAGTTTGGCAGTGAAGAAATGTCTAGCCATTGAATTCAAGGCTATCCATAATTTCTGTACTCATAATTTTAGTGCAATGTCGGAAAATAAAAATGAAGTAAAGGAATATTTTTCACTAATAATCTTCATGTTCATTCTAATAAATATTTTCCCGCGTACAATCACTGCAAAATTTACTTGGAATACCCAACACTTTGCGCTGTGCTTTTCTATTTTTCATTTGTTTTCCTGAATACTACTACTTCCATCCATATCCTCCTCAGAACAACGTTCAAAACATAAAAAAATATCATACAAGGCACAAGAAACATTTACCCAATGTCCCCTTTCTTTTTCTATGGCAAATCAACATTTTTTCTAGGGGGAGAGGAGGATTGCTGAAACTGCCTTTAAAAACTGACATTAGTGTGCCAAGACTTTTGGCAGTGATTACAAGCACTATTCACTATTTTTCAACCGTACGAAATTTTAAATAGCAAATATAATAAATTTGATACTTTTCATAACGAGAGGATGCCATAACAAAGCAGCAATAAATAAAACCTTGGAATTCGTTTTACGAAATAGTGGAAACATGGCAGCACACTAATTCCGTCCGAAACTCCTGAGTATATAAACGTCGAATAATGACCGGAAGTAAGCAGAAAATTCGTATGCTTGTCTGGTTCGGAAGCAAAGTTAGACGAAGAAAGACGCGTCTGATTGGCTCTTTACCTTATTACCAACCAGCGTAATAATACGTTTTGGCAATCTTTAACCCATTGCCCAATCCCATTTTATTCAGGTATTTTCGTTTTTGTAAATAAAGCATGGCTGTTCTTTCTTTGGAATCGTTTTTTGCCTGATGTTGGCGGGAACATGAGCTTTACTCTATCGACTATTCGCTGACTAGTGCCTTGTGTATAGACAGAATCCCTTTAAATGGAGGGAAGCATGAACTTATAACTATAGACCGCACGAGGCTTCACAGTGGAAAAACAATTTGTTATGGCATATTTTATTTGACTTAGAAATTTTGGTGAAACATTGCCAATTCGCGTCTTTTACAGATAAACAAGGAACCAATCCGAGCCAAAGATGTTCCTAGAAAAGAAATTAGCAATTTATTCTCTAAAACAGGTAAAAATGTATACCCAGAGTGTGCCAGAAACGTATACCCAGACATGGGTATGGGCTTTTTCTTGTGGCTTGTTTGATATTTCTCTATACTTTCAACATTATTTTGGGGGAAAGGGGGACGGAAGAAGTTGTATTCAGGAAAACAAATGAAAAATAGAAAAGCAGAGCGCAAAGTGTTGGGTGTTCCAAGTAATTTTGGCAGTGATTGTACTAGGTGAGAGGTTACCGGTCACTTTTGTTAAAAATTAAAAGCACCAATCACACGTGTCTCTTTTCCTTTCACGTTACTCTCGATCCACGCTGTAAAACGATTATACTCTAACAATTGTCGGACGAAAGTACTTCAGTATGCTTTGTTTCTACTATTTTGTGTTCTCCTTAAATTTTGCGGTAACAAAATTTATTTTACGTTTGGCTATTGTCAAGGCGCTTCTGTTTCGTATTGTAATGGCGATGAAATCATAATATAAAACTAAAACTAATTAAAATGAAATTGTACTAGGATTAACTAACGAATATAATCTTGCTGTTCTTTGTTGTTGGTTTGTTAAATTTGCTGAAATTTTCTTTAAAAACAATTTTGAAAAATCAATACAAGTTTGTTCAAGACTTGTTCAAGACATCCTGAAGACTTTTTCAAGGTTGTTCAAGGTTGAAGACTTTTTCAAGGTTGTTCAAGGTTGAAGACTTTTTCAAGGTTGTTCAAGATTCCATGTTTAGGCTTCGTTGCTACTTTATATACAAAACTATACATATATTATTAAGATAGAAAATTTAACAATTTTTACCAAAGTTATATTCATGAAAGGAAACAAAAGTACGTCAGAAGGAGTCAACAGCCAAGAAAATGAAATGATAACAGTGTACATTTAGCAAAATCGATTCAAAAGTGATGGGAACAAAAAGGACAGACAACCGTTATTAATTAAATGGAAAAGGGCTCTAAGTATCGTAGAAAAGAAACGGATAGAAGTGAAAAAGCTGTAACGATGTATTGTAAACGTTGTCTAAGAATCATCCTAGCACACATGTATCACACTTTTGTCAAAGAGCATCATTGTATCGGAATCTTTACTTCAAAGAGCTTTCCCTTTAAGTGCAATACCTAGTTACAAATTCAACGTTATCAATGGGAATTCTGCTAGCATGTTTCATCTTTTGCAGCTCCCCTTGACTTTGTAATGTACTCCAGTATGGAACTTCATTTATTGCTGTTTCTTAGGGGGAGAGTAGTACTTTTAGCATTAACAAGAGTTTACGAGAATGGTATTATGTCATCGTTAGGAACTTCAATTATAAGATAGCATCTTGTGGAGAGCAGTAAACTTAACATTAACTAGAGTATAAAAATGGTATTATATTTTCGTTGGGAACTTCAATTATAAGTAAGCCATAACCCTTACGTTAGTTAAGATATCTTTAAATTTACCATTTTGCAAGAAAATTAAACCTTGGGTCAGAGACGATATATTACCAGTAGATAACCTATTTGCGTTGAAAGCAAAGTGATCAAAGCAGTTATCTTCAATTTGCATTGGAAAAAGATTATCTTTGAAGTACGTCTTATCTCTTTGAAGACGCAAAAACTAACATAGAGGAGCCGGTTCCTAATGCTCAGCAGCGTAGCCACGTAGACCAAGAAGGCAGGTGAGATAATTCTTTCTGCTTAAGCAATTACCCAAAACTCATTAAATTGTGCGATTGCATGTACTTGACCTTTGCCCTTCTTGGTTTGATCACTATCTAGCCATTGCAAACAATCGTAATCTTGTTTACGACTGGATCGCATAATCCTCAAACCAAAAGGTAAATTTATTTTAACTTTATAAATATTGATATCAAATTAACGTTTTGTTTGCGAAAACGGACTTCAGGTATTGTTACAAATGCATCAGTTAACGATAAACAGTATGACAGGTGCATGTTTTTTCCAAACAATATTATTTTCAAGCTATTGTGCTCTGGGAAATAAGTTATGAACTAAAAATGCAGTCAAAAACTGCTGGTAAGTAAACCTGTAATAATGCTGGCAAAGTTCAGTTGATATGAAACAAGCTGAATAGCGTTTTACTAAGTAAGTTGAAGGAATTAGGAAGAATATAATCATATTTCAAAGCTACCTGTTTTCTTAAGCATCGTTGTTTCTTAAGATTGTTCTTTGCACGCCATCAAGATTTTTGTGCTATCATCTATTGAAACTTTCAGTAGTTCTTGTAATACTCGATGATTGAAAATTTTCTGGAATTAAAGCATTCAAAACTGTAAGATTCAGTCGTTTCAAGGTTCTATGATAGCATCTAGAAATATTTTTGTTATCAAATGGCGCAAAATTGCTCAAAAAACTTCGAAAGAGATAACAAATAACCAAACGATGAGATGATCGGATAAACGGAGAAATATCGACTTGTGATTTAATGTGGCGAGATCTGTTTCAAAAAATTTTATATTTGATATAAACACAATTAAGAATATGAAAAGACTCTTGCAACACGCGAACTCCTAAAGATAACTGAGAGTTTACAACGCTTGCCAAAATTACTTGGAACATCCCGCCATTTTTTTCTGTGATTTTCCATTTTTCATTCCATACAAGCCACAAGAAGCGCAAGAAATCCAAGAAAACAACACCATCCTTTAAGCGAGAAAGGAATAGCAAAATTCGCCTTTGAATGCTAACGTTAGTATTGCAAGAGTTTTGGCAGGGATTTCATGTCAAGTCAGACTGGCTACATAGCAGGAAACTAATTTGTATTCAGTTTAAGCAAATTTGGCCTAACATAAATCTTCAAAGTCAAATTTTTATGTCAAAGATCGATTTTCTTAAACAGATACTATCTATTTAAGAAGCACAATGATAGTTTCCCTGTTCAACAAATCTCAATTGCCACACTACGAATACTGCCAAAACAAACAAACTGAATACTTCTAACACAATTTTGCTAATGTTTGGTTAACTAGATCTTGCCTGGAATTCTTTGATGCATTTTAGTATAGTCTTTACATATCACAACAAAAAAGGATTTCAAACATGAGATTTGTTCTTAAAGTACAGCAACAATTAAATCTTATTCATTCATTCATTTCTCAGATAATCAAGATGAGGGCAGCAATTTGGATTTGCGTACTTCTTGGCATCTGTCTAGCGCTGACCTCAGCCGCACCCTTAACCGACACAGGTTTGAATTTTTGCATCAGCCTTATTATCAATATACTATCAATGTTTCACTCTTAGAAAGAAGAGTTCAGTCATTTGGTCTCTAAATTTACAGCGGGAGTCTCAGCATAATATAATATTCAGCATAAGACTGAACTTCTCTGAGTTTTCGCTGTTTGTAATAAAAGTGCAAAGAATAACATTGTTATGTAACAACATTGCAATAAGTAATGCTGTGTTGTACCAGCCTAGTCTTGCTAATTAGGCTTTTCTCGTGGCTTTTATATTAATAACCAGGAGGTTTCGGAATACTAATAAAAACAGAAACTATATTCTTCCATATTTCATAGTTTTGTTTGAAATTTCTCTTTATATAAATACCATGTTCAGCTAGGACGCTGGCCATTATGGTTCTCCGCAATTCCTACCCCTTGCTATTTGCAGCATCTTTTGTTCTTATACCTTTGATCTCCCCCTTTGAGGTGGTTGTGCTACCATCCATTTGCTTAGACTGCCTAAATAATCGCTGTCTGTTCATGCCCCCTTTACCTTCAATTGCTCCTGTTAATGTCAAGTTTTTTAGACTTTCATTTCTCATTATGTTACCAAACAACTCTAGCTGTCTCCTTCTGATCGACTTTCACTAGACTTGCTATTTCTGCTATTGGTAACACTTCTTCATTTGCAATGTTTTACACTCAATTAATGCTGTTGTTTGTAACAAAATTTCAATTTTTAATTATATCAAGTTTTTGCAGAACCCCATTGCAATAATTGCTTCATCCCAACCTATAAACCATTGTCTTAAGATAATGCGATATACTACATTAAAAAGCTTCTCACGTTGAAGTGACTTCCGTTACTTAACACCTCATTGCTCTTGTTTGTTTCTACTCTCTATTAAGCTAGCACAGACCAATTTTGTTTCAAGTGGAATTCCATGTTTCAAATGGAATAAGCTAAATCAGTTACAGAAATATGAAGTTTGTTACCTTTTTTGGCTTCACACCAACCAAAGTTTATCAGACACAACTGTGACTGATCCCATTTCATCAGCAAAACTACAAATATGAAAGTTGTCTAATTACAAATATGAGAGTACGCAGTATTTTTGAGAAAATTGATAAATCTTATTATTGAATTGATTGCTCTTTTTTTATCAAGACAAAGGCAATGATGGGCCAAAAGAAGATGCATCTAATCCTCCCGGAGAAGAAGGAAATGCATCAAGTGAATCTGCTCCAGAAGCTGGAAAGACCGATGAATCGTCATCAGAAGATGCATCTAACCCCCCTGGAGAGGAAGGAAATGCATCAAGTGAATCTGCTCCAGAAGCTGGAAAGACCGATGAATCGTCATCAGAAGATGCACCTAAACCCTCTGGAGAAGAAGGAAATGCATCAAGTGAATCTGCTCCAGAAGCTGGAAAGACCGATGAATCGTCATCAGAAGATGCATCTAAGCCCCCTGGAGAGGAAGGAAATGCATCAAGTGAATCTGCTCCAGAAGCTGGAAAGACCGATGAATCGTCATCAGAAGATGCACCTAAACCCTCTGGAGAAGAAGGAAATGCATCAAGTGAATCTGCTCCAGAAGCTGGAAAGACCGATGAATCGTCATCAGAAGATGCATCTAAGCCCCCTGGAGAGGAAGGAAATGCATCAAGTGAAATCTGCTTCCAGAAGCTGGAAAGACCGATGAATCGTCATCAGAAGATGCACACCTAAGCCCCCTGGAGAGGAAGGAAATGCATCAAGTGAATCTGCTCCAGAAGCTGGAAAGACCGATGAATCGTCATCAGAAGATGCATCTAAGCCCCCTGGAGAGGAAGGAAATGCTTCAAGTGAATCTGCTCCAGAAGCTGGAAAGACCGATGAATCGTCATCAGAAGATGCACCTAAGCCCTCTGGAGAGGAAGGAAATGCATCAAGTGAATCTGCTCCAGAAGCTGGAAAGACCGATGAATCGTCATCAGAAGATGCACCCAAGCCCCCTGGAGAAGAAGGTAATGAATCAAGTGAAAAAGCTCCAGAACCTGGAACCAAACGCTCTAAAGGAAAAAAGGAGAGCAAATCTACAAAGCGTGGCACTCTTACAAAGAGAGACAAGGGCAACAATAAGTAAGCGAACTTTAAGAATTTGCATTGTATTTTCAAGTTGCCAGAATTAAATACATATTTTATAGATATGTTAAAGATCTGAAATCGAAATTTTTTCTGCTGTGTGGCATGGTTACACTGCATTGTTTATGATTCAAATTCTTAGTAAGAATTAGTGACTGTTCAAATGCCACTCATATAATGGCAAAACTCTATGCTGAGAAAGTGTGAAGGCCAGATGGGCTCGATGAATAAACAGAAAATACATGAATGAAGTGAAAGCTTTTTTATACGTTAAAAATTCAGGCTTTAAAAAATATTCCGTCAAAAATCCTTTTGTGTTTTTACTAAAGTCCAATGGTTTTGTTAAAAAAAATTTCTACTAGAATTAGTAATGGACATCAAGATGAGCTGGTTAAAATTTGCAGATGATAAAGGTTACTTGTATCGCTTTATATATTCTTGACTGAAAATATATAAGTGGGAATAGATAAGCACTACACCTTTTTCCTGCTTTCTTTTGCTTAAAACTGAGACAAATCATGATTACTCGAAACAGTAAATGTAATATTTTCAGAGCTTCAGCAGTGGCCTGAGATTTGGTATTCAAGGTACCTGTTTGAAAAAGGAACCCTTTCCTTGTTCTGTTAATTTTAGTGCTTCGAGAAAGCATTAAAATACATTAAACTGTGTGCAATGAAAACTTGCCAATTTTGTAAAAGCAAAGAATGATAAACAATATCATCTACTTTATTGGTACTTAGCTTTTGAAGGTAGTTTTTAGGACAATTAACAAATATGCTTATCAAACAGTGTTCTGGTCCTTCCACTTAATGAGACCACAACGCCTTGCTATGTTCCTACGCCTTGAATTACAGGGAGATGGCTAATTTCTTCAATCTTACTAAAAAATGAAGCTAAAATTAACATTATAAAGAAATAGAAAATACCATTATGATTCAAAGTTTATGTTAAAAATCAGTCATGTCCAAGGAATCGACATGGTTTTGAATCAAGCCTACAGCTATTGGCATGAGTGGATGGTAATAAGGCTTTTTTGATTATTAGGACTTCATTGATGAATCATTGAAATCATCTAAGCCATTACAATGTCTTTATTCAAGCAGCATATCGATTCCTGCAATCGAGATCTCATTCAATTATTACCCGTATTAAATATGCATTTACATGAGACACCTGTTCAAAGAAAATAGCAACACTTTGTATATAAAGATGCTATACAAACTTTATTCTATTCATCAATCTTTACTTGAACCTAAACTGAACAATGATTATAAAACCAGAAAAACAGTTTTGGTGTGATGGTATAAGTCTCTATCAAATTTTTCTAACAATATCTTGGTGCCTGAATGCTATGTTTGAAAAAGGATTTCTTCCTTAAATTTGTTCTCACACAGATCAAAGTGTAAACACGTCAAAATATACTTTGAAAAGTGAGTAACGTAGCCTTGCAGCTAAACAGAGTAAGCTCAAGATTAATTGGTACCATGGAAAAAGAGAGAACATTATTTCTTGCTCAATGGACTCAGTATCAAAGTTGTAAAGAAAGTTTCTTTAAATTCAAAAATTTTAACTTCAAAGCATGGTAATTTCGCCTAGTGGATGATCTCAACAACTTTCTGGGAATAGCATTTACTGTAGTCAATTTTTTAAAGCTGTAAAGTTTAGTTCTGCATCAAAAAATACTTGTAACCAATAAAGCACAGGTTACTGCATGGAAAAAGTCCTAAAAATAAGATTCAAAATCGTCCTTCCAGGTTCAATTTGATACAGGGTAGCATAATAGTGCTTTTTGCCGTTCCTCTGTTTCAGGTTGCTTTCAATCGAAAACGGATTAGATAATTTATGGCAAAATCATGGTGTAATGCAGCAATATTGCATTGCACACATGAAAAAGACTGCGTTTAGTCAAAAGTTATAAACCTGCTTTGCTAAACATAAGAGGGTTTTGACATAAATTCGCAAGGAATTAGTTATTTCCTATACATAAGCAACAGAGACAGGTAAGCATTGTTTTTGCATTCCAAAGAAACACGGAAAATAAAATTTCTCTAGTAAGCAAAGGCCAAAGCAAAATGGTCACATTTAACATTACTTGAAATTTTATCACTAAGGCAGCTTGGAAAAAAGGTTCACAAGGGCTCTTCATTGGAAACATTGTAAAAATGATATTTATATCCAAATTTGCTTTTAGACCTTTTGTGTAGAGCTGAATAGCTTGATTTAATCTCAACTGGTAGAGAAATTATTCGTGTCGTTGGTCGTTTGCTAGAGTAATGCCCTGGTTGTGTCTCTCCCTCATACTTTCCCTTTGATTTTTTGTAGGCTGTAAAAACTTTATTCGATAACTTTGTTGTCAAACTGAGGAACGAAACTGTTTTGGCTTTTTTAGATCATGCAAATATAACGATAAAACTATTGAACACGGAAAGCAGGCCTATGAAGATGTATGTGGAAAGCTTGAATGCCGGGATGGAAACCTGGCCTGGTATTTCTGGCCAAATGCTGATTACTTCGAAGAGTGCCACGTGCCACCCCCACTTTCACATGGACATCGCCAACACAATGTAGATATTCCAGTACACGCTCATCACCATGCAATCCATGCTGTTGGCCTTCCATTAGGTCATGGACATAATCAATTCCATCATAGCCATCATCCTCATCAACTCCACTTAGACAATCACCATCCTTCAATGCCGGTAAATGTCCATATTGATCACGTGCATCACCCAGAACACATTGAGCATGCCCATGAGGATGTTCATGCTGCTACCGGACATGAAACAGGACATCCTGGAGGAAGCTGGGGAGTCGGACACGCACCTTACGGACTTGGATTCTAAACAGCATCATTGTCTTTGCCATGCTCGGCAAAATAAGCATTGTTGGTCAGTTTGATGACAGAGTGTTATGCAAAAGTCAATCAGACTGGAGTAGCAGTCACAGAACAGAATAAAGAACTCCACAAGTCTGCCTAATAGCAGAAGATCTTTTATTTCTATAGGATTGCATGTCTTGTAAAAACTTGTAATATATTATCAGAATTTTGCTCAATTGAATAAAGGAACTTGTTACTTTTGACTAGATCTTTCACATTACGTCGCAAAATTATCGATTGAATTGATATTCAGAGACTTGACGTCTATTTCAGACACTTTCAGTTGTACAAATTAAGTATCAGGTGGAACATGGTTAAAGGTTGAAAAATCAAACATATTTTCAGGCTCTGCATTGCATAAAGCAAGAAGAAGCTAGACATATATGCAAAGGAAGCAAAATGGAAACACTTAAAAGTATCTATCAGGGAAAAATGAGCCATGAAATTAGAAATGACAACAGTAACCAAACGGACAATTCTGATCCAAAGAACAGCATCTATAGTACAATTTGTCATCTTTGCATGAAATCTTTCAAAAACTAAAAGACTTTTAAGAAATAAAGGGGCTATTTCTCGGCATAACACTGAAGATATCTACATGAATGATTTTAAAGACTTTATGAATACTGAAACACTTTTAGACTTAATTTTTCGGCAAAATCATTATAGGAAACTGACAGCAAAGTATAATGCTTATAGAAACCAACAAAGCTTTTTCAGTAATTTGTATTCAATTTATTTGGCAATAAAGATTAGCATTTAAGAAAGCGTTACATCAGTTTGACCTCAAGCAAATTTCTATGAGAATTGTCAACTTATGACAAAACTATAGAAAAATACACCGATGTATCTTGACGATAGCATTCAACCTACGCTACTTCCAAACTAACGACAAACCTGCTTCTAACCAGAGAACTATATTTCTTTAAGGATTATTCGAAGATTAAGTTAAAGTTAAAATTGCAAAGACTTTTTAAAATTTTTATGACTTTACTTTGCCTATGAAGCTGAAAATAGAGAGAAAGATATCCAGCTTGTAATGCAGTGAATTGATTTAAAAAAAAACAATTATGCAAAGATCTGTCAACAAAGATTATACGATGCATATTATATCTAATTTGTGTCGATTAATTCCTTGATTTTACATGGTTATGTTTGCACTTTAAAATTGCTTTTTATTGGCTCACTGTTTGCTTACTTGGAACACAGTGCAGGAGAAAACTTGCTTGATTTTACTCAATCTATGATGGACAGCGTTTTGTAATTTGGCTCTTGTTCGCCAGCTTGTCCAAGACTGCTTTCAATCATTGAGCCTCTAGACTTCTACTGTTTCTTGCTGTTCTTCAACAGTATTTTCGGATTCCTCAATATGGGCACCATTGTGTCCGCCAAAGCCTAATCCGTGTCCACCATGGTGTCCACCTAAATGACCACCATGTCCGTTGCCATGACCGCCATGGTGACCGCCTTGGTGACCGCCATGGTGACCATTGCCATGAAATATAGGAAGAACATGCATAGAATGGCCATGTCCGTGACCGTGTCCATAACCATGACCATAACCATGATCGCCATGTCCGCCATACCCAACATGTCCGCCATGTCCACCAAAAGCATGATTACCGCCGTGTCCCAAACCATGGTGACCGCCGTGTCCAAAACCATGGTGACCACCGTCATGATGTCCTCCATGATGTCCGCCGTGATGTCCGCCATGGTGTGGGAAATGGTGGATGGCCGGCTCTGTGTCAACTACGTGATGTGAGCCTACATGAATATTGTCTATCTCATGGTTGTGTACCGTGTATCCATCCCCATGTCCCATGCCGTGACCAAGGCCATGTCTTTGTTCGCTACAGAAGCAAATCAGCTCATAAGTGTCTACATAGCAAATCAGTCAAATATTTATATACAAGTGACTTTCACTAGAAGATGCAGTTGGAAGGGAACGCAATTGAAACATTTTGCGTTAATGGGATGTAAACTTAGCTCATATTTATGGATTGGCCATAAAACTGGGGAAAACGTAATTGTAACATTATGGAACACAATTTTGCAGTTAGATCAGTTAGGAAGAAAAGTATTGCAGTAGACAACGACATCCTTCAATAAAGAGGATTTCTTAAATTATGCTGCTAAAGCTCGATTATCTAGCGCAAAAAAAGCTGAAGTATGTTTTCAAGAGGGAGTGAGCAAAGACGTGTATAGCAGCGTATGAGCGATGTCGAGCGGGACGCTTAGGCGAGAGGTGGGGTTCTTAGTAAGGAAGATGCCAAGAAGATGCCGATTCTTCCTTCCCAATTATTTCATTTTGTTTTTTAAACTTGTTTTTCAATCTGTTAATTATTAGAGCAATGTTAATGCCATTGACATCGGGAAGTAGATGACCCCGTTTCTTTTCTTGCTGTGAATGGCAAATCTAATGTCTATTGTATTTGTAGTTTAGTTTAATATGATTTGTTTATGTATAAAAAATTCATATTCAAAACCCTTGAAAATAACTCAAATTTTCACGCCCCTAAAAAAGGGATTGTACAATTGACTGAGCCGAAAAAAGTAACTTTTGCTCAAATTATAGACCGAAAAAGAATCCTGAGCACCCCTATCCTAAAAATAAATGAGTACCCTGGGATAAAAACAGGAAACACGTGCCTAATCGTTAAAAAAACCATTTCCACAAAATCATTAAAAGGGGAATTTTGAACTGTTTCTAAAGGTTAAGGCTGATCAGTACTAGAATCGTTTAAGTTTTTTGGTAATCTTAGGTCTCGATTTCATATAGACGATTTCTCGTAAAAATGAGCGTACTACAACTTTTCAATACGGCAATTTTTCATTTGTATTTGTTAATGATAGTGTTTCATAGCAGTCAATCTTTTTATTAATTTTTGTTTTTAAAATGATTGAATAAGTATCATTTAGAGGTACAAAATTTAAATTAAATAACCCATTTATCCAGTGGACCCACCTGCCTCTGTCGATGCCTATAAATGTCAGATAATTTTAAAACACTCTGCATTTTGATTAGCTGTTTCATGATTTTACTGAATGCAGCTGTTTATTTTGGTTCAGAGTAACCGATAGTTAACTCTCGGTTTCAAGTTTAGAAATAATTTCATTAATGAATAGATCAATTATTATTTAGGATGACTTCATTTAGGCGTAGGATGTTATGCAAGATATGCTTGTTCTTCTCAGGTAATAAATTCGAAAAAATTGTGCCATTAGAAGTTCCCAAAATGCTGAATAGCAACGTAATTGATGAATTTAGGCATAGGTATTTTCCATTGAACATTATGTCAAAGTCATTAGAATTTTCTCTTTCTATCAGTTTTATCTCTAAAGAGCGAATAAAAAACCTAAGTTTGGTATTTTTTGCTTGTGAAACGAGTTAATTACTGTCCAGAATTAGAGAGAAAACAAAATATTATACAGTTCTTCCTTTAATTTTCTATCATACAATAAATTGGTAGTTTTTACGTGAAAAATTATATATATTCCTAATGCTAGGTGTACAAAAGATTTATGGATAAGAAACTGTACAGATTGGGGGAATGTTCTTAATGTGTTTAGTGATGTCCGTATCCAGTTCCATGTCCGGTACCATATCCGGCACTATGTCCGGCACTATGTCCGGCACCATGTCCGTCTCCGTGTCCGTACTGGACATGTGTTCCATGGTGACCATGATGATTATCATGTAACACGTGATATACTTTTGCTGGCTCAGGCTCATGTTGGTGGTGTACGTGTACTACACGATGATGATCATGATGGTGTCCACCATGATGACCGCCATGATGACCGCCATGATGACCACCATGGTTACCGCCATGATGACCGCCATGATGACCGTCATGATATACGTTATGTTGGACGTGCACAGGAACGTGATGCTGAATAGGTTCGGTAACGAGGTGTTCATTTATTGGAGCAAGTGGTTGAGATACGATCAAGCCACCATGGTGGTCGTCACCGTGTCCACCGTAGTGTCCGGTGCCGTGTCCAGCACCATGTCCGGCACCGTGTCCTTCGCCATGCCCGATACCGTGTCCCACTGAGACGTCACCGTGAACAAGTCCATGTCGTTGATCTCTGTTTATTAACGTAAGTGTTGTTGTCATAGCATTTGCCAAGAGTATGCAAACGGTCAAAAGTCAAAAGTCAAAGTCAAAAGTCAAAAGTCAAAAGTCATATAAAGCAACGTTTAGATCCGTTTCTCGTAATTCAAAGTCCGTAATTTTAATAATTTGGAATTTATCTAAGTTTTGTGTTTTTGCTACCTTATTCTTGTACAATATTTGTTTATAATTTTTATTTATAATTTGTGCGTCTTAGAAACTGGAACTGAACGCATGACTGTTTTCAAGAATCAGTCACTTTTCATAACTGATTGATGAGGAATGAAACTGTTTTGATTTCATCAATTGCTTCATATTCGTTTGTAAGCTGCTTTGATTTAAGCACAAGATTCGTTTTCAAGATAATTTTTAGAGAATAGTTAAAACGAGACGAAAAGCTGCTTCCTAGAAAGGTGTGATTACTACTTAGGGGTGCAAATTGATGATTTTCAGTTGCATAGCTTGCGTAAGTTTTTTTAAAGTAATTGGCAGAGATAAGTAGTGAAGAGACCTGAGAAGATGGTATGGAATCAGAAGAAAAAGATTAGTATTGGAATATTGTATGGCCTATGAAGATATAGAAGTGAAAACAACAACAACATAAATGATATTTACCCTTCAGCCTCTTTGTCGTCCTCTTTCTTCTCGCCATCATCACCATCCTCGCTGTCATCATCCTTGTCGTCTTCGTCGTCATCATTTTTGTCATCTTCTTCATCGTCATCATCATCTTTGCCTTTATTTGGCTTTTGTGGTTGTGGCTGACCTGGTTGAGGCTGTTGTGCTTGCTGAGGCGGTTGCTGTGCAGGTGGCATTTGTTTCGCGAATTTCTTCTTATCGTCTTTTTTCTCGCCTTCTTCCTCGTCTTCATCTATTTGAAAGAAAAAGGACATGATATAGAAGAGAATTTGCAGAAACGCTGGAACATATAATTTCAACCACACCCAATTCTATCGAAGCTGTGGCTTCCAAAGTTGTTAGTATGGCCTTGAGATTTTCTTGATAAATCCCGCTCTGTAAAAGTAAGATAAAACGAACGATTCTTTAACAACTAGCAAGAATAACATCTGATGCGACTAACCTGAACCCCTGCCCAGAAAATCATGGCCTCAAAAAACAAACATTATAACTTATATAAAGGATTTAATTGTATACTGAAACTTTGCTTAATCAAACTCGAATACCGCAGTCTTAAATATAGAATCGCTAGCAAGAGGACAATCGAACCAAATAAATGACTTTCTATTTTCATGTGAAGGTCGTGGGCCTATGTTCTCCAAGCTCATTTATCTTATTCTCTAAAACATTATTGTGCATTTAAAGACAAACCAGGGGAAGTATGGCAATTAACAGTTAACATCACATTGAAAAGATGAGAATTCAAAGATATGAACCGTCGGTTTTGGTTGGAAGCGCTTCTCTTTTCTCGGCCTCATCTTCATTCACAACAGACACCTCCGAGGTTTGCTCATTGTCAATTGGTTTTGCAGCAATTGCTGCGATACCAATAGCAATCAGAAAGACCAAAGTCAGCTTCATTTTCTGCAATAGAAGACATCAATATCAATTGCTATTTCCTGTGAAATAGTACCATAACTGATCCTAAAATTGCGGGTATGTTGTTCAAGCAGATTGAATCTCCTCCAACGGTTACAAGCTACACAACTTCGTCAAAATCGATGTATTTCGTCTTATTATTTCTTTTACGTCTTATATCTTGTTTGCTCACATGAGAACATACATAAGCAAATGTTTAATGACAATTCTAAAGTGTTTTTACCAACAAAACAGAATAATGCAAGGTTGAAAGGAAAACAAAGGTTATAAAGAGAGGAGGTAGTGGTTACATAGATTATCAAAGTAACTTGATCCGCTTATACGAGTAAATACCAAAACGCGTAGAGCACTGACTAAACAGAAGAAGAATATAGAATATAGTCTGCATCCGAATTAAAAAGTACATCAAACAGACAATCCCTGCCAAAAATCTTACAACAAAAACATGAGTTGTCAAAGAAAATTCATCTACCCCTTCAAAACAATGTTAGTTTTATAAAAAGCAACCTAAGGTATTCAGAGCTACGTTTTACCTGGAGCTATATTCAAATGAAAAGAACATTTTGATACAGCCCTATCTATAGAATAGTACTATAACTAATCCTAAAGGCATTGTATCGAGTGTATGTTGCTCAAGTAGACTGAATCTCCTGCAACGATTACAATCTATTAAACTTCGTCAAAATTGTTCTTCAGGGAAGAGGGAGGAAATAGTGATATTTGGAAGAAGAAAATTATGAAAGAACAACGCAAATTGGTCGGTGTTCCAACAATTTTGGAAGGCACTTTAGCTTTCCAAAAAAGTCTCAATAAGATTCTTTGTTAGGACACTAGCTTGTCAAAACAATGATTATAAATTTGTTTCACTGCCACGTTTTACTTTAATTCACAGAGCTTGTCTCTACGTTCTTAATGTCTGTTTTAGCCCTCATCTATGTTACTAACCCACTCAATTAGATTGAACTGTACAAGAACATTCCAAATTATGGAGAGTTTACAAACAATTTCCTATACGGACAAACAACGACTCACCGTTTACTTTCCTCCTGTCGGATGTCAGAAATTAATTCAAAGCTTGCTTGCAAGGGTGGTGATTGTGTAGGGTACCAGCTCAAGCGATCAGTCTTATTCAGGTGCCAATCAGGTATTGATAGAAAAGTCACGACCTTGACCGAATGTTTACAATAGATAACTGGTTGACATTCAGACAAGAAGTAATTGAACATTACCTAAAATAGCAAAAATAATCAAGAATTACACCAAAACTAAGGCAATCCATATCACAGGATTCCAAGCTATCAAAATGCTGGTACCAGCGATTGATTTCCATTTTTATTGATTTCCATTCAACTTTTTATTTAGATAGAAATTTGTCTTTTAGTAATTGTACTCAACAGCAGTTAGCAGTCTTCAAATTCATTGGTTACTCTAAATTTCCTCAAGCATTACGGGTTTCACTAAAATACTTTCCAATTGTAATGCTGAAAGATAACTTCACTAAGAGATGAGAAGGAAATAGCATTTTATAAATGATTTTTGAAAGCTTTTAAACACTTTTTCAGAATTTCAGGGAGCAGCAAGGATATGATCAACAGAATATAGAACCGTTAAGAAAACTAATGATCGCACATTTTAAGTATGTGTTCGTGACTGATTTTCCAATAATTACTGCATTTATGGACAGTTTGTTAAACAGAACAATTCTTGCTGGTATTTTTTCGTTTAGAAGTTTTCTGGGACTCAATTACTAGTATTATTGGAAGTGGAACACAAGTGTAAGCACTTAAATGCTCTTAGCACGTCCAAATTTGGACATAGCCTCGCCTATGCAATTGTTATGTAAATTTGCAACGAATTGTGATAACAACTTCCATTAGATATCCAAATATAACCATCGAGATTAAGACGATTTATTAAAAAAAATGAGCACACAAGAGAACTATCGATTAAAATTTGAGACTGATTGAAAATGGACCAGTTTACAATAGGACCATAACTAGAAACTGCAGACAGGTAGAATAGGGTGTGCTTGCTTTCTATTTATATTTATTAATTAAACCACGTGGTGAAGCATGATTACCAGCCTTCTGGAAATGGAAATGGCCACACAAAAAATTACGGCAAAACACTGCACACAAGCCATAATTCCTATTGGCACCATTCCGCGGACAATCTAAGGTTTTCAAAGGAGTCGATCGAAATTAATTCTAAGGAGAATCAATTCTTGTTTGTACAACCAAATTAATTCTGAATTTTTCAGCGATTCTTTTTTTCATACTGTGACCCTGCTTTTTCATGCATATACATTGTGTCGGTCACTACATTCCTTAAAATAGTTTATGGTAAGCTAGGATACGTTGTTCCAATTATTTGAAACCCCATTCTATTGCAAAAAGGTTCCGCAAACCCAAATGTTAAATTCGAATATCATAAGAGTAGAATAAAATATAATGAAAATATAGAATAAACATTTTCAGAGCGTTCTCCGAAGTGTATTGCAAAAAAATACTGTGCTTCAAGCTTCAAAATGCTATGCTTAAACTATAAAAATCTTTGTTGTACTCACAGGAGTATATCACGGGAAAACGAAAGGCATGATGAAAAGATTAAAATTATACAATGATATCCAACAAACATGCTATTTTGCAAAGCTAATCGATAAATTGTTTCCTTCTTTTCAGTTGACATTGCCTCTTCAGAAAGTATTTTGGAAAATGCATAAGCTCAAACTCTGGTAGATTTCAACTAACCCGACTTTAATTCGTTCCGAGGCCGGGCCGGTATTACTCGTAATACAAAAATATGTTTACCCTTAATCATAATTGTCTGACGATAAAAGTCTCAGAGGTGCTTCAGTAGGATGTGTTTCTGCTTACCCTTACCAGTGCTAAGCTTGGCCTTTAAACAAATTAAAAAAAATTTCATACAGCAAAACTTAAAATTGAAAGGTCTTGCGCTAAATAATATATGGTTTGCCCACAATAGAATAGAGACAAACAAGATTAGCTCCTGCATCTTTTAAGGCGCATTTTTAAAGAGAAGACAGTACAGATTTCTTCACTTTCCACATCTTTGACCGTTGAAAAAAATCATTGTAAAATCAACCCATGTTAAATTGTTCATCTATTCATATGTGGGCTTAGAAGCTAGTATTGTCAAAATGCATTGTATGGTGACGAGCCAAGAATCAGGGAAAGGTGTCATCAACGCGGCAGAGGTCACTGGTCGCATCATTACTTCATAGAAAACTTGTTCAGCTTTTCGCAGAGGTCGGACAATGGGTCCACATGCCAACCCGACAGCTTTGAATAAGAAAAGCAAAAGTGCATGCTTGATCTTTGAACATCTCCACGCTATTGATCAGTTCATTCGAACATGCATTTGTGCGCTAGCGGCGGCTCCACATGAAAATGATGGTATGGCGTCATGAAGATGCACGCACCAATCACGAAAATCTCGTCTTTGGGCTATATCATAATGTAATTTTATAGATAGGGCTCTATCTAGCAGTTCTTTACATTTGAATATAGCTCTTTTTATCAATATGAAATAAACTTTCCCTTGTATGCTCAAAGATGTAATTTTTAAATTTGATGGGAATTGCCCATAACAAAAATGGCGTCACAACAACAGACAAGCCTTTCACACTTGCTGATAATAATAATAATAATAATATTAATAATAATACGAATAATATTATTGAAAGCTATCATATAGCAAAGCCTTTAAACACAATCAGAGAAGACTTCATCTATTAATTTAGCTGTCTAGAAAGGTGTCGCGCTAAAAGGTTGAATTTTCCAATCTTGGATATCTATGAAACAGATGTGAGCAATTTCGATTATATAAAATGCAACATAAGCATAAGATGACAGCTGTTTCTATCAAGTTAAAGAAAATATACAGTGAGTTAAAACTGCAATGAATTTACCGATGCCTCTATAGATAAATTTGTTATATCAGTTTGCAGACTTTCGAATAGCAAAAATGAGAGACAAAATTTTAAAAATAGCTATCTATGTGGAAATTGGTTAAGACGTACAAAATAATGACTTGAATCACTATAAAGAAAACACATTAAATCTTTTGCTAAGAGACAAGGGCTCGGAGAAAAAAATGCTTTCATCTAGGAACATAACTCGGAGTCTATCTTCTATTCATCTTGGTTGGTTTCTGGGGTTTCTGCTTCTCTCTCCTCAACATCGCTATCTTCAGCTTCGACGTGTGCACCATGATGTCCAAGGGCAATACCATGGCCGCAATCATTTCCATGATGAGTATCGTGTAAAACATGCACGGAATGGCAAGGTTCGGCAACATGATGAACATGGACGGCGTGACCGTGTCCATGACCGTGTCCACCGTAACCATGACCACCGTATCCATGGCCGCCATAACCATGACCACCGTAACCATGACCACCGTAACCATGGCCGCCATAACCATGACCACCATATCCATGTCCACCATGTCCACCGTGATGACCGGAAAGGACATGTCCAGTATGGCCAGTTACGTGAGTGTCAACAGCATAATGATCTGCACCGTGTGCGTGTACGTGTGGGTATTCGTGTGTATGAACTGCAGCACCAACACCATGATGCACCACTTCAGGAACGTTCAATACGCCAACATGATGGTCAAGATGATGACCACCGTGATGTCCACCGTGTCCAAATGAGTGATGACCACCGTGTCCACCACAGCTGCAAAAACATCAACGATCATTGAAAATTGTTTAAAGCAAGCCTTGAAAACAGTTGGCAACACGCATAGCCCCCCTGAGTGTCTCGCCTAAGCATACATCTACCTTCCCTGGGTGTTCCGCTTCGCATCATTTTCGGATTAAACTTTATAATGGTTGTGAATGTGAACGTTGTTATCGAATTTCAAGCCCCCACTGGTAATATTATTGTAGTGCATTGTGCATTTTGTACAGTGTGCTGAACATTCTCATTAGACCAATAACTTCATTGCTAAAAAACAACTTCATTGGACTATTCCAAAACCGAATAACCTAATTTCTACCTTTTTCTAGCAGCAATATGGCGGAATGCAACAGAGACAATTTGCCCTTCGGTAATGAATTAAATCTACCATTTTATACCTTAGTATATCCTTAGGAATAATACTTTAGTATGAAAAGTAAGTTGCGAACTTATGTCATCAAAATATTCCGATATAAAAGCCAAAAGTTTTTGTTTTGTTTTTTGTTTTGTTTTGAACTCATTTGCTCTAGGTAGTGTTTTGATCTTGCTAATGTTGGTTTTAAGTTCCAATGAGGCTACCTTAACTAATAAACTCTTACATTCAGTACCGATTTTAAGACAGCAATAGATATTTTATATTTAGGCACCATTTTGACATTTAATTGTCTGAGGATTGTCGACCTTTTCAGCATAATGACGCTGTTCTATTGTAACTCGACAATTTTTACCTGGATTGATTAAAAGCTACCCTGTTTAAACAAATGTGTAAACCTATCATCATTCTCACTTTATTAACTAGTGAATAATAGAAATCTTTGATTTTTAGCTCACCTGGAACATTTCTTCTCAACTTTGCTGCGCTGATCGGCAGTCTCATCGTTGTCCTTATTATCTTCATCACCCTCCTTGCTATTTTCATCGACTGCTGCTTCGTCCTCTTGGCTTGCCTCGTTATCTTTGCTCTCTTCATTTTCTTCTGCTGATTCATCTGAAGATACTGTATTTTCCCCGCTATCTTCCGTGCTGTTTGAATTTTCACCACTATCTTCCTTTCCTTCATCGCTTTCCTCCTTATCATCATCCCCTGATTTTAAAGGTGCAGCCATTGCCACCACGAGAAGGCCCAAAAGCATTAACAGAGTAAGAAGCTTCCCCATGCTAAAAATATAAGCCCTTTAACTTTAGTAATGTGTAATATTGAGGAATATTAGTTTTCCTATCGTTGCTTAAACTTATAAAAATCATTGGTAGAAATGGCATCGTATTGAATTAGGTGATGTTTGTTTACAGTGTTTTATTTGAAATAAGAAAATATTGCTCGACTGAGAGACAAATACTTGTAAAACAGTCACAGAAAGAGGGTTTCATACCTTAGCTTGAGTAAAGCTATATTAATAACTTGTAAACTGAATAAGTAGCATTAGAAGTTTTGTATCATGGCAAAAAGAATTTCTTTGGCTCGTGAAGACAATACCTCATATCGTATGTTTATCGTTACCAGTGAAATGGAATACTGAATCATTTTCCGTAAAAAAAAATAAAGTGCTCTCATTTCAAAATTCACTAAACTTCCTTGGCTTTTAAGGAAAATATCGATTTTAAACATGGTCAAGAAGGATCTGTCTTTTGAAAAAGGCAGGCAGGCAATATTATCCTGTCTTCTGCAGAGATTTTTAGTGAATCATTCTGTCATCCTAAAGTTTATCAAAGTCATCATTTACAAAGAAAACAAGGCTTAAATTTGATACGTTTGTTAGTTTAGTTAATATGTTATTTTAGTAGCATCTATTTTCTCTGTGTAAGTTTCTTGAATATAATTAATGTTTCATGGTTAATGTCACAATACGTTCTTAAAAAAGTCAAATACATACCTTAGATTGAGAGTGTAACAAGCTTTCAAAGTTTTACAGTGGCTATCTACTGAAATCTGTGTAGGAATGATCTTTCCACGAGGTCACAACATGCAGTCTTAATACCTGCAAAACCTGTTGAAATCACTAAACCTGAATGGTTCTGCAAATTGACCTTCATAGTACTAGCAAAACGGTATGGCGCAAAGCAAATTGAAAGATAAAGCGGATAGACGGAAGACAATGTGTTCACCGATAGTCACAGAAATACTTATGAAATTTATAACGAAGTTTAGCTAACAGGCAAGATTTTGATAAAATAGAATTCCAGAAATGCGAAAGTTGTTTTTCCATAACGTAATAGGGCCTGTTGGTTTTATACTGAGAAAATGCTAGCAGATAAAAGCGACTAGAAAATAAAAATGGGAATTTCAGTAGCAAATATTGGGTAAATTCCATTCGGGCTGGCATCGTTAAAGGCTAATAAAGCTCGAAGAGCCTCATAAAAAGGAATGGACCTGCCTCATAAGGAAACCAAACACAGCGATGTGTTTTGCTTTGTAGAATTTGTAGAAACCAAACACAGCGAAGTAGAATTCTAGGTATAGTAGTTGATTTTAAAGATAGATTTTGCAATTTGTATACAAAGCAGGTTTAGGTAGAAAATATCAAGAAAATCTAATTGGATATGATTTATTCCATAAAGAAAAAAATTTGATGAAGTTTTTGAAGTAAGAAGGGAGTATCGCGAAATAAAAATTTTGGCAGAGGATTAAGCAAGTGTAAGGTATGAACAGGATTGATCAAAAAAGTGGTTATGAGATGGCTGATGAGCAAAGAAAGCTTGTTAAAACTAAAAATTGAACATAATCAAGTTAAAAAATTTGCCAGTGATAAGGAAAGAGAAAGAATGATGAGTACTTTACGAAGATCCTTTACGGTAGCGAGAAAATCTAAAATGCAGCGAGAAAACGTTACATACAGATTTTAATCAGAAATTGAGAAACTGATATTCCCTGTTTAGTTTGTTGATGTGACAGGGTGTGATACTTGGCTTCAGGTAGGACCTAACTAAAAGTTTAATTCAATAAGTGATAGGCCTTTTATCACTGCTTTATTTGTTCACCTGCTGGTTGTCAAAAGATAGGAAAAAATCTTGAGGCGACACAAGCAAAGGTAATAAAGGCATTTGCGACAAAGGATTATCCCTTTCTTGGATTCAAAAGCAAGCATTGAAAGTTACTTACTTCAAACTAACGATAAAGAAACTAATTGAAGATTAAGGATCATGGCATCATAATTATGTTTGCCCCGTTCCATGGCTCTGCTTGCTCGATTCAAATACAAATAATCACCGCGCTGGTTTTGTGCTAGAACGCTTTTTCAAAAATAAGAACTAAAACGATAATCATGCGATTGAAATATGCATCAAGGGCTTGAGAGTTTATATCACAATCTGCTGATCTGCCACAAATACTGCAAATACAGCAATGCATTCACTGCGTATCAAATCATGAAAAATTGAAGACTGCAAACATGTTGAGGATAAAAACGTGCAGAAAAAGTCGTACTTAGCACAAACTTTACAGTATTATTAAAAAATTATATTTACATATGAAAGGTATTTCCAAAGCAACGATCTTCATGAACAAAAAATGAGTTGTTTTTTGCCTTATCTGATAAGTTATCTGTTAGCAATTTAAAAATTGCTTTAAAAATGACAAAATCTTTAAACAATTTTTTTAATATGCTTTAAAATTGTTCTCACTTTAAATTTTTAAAATTTCTAGCACCAAAATATTGTTTTTTTGGAAATTCTTTAGTTTTATTATATTCAAAACACTTGGTCGAGAAATTATTGGCTAGGAATTATCCGATCGATAGGAAAGATAGCTACTTGCTTCTTTTCATGGTTTCGATAGGAAACACAAGTAATCGCTTTTTTTCATAGTTTTGATAGAAAAGACAAGTAATCGCTCCTTTACTGCTATAACAGCTTTAATTATCTTACAAAAAATCTCTTGTTGGTAATTGTCAGAAATTTAAATCCTTTTTATATATTTTCTGCTACTTAGATGAGACTGACATGGTTTGAAATCCGCAAAGCAGCGGCATCTCATTTTGTTTGCGTCACAACTTCCCCGTGGTGTCCACCATGATCAGTAACGCTAATGGCTCCAGAATGTGTTGTTGGATTGTGAACTTCGATAGTTGGTTTTCCATGAGGCTCATGTGCTGCTTTTACATCAATGGTTGTTGTCTGAATGGTTGCATGATGGGGATCATGATGGTTGTCCTCATCTTGACTGTAATGCTCTACCTCACCGTGGGTTGGGCCACCAATTACCGATATTCGTTCCATCTTGTCACCAGTGCTCTTGGTTGAATACACAGGGATCGTGCTCATCACCATGCCGTCTCCTTCGCCGTTATGTCTCTCAAGAGCTACTGGTACGTGGCAAACGTCAAAATGGGCTGCATTTGGAAAGTAGTACCAAGCCATATAGCCGTCTGTACATGTGAACTTTCCACAAACATCTTGGTAAGCTATGGTCCCGTGAGAAATCTTCTGATCGTTGTATGTACATTCCTTTTTCTGCTCACCAACCATGCTAAAATCTTTAGCGAACTCTCGTTTCTTTGCAGCTACATCTTTTCTTGGGCGGGCAAAGGCTATTGCCAATGACGAGAGTACGACAAACAAGCAAATATATTGACGTACCCGGTCAGCCATATTGCTCTAGAAACAATTAACCTTTCAGTAACAACCCTGTGACAACTCGGTAGGCGTTTTAAGGAATAACAACTTTCCCTGTTGTAGGAGAATCAACTCTGTTACTCTGACGTTTTCTTTACGAATGAGAAACACAGGAAAAAGTTGTAAGGCAATTAAATGTTTGAGAGCAACTAGAGTAAAATCTGTGTTGAAGCTCCTTTTACAACTTTCCCTCACAGATATTGTGCCAGCCTTAAGAGGAAGGGATAGTAGACAGGAAGATTGCTAGTTAACGTGTTTCATCTCTTGTATTCCCGGCCTCTCCAATATTTCCGCCTCTCTAATAATCTCGCTTTCTCTCTAAATCAATCCCACCTCTTTGATAATCCTACATGCGGGTTTGATGAAAAAAGATGTTGAGGTCGATTTTGTCGATAAAATTTGTCTTAGAAAAAGAAGAAGCGACTCTAGAACAAAATGCAAGAACACGATAATACTTCCAAATGCTCAATTTATCCGCATTTTTGTCCACTTGTTATGCTCAGTTGACATATTAGGTAATTCAAAGATACGGCTTTAATAGTTTTGAAATTGAAATCTTTGATATCCTGATAAGTAGACCACTTCCTTGGCGTATTCTTGCGCTGAAAATCTAAGCCCGCTTTCCAAAAGAACGTTGGAAATATCTAAAAGCCTCTCTGATAATCTGATAAAATATGATTTTATCGGTTTTGCCGTTTCAAAGTGTCGTGCTCTAATAACGAATGGGGCATAGCAAAATGCTGATAAATGACATTATTCCTTGCTATCAAGTTATCATGGTCTCAACCGTGAGCGATAATGACTGCATTATCATGATTTAAAAACAAAAACAAATAAAGAAGAAGGATGAAACAGTCAGCTTGAATGACAGTATTGATCCTTACCGGAAAGTTCAAGTCCAAGAATCTTTTAATAATCCAGTTAATATTGAAATGAAAAATCACGACAGTGTTTATTTGTTTGCTATTTTGCAATTACCTGATTCCCATCCTTCCTCCAGATTACACGCTTGGTTGGTCAGAAACAATGCAAGCACACGTCCCAATGACTATGTTTTCCAAGCCGATAATCGTACAGTATTAACTGCCGAGTTTTAACTGTATGTAAAAAGAGGCACCGACATGTATGCTAGCCTTCAAGAAAAGGCTGTTAGTATCAATTCTAGTGTCTGATCTTGATACCTAATCGTATTTTCATAATGGCATCACACAGGTCTTTTCCACGTACATCTTCAGTTTTTAATTATTAGTTGAATCTCGATTTGTTACTTTAAAGCAAATTCTGTTCCTTCAAAGTGAGAGACGACTTTTCTAATATATATTAGGAATAAACTCTTGCAATCAATCAAAAGCTGGGAAGTTGTACAAAGGTCTGCTTGAAAGTCGTCAAGATACAGCGATGAACTATTACGCATTCAAGCAAAACCAGGGATGGGCAGTAAATTAAAAGATAGTTGTTTTTAAAATTGGCTTTCATTGTCAAGCATAATGAAATTGAATGGCTCTGCTCTGCTAAAGAATGAGTTACCACTAAATCTAAAATATCTTACTACTCAGCAAGAAACTAGCTAGATCTTTTCATCTCAAGGCAAAGCCCAGAATGCTCCAAAAGAAGTCTATCATATTGTTGTGCGAAAAGGCGAACGAACCTCTAATCACTACCAAATGTCTTGGCACACTAACGTAGGTTTTCAAAGGCAAATTCAGCCACCCCCTCCCTTTAGGAACAATGATGATCTACTATAGAAAAAAGAAAGGGGTTATGGAGTATGCTTTTTCTTGTGGCTTGTTTGATAATTTTCTACACTTTCAACATTGTTTTGGGGGGAAAGGGGGACGGATGTAGTAGTATTCGGGAAAACAAATGAAAAATAGAAACGCACAGCGCAAAGTGTTGGGTGTTCCAAGTAACTTTGGCAGTGATTGTCCACTGAAAATTTTGTTCTTTGTATAAAAAGTTTAATAGGAAACTGAAGAAATTCTTGCTGCAAAATGAGCATACTTTCCAAAGCAACACTCCTAGGAAGTCAAGCAAACCTATTGAACAGTTACTATAACGCAATTATGTTATTTGGTTTATTTGAAGTGGCTGAAATAATTTTGGGTTATAATAAAATACTATAATAATAATAATTAATACAGTCCAATTTATATTCTTAGCTTGAAATTTTCTGAACATAGCAACAGTAAATATTTTTTTGGTTAAAATAAAATTGAAGCCAAAAACAAAAGTATTTCATAAAATAAAAAAATTATAAAGCATATAAGTTAAATAAACTCTACATTGCTTCCGTAGTTAAAAGTAGCTGATAAGTCATTGCCATTGTAGTCAGTAAATAGTCATTGTAGTTTTGCTTGCTATCAGAAATGTCAAAGGTTCCAGCGAAAATTTGTATTGGAAACGAGAAGTTGAAAATAACCTATAAAACCCCAGTACGCCAATGCAGATGTATTGTGTGTATATCTGATAAAGCCTTCAGGAAAAGAAAATACATTTTTGATAAAACAATACAGAGTTACATTCTAAAGATAAGATTGCATAGTTTCATTTCATTTCAGGTTCACAAGTAGCGTTGTCAGGGAAATATTCTATAGAGAACTTCAGAAATTGATTTACTTTATTTTTCCGTTATCGAAAGCTACCTTGCCGGCGTCAATGAATGCAAAAAGGCATTGAAAGCCTCGCGGAGTGACGCAGAACTAAAGCTTTATTTGTACAAACGCTTACCTACCTGTTTTGCATTCTTTATAGTGCTATCGAAATAACCCCGCTGAAAATAAAACCGATGACTAAGAGCAGCCGTCCAACGACATCATCAACCTAAAATGAAGCAAGAATTGTTTTCAGAGCAATATTTTTGCCAATTTCTCAAACTGGATGTATTTCAGTGAAAATTTATAAATGACGAAGAGGTGTAAAAATAGTTCAACTGCACGACAAAGGGAAACTGAATAAAATCTTTGGAGTACGTGAATGACTTAATAGATCTTGATATAGAAACTAACATTTCAAGAAGCAGGAGACTGGATAACGGTTGTGCCTTAGCTGAACAATAGGGTGAGTTTCGGTAAGTTGATTGTATTACGATATCTTTAATGAATAACAAAGAATCCCAAATTTTCCTGCGTTTAAGAAAAATCCTGAAAATACGTTTACTAATGCAAATTCAAGAAACAACTCTATGAATTGATCAAGCCAATCACGGTTTAGAACATTTACCAAATGCAAAATATAACTCGATTACTGTTTACATACAAAGTTAAAACATATTCTTGCCACAAGGTGCAATAGTTAGACGCGTTATTAAACAATAATTATTTCTGTAACGCCTCAATTCCCAACGTATTCATATTTGGAAACAATTACAACTGTGTGGAAGTAAAAAATACCAACATTACTTGAAGAGATGAAAGGCAGCAAAAGTCAACTATGCAAAACTGGTCAAGATGATGTTGGGCAATTTCATTACAGAAAAGGCCCAACAGAAATCGAGACTCGGAAGTAATTAGAGTATAATCATTATGGAATCACTAAGACCATGAAAATTGTCTGGGTGAATAGCTATTATTCTAAAAGACATACATTCTCGAATATCAAGTAAACGAACAATTAAGAATGAAAAAGTTTGACTTACTTGTCAACTCAAATCAAGCCTACATTTTTTTTAACTACAATTTTCAAGCTTCAATGCTGCAAAAAAGCATAAGACTAAACCTCCAAGTGTTTGATGACCAAAATAAAAGTACATCAAGTGCGAAGGTTACTCTCTAGATATTTACACCTTGTGAGAATCTCCTAAAAACAGGCGACCAATGACTATTTGGAACAAAAAAGCACCTTATCGATTTTTTGAACTTTTTTCGTATATTGCAAGTCACTGTCTTTTTGTCATTCAAAAATGAACTATGGTGCTTCACTACTCAAATCTGGAAAAACCTCGTTGGTTTCTAAACTGCTATCCTATTTGAAAAGGCATTTTATATAGAATTCCACACTGTCTAAAGGTTCTTTGAAATATTTTACGTAAAAACGTAGCGTCTCTGATTCCGGATAATATTGTCATAGGACATAATGATGCAAATATAAAAGGAATGATTTTAACATGAAAGGAATGACTTTGGCAAATACTGGAATAAAAAGAAATACAGGGGAATATCAATCACTGATAATATACTTTTCATATACTTTTCTATACTTTTAATATAGTTTAAAAACCGAAAAAATAACATCATCACGGCAGAAATAAACTAGTCTTAACAACACTTTTGAAATACCGTCATATATCAAGGCTGCAGAAGATGACAGGGCAGTCATTAAAATGTACATACATTAGAAATATCTGTTGAATAAAATCTAGAATTCTTAACAAAATGGTATGAGGCAGAGTTCTATAATTAGATAATATACCAGCCGAGCATATCTTAATTGCACACAAATGACATTTGAACAAAAATTCTTGCTTTTAAATTGAATAAACAATGCTGTTAATTGCTGGCTTTATAAACAGCACTAAAAGCCTGTTTTACGATAGAGGTTTTGATCCACGATGATCTGAATTATGCAATGACTTCATATGGTGTTTGCAAAATCTTCAAGAAAATAATAATTTCCTATACATACATGAGGATTAATTTCTATTGAAAACAAGACTTTTTACTGATTGGTAAAAAAAATGTGTTAAAACACGCTGCTTAACAAACGTTCTTCAACAGAAAATATTTTACATTATCATAACCCCAATCATGAAAGTAAAAGAGATTGCTTTAATTTTAAATGGAGCAACACACATTTTTCAAATCAATCATTGATTCAACATGATAGCACAGCAAGTAACAGAATACTCTGTGAATTGCTGTCCACATTTTTTTGCTTGGTAGAAATTAGCTTTTCGTTTAAGCAATCTGAAAACAGTTTTCTCTGAATACAATTATCAGACACAAACAAGGTTGGTAAAATTTTAATTTTCAATTAAGAACACATTTTGACGCCAGTTTTACAGGTTGCATGACTTTGGAGCTAACAGTTATCAACCAGAGAAATTCATCTTAAGTAGTGAGTATTTTTCATATCACTGCATTCTTTGGTTTTCATTTAAGGTAAAATTAACTTTTGGAATCTCAGTTTTTTCACAGTTTTGGACAACTTTTCTTCTCTATCTGATGAAATGTGAAAACGGTGCAGAAACCCTCCCAAGATCCATGCCACGCCCAAAAGACGCTGTTATGTTTTGATTTGAAATTGTTAACGCTTCGCTTATTCTGTTATAGAAGTTTCGCTTATTCTGTCATATGCCAAATATCAAGAAATTAAAGAAATTTGATAAACAACACGCTCAAAAGAGTATCTCCTTGAAAAATTTGCTCCCAGAAGCCTATAGACCAGGGTTATTCTAAGAAAAATTTACAACACCACAAATTTAATCACTGGCAATTTTTTTGTTAAACATTTTAACTTTACTGTTGAGAAAAGGCAAACAACGGTAGCATTAAAGCCACTGACCTCAAAAATATGTTTCAGTGTTGGCATTTTAGACGGTAAATGTTTGGGAATATGGAGGATGGTATATCTTTACCCAATAAGAGAGCAAATACTCAAAAAGCGGTAAAACTTGGCCTGAATAGCAGCACACAGCCCTCTAGAATCTATGCACATGAGTGGTAGGAAATTGAGAATACTTAAGAACCCTGCTACACAAAGAAACATACGGCCAGGGCACCCATTGCAAAGTGCAGGATAGAAAATGCTTGGATCTAGAAGTTACGGAACAGGCATTGCAGTCCCGTAAGAGAGGGGCTTTGCCTTAGCTTTTTGCTTCTCTCCCCCCTTCCTGTATGCTTTAAAGTCTGCTTGTGTAACCTTCTCCTGCTTCCTTTTCTGGTATTCGCTACATACCAATCGAAGACCCTTACAGCCGCACTTTTCCTACAAAATAAATTATTTGTTGCCATTCGTAAGAGACCATTTTAACGATGATAATTTTCGATGCATTGTATAAAGTACCTCAAGTCTAACCCTTGCACCCTTCCTACGTAATGGTGCCTTATCTGACGATGAAAAGACACTGAATTTTATTGTTAGTTCTGAAAGCTGTTTGAGGGTCTGAAGCCAAGGACAATGCAATGATGTGTTGTTCAGCATTTATAAAACTCAATAATCTCACCAGTCGAGACGTCAACATGAAGAGTGCATTTGTTTTTCTTAAATCACTTATTAAATGTCAACATAATTATTCTGTTGTGCTTCGAAACACTGCAAAGCATGTTTCAAAAACAAAGCCATTCCCGTTGTCAAAAAGATATCAAGCGAAATCAATCATTACAGGCTAGCAGGTACTGTGTTGTTGTTATTGTAAGTAATGCAATTCTTTAACAAAAAATTCTCATTTTAGCAATGGCAACAAAAATTGCAAAGGTCTCATAAAAAGAGTGGAAGCAACTCAATGAATAATGCGGTACCTCTGCTCTGAAAGCCTTGAAACAGAGAAGCTCTACTATTGAAGAAGAACCATAGAAATGAGACATGGGGATTAACAATGCCTCCAAAATCAACAGTAGCACTGTCGTTAGTAGTTTAGATACTAGTGGAACCTCCTCAAAATTCTTGACATTATGCATATTTTGGGTGCTAATAGTAGTAGGGAACTCGCTTGTTATTGGTGTACACCGTATTTACCAAAGAAAGCAAATCCCGGATTACTTAATACAGATTCTTGCGGCGCTAGATCTGATCAATGCATTTGGTCCAGTTACGATATCAATTGCTATGTACAAGGTGCACCCGCACGGTTTCTTAGGCCTATCAGACAAGACCTTGTGCTACTTCTACAACTCTGCCGCTACAATGCTTCGCCTATCTGCTTGTTTTGTAATGACAGCAATGGCCTTGGACCGGGCAATTTCAGTTGACATGCCAGTTTACTATCGCGCAGTGCTGCAAATGAAGACAGTTCAACGATGGGTCGCGTTGTTGCTAATTATTGCCTTTATTATAGCCTGCTTGCCTTTGGCGGGAGCCTCAAGAATTCTGCGGTATCAAACTGTCTGCTCCTTCGATTTTGGCAGCCCGTATGCCGCTTTCATAGCAATCATTGGATACTTGCAGTTAGTCATTGTACTTGTGTCTTACGTCATTATCCTCAAAGGCCTCTTCAACTTTGTAGGTGAGTGCGATTATCAAAGTAGCACAACATTTTCCTCATTTAATATTCAAGTAAATAATTAGAGTGCAAAGATGTGGTAGACATAGTTCTCAAGCAAAAATTCCTTAAGCTATCATGTCGGCCTAAGCAAGTTCTTCTAAAACACTTTTTGATAGATAAGACTTATGATGAGACAAATATCTGAATAGACTCAAAATAATAGTAGAATTATTTGTTTCAAGAGCGACAAATAGCTAGACGGGAAAACAGGAGCTTGGTGAAAAACAGAAACATCAGGATGAAACTTGCAGATCGACGAAAGAGCAGTAGTGGCCTTGTCATGAAAGACATCAAAAGTTTCAGGGTTTGCAAAGAGTTCGCAAAAATGACTGGACTTGTATCGCTGCTATTTTACATAAGCTGGATTCCAATTGTAGTAAGTATTATATACAATATTTTATTTTTTAGGTCAAAAATACAGTTTTAACATCAAGCATTAGGCTTATCTTTTAAAAAGGAAACAAAAAAGATAACCAGAGGCAATTAGATTATTTAAAGCAACTAATAAAAATACCTGCCATGAAAAGCTCATTCTGGGGTAAAACAAATAGATAAAACATAAAATAAAAGATATCAAATAATTCTGCTTTTATGCGTAAATACATACATACTCTAAAAGTATATAAACGCTGCCTTCCGAAAATATTTTCTCGTCAAAATCTTTAGAAATGTTGAGACGCTTCGCTCCAGCTTTTGCCTCAAACATATGAATTTGACATTAAATTCATATCATGATTTCTTGAAACACAAAAGAAGCAAAGACAACCTTCCTTCTAATGTTTAGAAGTCCCTCTAAGGACACTGCATAACCGTAGTATTTTTACTGAAATGACCTGATGTCTTGATATGTATATTGACTACACTTATTCTTTTTAGAAATATTGAAACTTTCGATGAAAATTAATGTATACCCAGTTCTTCCTTTACGGGCATGGAGCATTATAAACATAAAATTAATATCACCGTTCATATAACTGTCTATAAAAACAGATCGAAAGTCCAAATTAAGATACTTTTTCTATATATAGAAGGACACATGAACGACGGCCATGAACATAGGCGACTGACTGTCACATGTGATGTTAAAGGTAGAGCCTTCTTTCAATCAAAAATTGACCAATCAGTAAGTGTTTTCTCACACACGTTCACTGATTGGGTCATATTGATTGATGGATGGCTCAAGCAACTTAAATATCTGTCAATTGCGTTAAGTTCACAGCAACTATATCATCCAAACATTGTGTTTGTCATCTTTTCAGCTTTCAATAACAGTTCAGCTTAAAACTGGAAAAACAAGCGACATCTTACAGCTTTTATCCGCAAGAATGTCTATAACTGGCTCAGTAGGTAACCCGATAGTATACGCATTACTTTCAGCCAAGTACCGCAAAGGATACTGGTATTGCATACAAAAAGTGGCTTGCCTCTGCGGAGCACCAAATCCTAAACATCCCAGTAAAGAGAGTGCAAGTAAGTGAAACATTCATTTATATTTGTGTATAACCCACATGTGGGGTCACTTTTATAGTTTCAATATTATATTTGTAATCCATAACAGAATCATATGTTCCATGTACCAAGAACCGTGGAGCATATTACAGATTTAGGGGGCTAAACATGCTAAAAGCCAAAAGTAAGGCAATTTAATTTCTGGTTTTAAGTACATTTTTGAAAATACTGGGTAGAGGGTTAAAGCCCCCGTAGCCCCCCGTTTTTGAGGTCTCTGCCCTGTACAAAAAATTGAAAAATATTTGATACCTAACCCATCGAAAGTTATACGACATTTTTTTAATGCTTGTAACATGCCAAACATAATGATTGATTTTCACAACAGTCGGGAGTTCTGAATTTCCCCCGATTTAATCGTTTCATATTTTATTGCTTCGAGTATACTGAACTGAGGTTTTTAAAACTTTTTGATTGTACTGTACTTTCAAGAATCAGTTGGAGTTCTTATTGCTAGCGCTCTCTTGCGATTTTTAACAAAAGACATATGTCCATATGGGTTCGAATATTTTATATTCCACTATAGACAAAATTTCTGTGATATCAGGATTCAGCAACAATTTTCAAATTTGTTAAGGCCGATTTCCCTTTGACATTTTTTATACGCGCCGGCGTAGCGCCTAAAACTGAGCATGCGTAGTTGAAATCAAGTGGTCTCGATTTTGCGTCCGCTGTGATCGCCAGAAAGTTGATAGGGTCTCAACTTTTTGTGCGCTCGGCCACTTGACAGCAGTTCGTAACTACGCATGTTCAGATTTGGGCGCTACGCCCGCGCGTACAAAATATGTCAAATGGAAATCGGCCTTTAAAATATTCGAAACTTGCTCACAAGGAGAACAAAGCTAGGGGACTACATACAGGGGATTGACTATAAACCAAAGACATCACTATTGAGCAAAAATTGCACGTTTGGGGCAAGGTACAATTAAAAAAAATTTCTGATCCCGGCAAAGTGGAAATTTCTTTTCTTTCCTTCTGCCAGCAACTTAATCAATTTCGAAGTTAGAGAAACACTCTCTGGATAAAACATAAACGAAGGAAACACCTTCAAGATAAACTTCGGTATAGAAGTATTGATATCTTTATGCCATTAAATGGAAATAGAACAAAGAATCTACAGTTTCGGGTAGCAATAAAACTGTTTATAATATTTTAAAATATCTTAGATAGATCCAAGTTTATTATCAAGCAAATATCTAATACTGCACCCTACAAAAATCCTATATAAAGTGGATATTGCAAACAGCAAAAACTCCGGCTGTTAAGAAAAAAGTCCCAAGTTGTTTATGAAGATTTTGTTATTGGTCCATCCTTTAGCAATCACGCGGTAATATTGGTATCTGTCTGGAGATATAGCTTTGATTATTTGGCTTTGTCGAAAAGGGAATGTACCTGGCGCATGCCATTGGTCTGCTGTACCTTCGGCGACCATCTTCCAGTCGGTTCCATCATTCGATCCTTCAAGAAAAAATGACCCAGTTGGTTTACAACATCCTCCAGGGTACCCTGTCACAGCAAAGGCTCTCACGAAATAAGGTCTCTTCAGGTTCACCTGTATATAAGCGATGCCAGAAGAATCTGCGTTTGCCTCAACCCCATACGTGCTCCACGATGCAGTCGAAAGCCATTGCCTTCCGTCCGCTACGATTCTGCCTCGGCCCCAGCCTGTCGCTGGCACAGGATAAACAGTGAAAATGAAATCATCTGTGCGGAGAATATTGCTCTCTGGGCTACCAATTGAATCTGTGTCATACCCTTCCACCTGAATTGGAGAAAAGGTAAGCGAAGAGAGTACGCCCAACAAAGCCCATTTTTTTAATAGCAGCATTTTGGAAGGAATGACTTCACGTTCTGATGGCATGGATTTGTCCTTCGTCTGTGTCGTTCCTTGCTACGCCCACAAAAAGAATGACGGGAATTGAAATACGATGCTTCAGTATTTTTTCCCAGGTCCTACCTACGAAATCTCTGGATTCCTGACGTCTCTGTGAGGAGGGCGTAGCTAGAGCATAGGCAACCTGATGGTAAGGGACACAGCAAAGGGTCATTTAGTCATAATGTTGACAAAAGCACACCCTACAAAGGAGCATGCTTTCTCAAGAAAGTTCCTTGCCTGGATTTATACTGTATACTTATACTATAACTAGCTTGCCAACAAATGAACTTGAAAATCGTGCAAAGCTACAAAATGAGCTATTTGCATGGAAACCTGGCAGATAATTTTTACTGCCCCTAGTCCCTCGCATATCCCCTTATCGAATCAGCCCGTATATAAAAACAGTCTAAATAAAGAAGCTCAAATGGGGCCTATGCGAATTAACAGATGGTTTGGGCGTTGATATCGAAGGTCTGATCTGAGGGGATGGGAGAAGGGGGAAACGTGGGGTTCCTTACTTTTGTATGAGAGGATTTGAAGTTGAAGTGGGATGTGGATATGATTATAGAAGAGAAGGATTTAATGGGCTGACATTACGACGTTGGGAAGACATAAATCTTATGATTTGATTTTGCTAAAATGATACACTAACTTTGCAAATTTATTAGTCAAACCGTGTTCAATTTCTTGCGCTTGAACATTTATTCTAAAAATTCGCAAGGTCTTTCCGTCGTCACATAAAAAGCAAAGCAGATAAACTGAACTGGATGAAAAAGTTAAACTAGCTAAGCAATAGTGACTATAAAGCACAGTGTCTAAAAAGTTCATATATAATTCCGAGTATCTAAATCAATGTTGTTGATATTCTAGAATGTAACATGCACGTGTGCAAGATTTTTGCCGCCAACCATAATGGCGGCCTTCACCAAACGCTTGAATAATCTTACTTTGCAAAGCTGACGTCCAACTGAATTTAAGATGCAGCACTCCAACTGTAAACCAAATGCAAAAAACCGTAACTTTCTAGGCCTCTAAATTTAAATTGATAAAGATGTGTTCTAACTTCCAACCATGTACAGTTGGACTTTCATGGGGATTAGAGAGGAGGGGGTTTAAAGAACTGGTCTGAGTGATTGAATGTCCGAATTATTCAGGGTATAAGGTTTGAATTGAATGAGGCAAGAAAGTCCAACTGGAATTGAAAATCAGCCGGACATAGCGAAAGTCAGTTTTGCATAAACAACTGTTTTTAAAGTCTTAATTGGCTTGAATCTTTTAAGTGAGGCCCCACAAAATGATTCCTAAATGGAGAAATAAGGAATATTCATAGTTATGTGATGTGACTCGAGATGTCTCACATAGACCATACAGAACAGGTACTTGACAGTTAATTTAACGTCCTCTAAAAATTGTACTTCTAATTCAGATATCCAAAAGCAAACTAAAATTCGCGATAATAACAGGATATTCACAGGCCATTTCTGAATTATATAGAGGGAAGGAACCCCATCCCCCATCTCCTGCTCCTTTCACTCCTTTGCCTATAATAATTCTTAAGTATTACACGGTAATGTATTCGATAATTCCCTTGCCGCATATACAAAGGAAAGAGGTGTAGGTCAATTTAAAGATTTCTAAAGCCTGTAACTCTCGTTCCTTGCGACAAACAAAAATAAACACCTCTGTAAAGAAAATAAGTTAATCGCTGGTGTACGCAGTTTGCAAGCATAACTGTTTATTCTTTCAAATCAAAACGTCGACTTTGTATTAACAAAATCAAAGTAACAAAAGACTGTTCCAGCTACGGTAGTTATGACGTACTCAAAACGTAAAAGCTTTAGAAAATTTACAGCTAACGGGACAGCTTGGTCTTGAATTGAACATTAAGTCTTCCAGGCTGGCTGATTGATTTTGAGAAGGTTAACTATATGTAGAAGAGACTCGAACGCAATTTGTTTGCGTCTGACAACTGACACGAGAGAACGGACACGTACAGGCGAGAAACATTACCCGTGCTCTGCAAAGAATCAACTTACATGACAAGTTTTTAAATACAGTAACCAAGTAACAGAGCCTTACTTGTGGCAAATGCGACCTCTTGGTTGTTAGTTGGCAAATGCGCCGTTAGTTGTTGACTGAGGCTAGTCACTCTATGCTGGTCTGTGATTAAAGTTTGATTGAAACTAAAGCCGTGGATCGAGTTATGCATGTGATGACTAGTGGAACGAAATAAATGTTTGTGCAGCCAGGATACATTGCAATGAAATTTTAACTGCATGGCAACAACAAGGATTTACAGCCAATAATGCTAACCTTGCACCTGATATAAAATCATAAAACTCAGTGGAAAATACGACATTGGGTTACAGCGAAATATTTTCGCATTTTTCAGTTTTCACCATTAAGATTTTTGTGCTTCGTTTTCACCTGATACATCAATTCAGAAGGATCACACACGTTTTCTGACGTACATACACAGACGAATAAAGCTGCCCTTGACGTTGTCAGTGACTGAAAGAGCTCTCACAGTTTGATTGTTTGATCGTATCTTCACAAGTTTCCCAATGTAATTCGTAGATACAATTTTTGTTTACATTATGCCTGTCACTTCCTGGTCGTGAGGTATTTGTGGCAAAACAAGCCAGTTTTCAATGTTTGGCATACAAGAACAAGCGCTGTTTATGGGGGCAAGTTAAAGCTCAACTCTTCATTCAGAGCAATGAATTTGACTTCTACCTCGGGACCAACATGGCAAGCGGCGACAAATGGCACTGTTACAAGCGGAACGGATCAGAATTTAACTGCGGCTGTTATTATTGGATTTGTGGCAGTGATATTAGCCTTTGAAAACTATTTGCTCCTGTTTGCCGTTTCTGAGAAAAGACTGAGACGAGTGCCAGAAATCTTGATATTCTGGTTAGCAGTATCATCGATGATGAATTCGTTTACAACAGTAGCTATCATTGCTTATCACAGAGTTGCGGATAACGAAGGACGAACGGGTATAGATTATTTATGTAAGACGCAGTTCTGGTTTGCCACAACCCTTCGAACCAATGACATTTGTACCACAACCCTTATGAGCATTGATCGATTTTTTGCCACAACGAAGCCTTTATTATACAGATCTAGAGTTAGACGGGAACATGGATGGTTATCTGTGGCGATGTCATTTATTTTATCTAGCATAATATCGTGTCTACCTTTTCTTGGTTTCGGAGACATATCTCGTGTTGTGCCAAGTTTGTGTGTAGTTAAATGGGATTCTGAAGTATCAATACTTATACTGGTCATAGCATTTGTTCAATTTGCAATAGTTTTGTGGTGCTATATAGCAATCTTTTGGAGCATAAAACAGCTTGTACGAAGACAAAAGGCGATGGCAAAATCTCAAGAAATAACTTATGATAGTCCAGCTCTCAATCGCAGAAAAGCCCCTAGCCCTTCTATTAGCCTAAGCCCTTCCATGGACACAAGCTCCACAAGTTTAGAGCTACCAATTCAAGGACACCAAAGTGAAAAGCCAATACCACTGCGGATAAAAGCTGCAGTAAACCGGACATTATCCAACTACGAAGGAGCCCAGTCCCAGTCTTTTGGTTTGGCAGGACCACAAGAGGGTATCTTCAGAATTGGGTCTACTGCTTCTTTAAGTACAGTTAGTATTCGTTCAAAAACGTCTCCAAAAGGACTTAGGCCACAATCCTCTAAAAGCCAGTATAATGGAAACACTCTACCACACTTACGCAGGTTGAGTAGTCTTCGAGGGGGAAGCATGCCTCTGAACCACAATAATAGCTTAAAGCCTAGTATTTTTCGGCATCTGACGTCGATTAGAGGAAGGCTCCACGATTCTGTGATGAGAAGAAGGCGCCAAGCAAGTGAAAAGAGGCAATGGAAAGATAGCGAACACTTTGCTAAAGTCATGGGTGCTATTGTTCTCTTATTCTACATTTCATGGATTCCATTGGCTGTAAGTATATTTGGATATAGTAAAATTGTACAACTTCATTTGAGCAGCGTAAATGATTGATGACAAGGAGTGATGCTAGCGATCATAATGACGATGATGTTGCTAATGATTGATGTCGATTAATAATCACGATCATAATCATGATTACTGATGATCATGGTAATGATTGATGACAATGATTGATGGTTATGACTTTTGATTACGCAGATGCTGATGATGGTGACTTATGATAATGATGTATGTAATGATTGATGACGATTGATGATCATAATAATAATCATGATTTCTGATGATCATGGTAATAATTGATGACGATGACAATAGTTGATGATTATGACTTGTGATTACTGACGCTCGTGACTTATGATTACGCTGATGCTAATTATGACGACTTATTACTTTGACGATGACCATAATGTTAGTTATGATGATGGTAATGATCGACGATCATGATATTGATGATTGAAGGTAGTGATGAAAATGTCAATAATGACGATAACGTACATCAAATATTACTATGACAATCATGATGGTAAGTGATAATGAAGCCTTGTTTCATTTTGCAGACAAGCATCACGCTGACACTCATTCTTGGAACGACTACACTGGTTATAAACATCACATACTTTTCTTTAATAATGACACTTGGAGGACCATTACTTATACCAATAGTTTACGGTGTAATGGCAAAAGCGTATAGAAATGGATATCGAAGAGCAATTCACTACCTTTTCTGTTGCAGTTGTGGGACATCTGGCAAATGCTGGTTTAGAAAAATTCATGTAAATGACGGATAATAGCATAAATCTTGTGTTTAAATTGCTGACGAAAGAGCTAAAAAGTAAATGAACGTTCGAGATTTATCAATCTTAAAACCCAAGGACTCTATTTATGAACCCCTGTCTCACTATAACTGATTTTGTTTCACTGATGTAATATGTGAAAAGAAAAATAATATTTATCATGAATAGCATTATCATCTACTTTCGTTTATATAAATTCGTCTTTATCAAATTGGTCACAGCTGGCTCCGTTAACTCTTTGCAACAACTAAGGGGCTTAAGCCATCTTTCAATCAGAAATTGACCAATCAGCAAGTGTGATTCCTCTCACACGCTAACTGATTCGCTAATATGGATGGCCTAACATTTATAATCGAAACGGAACTGCTAATAGCTGTAATCGAGACACTACTTATTGTGTGTTTCCTAAACTATCTAAATACACAGCGATTTTGATAAAGTTTCCGAGAGTTTCATGTCGTCATTGACTTTCTCTAACTCTACACTATATATACAGTGTAGATTGATCGCTCAAAGATGTAATGGAAAATTGTACATTATAATTACTCTTCATTCAAATAAATCAAATCAAATTAATCCAATCAAATCCAATTCAATCCAAAAAAATCCAATCCAATAAAATCCAATCCAAAAAAAATCCAATCCAATCCAATCCAATCCAATCCGATGCAAAAAATCATTCTCAAATCAAAACTACATAGTTACAAATCAATACTACAACGACTCTAAAAACAGCCCTAGTCCACATGGCTGAATTTAACAGCAATAGAGTAAGCTAATCGAGAGAGAGCCCCCATCCCCATAAAGACTGTTCTAACTGCAACTTCCAAGCAATCATAGCCGCAAAGCCAAATCAACGACACTATGTCTAGAAGCAAAAGCCAATTCATCACTTTAATCACTCTACTCAATTTCTACCAATCATAGCCGTACAGATCAACCAGTCACCCCAATCACTGTATTCCAAGCATACTCTCACAAGACGTTAAAGGCTCATGCGCAACCTCCATGCTTGCTGCAGCTGGTTATTTACGAGGGGAAAACAGGGAAGTATTTGGTAATTTCATGCAGTACGATATGAGGCCGGTTTAAAAAAAAACTTTCTCAAGCACCTTTATGGCCTTACATTTAAAATGCTATAAACTGAAGGTTGCGGCCATGACCACCTTTGCGGAGGTAACAGCCTGCAGGCAGGTAACAGGCGCTGCCCTTGTCATCAAAAACAATTTTGTTTAATTAAAATTTTTTCGTTCATAAGTGATCAATTCTAAACATTACTTATAAAGGTTTCCAAAGAAAATCCTGTTCGTAATACAAAAGGTTTTTATCAATGTACTGGTAGTGTAGCAATTTCATTTCGTAGCCTTCCAATAAAATTCCAGATATTTGTTTATCGAGGATTATTCTAAAATTTAATTATCAGCAAAAGAAAAAGGATGGCGGAAATCAAACAAGGCACGTTTCAATTCAAATTACTGAAACGAACCCAACCTGCAACCTTAAAATCAAAGAAACTAGAGTTGTATGACATGTCCCATACAAAATCAGGTCAGTTTCACATCAATATTGGATCATATATTTTGACCTCTATTCGTCATTTTTTGCAACTTTTGAAAACATGAACAACAGTGTGCGCCAACATATGTCTTTGCAAGCATAGTAAGCGTCGGCACCAGTAAATAAAGGAACAAACTGGCAACTACGAACCCTCCTTCTTGTTAGATTGCTAAAATTAGCCTTAATTTCTTACGAACGTTTTTATGGCTAACGTGTCATTTGATAGATATTGATCATCGGGACACTAAGCAAAAAACTCAAATGATATGTTCCATCAAGCGATGCAACTAAAGGCAGATGTCTCAACTGTACTCGAAAAAGAAGCATCAAATTAAGTCTCTTCGAGAATCAAAATGTCTTTGGAAATGTTGAAGCATAAACATTCTTAAGGGAGCTGGGTCACGTAAACAAACAGTTTGCGAGGGACAGCCTGCGTGTAAGAGGGATATGTTTGCCGTGAAAATGGCAGGCAGTGAAATCTTGATACTTGCGGCAATGCTGCTAAGTCTGAACCATATGCTTAAAGCATAGCTTGCAGCATTGTTTACTGTTCGTGAACCTGGACTTCCACAGACAGATATCTCTGCGCTGTCCCTTCGTTCAAATAGCCTGTTAGGGCTTGGGGCGTTAACTTTTTGCGTTCCCGCTGCAGGACAAACGGCTTGTTTTTCGTGGACTGATCAATGAAATGATGTAGAACTATACGTTTAAAATAAATCTTTAAGGCTTTGGCAATGACAAAATGTTCTTTTAGTAACAAAAGGCGTTAAAGTTTTCTCATTGCGCTGAGATTCTTTGTCCTACTAAATCTCACTCAAGTTGCTGTGGCGGATTCACCCTTTCCACAAGCATCGACACACCAACACTGTCCCGCAGCCTTACACGTGACCCAGCCCCTTTAAGTAGCTGTAAGGAAGCACAGAAACAGCAAAAATATCGCTTTTCCCTAGGTTTCTCTGTTTACCAGCCACATGAATCTTTGCACTTGGATATATGTAGCTCTGATACCAGGGGGCCCGTGATATCGTCATTAAAAATACGATTGTAATTGTTATTGTTGCTGTTAAGAAATTTGTTATAGCTCTCTTTTATAGCTTTAGCTCAGCACCTGGGGCAATCTTCCCCCTTGCCCCCTTCTCTCGGTGTGTCTTGTTTGTTTGCGTATCGTTTCTTGTGAATGTTAGCAGTAGCTAAATTTCTTGACTTCAAATATCTTTTTTATCAACTATGTCATGAAGCAATTTACAATGGATCTGAAATGAATAGCTTTGTATTTATTTTTGCTCACATCGTAGTAGCATTGATGCTTCTACAGAACAGACGTGTGACGCCACAGCATCAATGCTCGCCATTTTACATTACGGGAAGAGACCAACCAGTGCAGGAAATACCAATAGACATTGGTTCAAGGAAACAAATCGCAGAAGTAGCCTTCGAAAGCAACATCGTGCGCTACAAAGAAAAATCAATGGAAGACCAGAATTCAGATGAAGAGCACGTTAACCAACAGGTTTCTATCGCCATCGAAATGCAGACAGGTTTTGATGGCGATGCTGAAGATAGTGACCACGGGGCTAATGATATACTGCCTTCAAAAACACCTTTGCATTTGGCAATCAACGAGTCACACTCAGTACCTTCAGTTACGCGCCCAAAACGCCGACGGTTAAAGCGGAGAACGCAGAGCGAAGAAATTCCATCAAATTGGAAGGGAAACAGGCCTTTAACTACAAGTGTATACCTTGATGTTCCGCGACCGTCGATTGACTCCGACTGCCGTAGGGACATTGAAGGTGATACAGACTCAACGGACCTTGAGGCTGATATTTCATCTATAAGCAGCCGTAACGTAAGGATACATTTAACAGCTGTAAATAGAGACAAGATAACGCAGTAGTACAGGTGTTTACGCATCAGGACATATAGCTAAGTGCCAATAATCATACTTGCAAAATCGATATTAACATTCATATGCGAATGCTTGGAAAAAGACTGCTATATGGGAAACGCTTATAAGAGATACACATAGAACAATATAAAAATGTTACGTTTAGTATAAAGCATAATGCTTAGGTAATTATAGGTAAGATGAGTTTAGATCCCCTTTGTTTAGGGCTATTCTACTATCCATTTGTCTGAACAAATGATTAGTGCATCTTACGCACCTGCGCACTAGGGCGAAGGCTAACGGACAAAATTTTCATTTCGTGGCGCTTCAAAGCAGAATTTATTATAACACAGCTGCATAGTACAGACAACAGCAGAGTTATCCTCACTCTTTCCAAGACACCTTTTTCTCTAAAATGTCTTGTCTTTTTTCGAGAATAGCTTATTCCCTTAACAGCCATTAATGTTCCTACCACAGAGTTCGTTATGCGATGTAAAAATAGCATTATTGATTTTAACTGCGCATGTGCATATGATGCGAGATTTTGAAAGCCAGTGGATCTTCGAACATATACTGGTTGCCCCCCCCCCCCAAACAATTACTTCTTTGAAACATTACGTGTACAAATGACGAAATCGCGGACTCCTCACAATTCTAATTTTAATGCATTCGTTGAAGGAAAAGTTTTTTACGATGAAAACTAAATCGCTGTAGAGAATGGTTTTTATTACAACCATCTGGAGAACTTCAGTTTCATAAAAAAGGAGGCTAGTCTAATTCGATCTACAGCCGATTCCAAATGCCAAATCATATGACAAACTGAGTTAAAAATTGTAGGTATAAAGTTCATTATCCCCATTGAATAATTTCAAATTTCACTTAAAAAATGTAACCATACTACTGAGAGTGGTTTTTTATATTATCTAAGATCTAATACATCTATATGAATATCCTCTGCATTAACCTGCTTATAACGCACCAAATAGTTCATTAAACATTCTAATTTTGTTTACGAAATAGCACAAAAATATATATTTCAGATTGTATTGTGTTGTTTTAAAAAACAAATAGGAGACTATTTTACAATATCACTATTATTGAACATGAATTAAATGTATAGCATATTGTAGCACCATTCCAGAGTACATTTAATAAGACACAATGTAACGCTCATTGTACAGGCCTTGTCACGCTTAAATTCATCAATACAAACTTTACCTGTACATTATAGCATGTGTCAACAGAAGTCTTATTATAATTCGTTCACATTACATGATATACATATCTTGAACAGTTTTTGTGGCGGTACAGAACTTAAAAATTGCTTTGAAAAAAGCAAACATTTTATTACAAAACATGTTAAAAATTTTTGCTTTCTTCAAAACCATATACACAATTAGATTGACATGGCATTCGCTACTGCTTTGACGACCATTTCATCAAAGTTCAAAGCTTTCGAGTACTTTTTGAGTTCTTTTTGGAGGTGGGTCACGAAAACATTGAATTGTTTACGAGTATCTGGTTCGTATGCATGGCTGCCTGTAAGGAAAGTAACTATAACTCGTTGGCTGATATACAGTGGGATCTCAATTAATGGAATCACAACCCCCCCCCCTCTAAAAACAGACACCTCTATTCAAGGGGGACAGACACCTCTATTCAAGGACCAATGCCTCACAAAAGCAAAAAGCAGATATAAGAACACGCACAAACAAGAGGGGAAACTTTGCACCACCATCCACAAGACAATAGGTATCTCCTTACAACAAGGAGCAACTTTGGTCACACCGGTTACTGACAAATTGCAATTTCAGAGTATTTTATCAAACCATCGTGTAGACTTGCTACTCTTCTTATCTCGAGTACCAAATGCTAGCTATAAGGTTCAGCTTTCTTTGACAGTATTTTTCATTTTAAGGTGCAAAACACATGGGTGATGAATCTTCATTTACAATATACACATCTTTCATTCAATGTGAAACAAGAGAAAACGAGAAAAAATTGCCTATGAAAGAAATGATTCTACAGGTTTCGTTGCTAATTTATTCTAAAAATTTGCAAAGCTGAATATAATCTAGAGTTGCTATTAGAATTTTAGCAAATAAATCAAACGGTCGTTGTAGAGGATAATATTTAGCATTACTGCATTTGAAGGTTTTATTAATCTTTAAGACAGCAATCGTCTTCACCGCTGAGAAAGCAACGTTGAATTGGCAAGAAGAAAAACATGTTTTTGTTCTCAATACCATCAGTAGCTGGGCACAAAGGATTCAGAATATTCAGAATATCCTTGAAATTATGCAAAAATCAAGCTTACTGAGTCAAACACGCAGCTGTAATAGGGTGGATCAGCTATTTTGATCATGAATGCAGCAGATCAACTGTGAGAATGGACGGATAACTGACCATAATATTTCTTTAAAATAATCACAAAGCGAGACTGCCTGATCTCAGCGTCGAGTTTTCCTATTCATACAAACAGTTGAGATAAAAACAAGATCTGACACGTTCTTGCACATGTCTGCACTATGGTAGCACGTTTACGAAGATCGTAGTTGTGCCCATGATGATTATCACATGAATGCACTGTATTTACTCTAGTCATATTGTTCTGAAAAGGGTAACATTTCTCCTCCATCTTTAACGATGCGGGTTTCTTCTCCATACAGGTTAAGCATACAGCTTCTCACGAGAGGAACGCTTACAAAAGCTAGTTACAGCTAATGCAGCCGAAAATTTGACAGATTCTACTTTTTTCCAATTGATCAGTTAAACCATCATTATGGCTTAATTCGAATCATGAATGTGGGATGTTAAATATATCATGTAATAATAATAAATGATTTTAGCTAATTATGAATTTGACATTGATATGAAAAAGAATGTGTCTATACACTTGGTTCAGGGTGTGTCAAGAAAGATAGCTGAAGAAAAGTGGCAATATTCCTTGCTTGTCTGAAATTTTGTAAATAATAGCATTCATATGGCAGCCAAAAGAATTCTGACTCAAGTATGATTTCGATCATATATAAATCTATTCAAAATCAATCAAAACATTGACACGCTCACAAATACGAATGCGCCAATGACCAATACATGCACACATCATTCATTTCTTATGGGGCACGAATTTTCAATTCCGCCCCATAAGAAAATGGATACATGGGACGAAATCAAACGTAACTAAACGTAATCTGAAAGCAGACTCAATTTGCAGTGTGAAGAAAAGAAAAAAGCTGACTCTGATTGAACAGTGGTGGAACGCAACTTTTCCACCACATTCAAATTTCCTTCCTCTATTGCATAAGTAAAGGCTTCACTAGACGAGCTGGGTTGTAGTAAGCTTGCTATTTTTACAATTAACAATGCTATAACACCAAAATATAAAAACCTACGAAGACAGTCTTGCTTGTCAGATGTCTAAATCATCATCAGGGTCTTCCTCGTCAAAGTCATCTCCTTCGTCCGGCTGATAAATTATCTTGCCGCTTCCAGGTTTGTTAAGCCGTGCGGCTTTTTGCTCCGTGTCAAACATATAAGGCAGTCTTACCTGTGAACGCGCGGCTTTCTCGGAATCTGATAGCTTCAAGTTGAACGGAAGGTTTGCCGTTGGGTCATTCTAGCAATTAAAAGAATTCGGGTGATTGTAAATAAAAAAAGTTGATTCCCTTACTTAAACTTTATGAACTTGGAGAGCATCCTGCTCCATTTAGACAAAAACGTCTATGAAAAGACTATGAAAAGAATTCTGAACCACCAAGCTAAACGAAGCTTCATTTTACGCAATAAAATTCTGAGATAATCTGCATCGAAGACCTTACGTTAATCATATTGATGCATTTTCCTTTTTATAATTGTCCTTAAAGGTTGCTTTGCCTTGAATGGTAGGCATTCTACAAGGCAATATCTGTACAAATGTTAACTATGCTTCGACAGTGTTCGTTGACCTTTTAAACCTTTCCCTCTGTTAGGAAATCAAGACACTTGGCAAACATCTCAGATTTACAAGCAAATATTTGCTTCTCTGTATGTTTCTAACAACCCCCATCCCATCGTTGTCAATAACAACGTATACATAAAAAGAGCTACTGTAGCAATATGACATAAATGTAGCAAGTAAGAAACACCGCAATGCACCGAGAATAAACAACAATAAATATACGTAAATTAGTGAAAACTAATATTTCGCCCCGGCATACGGGGCTTCATCAGAGCAAAAGTTAAGGGACTAAAAATGTGAGACGATGGTGGTGTCGGATTAACTGATATGGAATGGTGTGAATGCAGCGCAGCGATGGAGGAGGGAAGGGTGGCGAATAAGAGAGGGTGGGTGATGGAATGAAAATGTAATGGGGATGATGTACTATAATATGAAATAATGATAATATTGCTGTAAGGTTAACGGTCAGTGGTTCTGTTCATGCCGTTCGGTGTGAGAGTGTTTGCCAGGCCAATGAGGTATTGCTCTTTGCCTCGTCGAGCACCCTCTCGTTTGTCGTTGAGTTTCAGTAATGGTGTTACAGTAAGGTCATTATTGGTATGTTCTGGGCTATAGAAGTGTTCTGCAACACCAGATTTTTCTACTTTTGTGTTGATAATGTCTCGTCTGTGTTCGTTAAATCTGTCTTTCAGTCGTCTGCTTGTTTGTCCGATGTATTGGCAGTTCTTGTGTCCGTTAGCAAAACAGCGTTTGCATTGTACATGCGTAAATTACGTTAGTAGAGTTGCAGTCCAGTCTTTGTTTTATGTCGTAGTTTTTGTTAGTGTTAGTAAAGCCTAAAGTAGCAGTACCGCCTGTGATGTGTTGGCATGTTATGCAGTTACGTCGTGAGTGGAATATGACATAAAAACCTAACAGGAATCGGAGATCAGCTTTCTTTATTTATTCAAAGACCATGCGTTGCACAGGTTTGACAATTCAGTGATGGCGACCGCGTTGTCAACAACAAAGCCATCGAAATTCAAACCACTTTTGTGAAGCAATTAGGTGTCTTTTTATGGTTAAAATCTAATCACACCAAACTTCAAACCGTTGACAACAATTTTAGTTTAAAAATGAAAAAAGTAACTTTTCAAAAAAGAAATAATTTTAACTTTTCATTGGAGAGTCTATCAGCTTTGAAACCTTTGTAAGACTTCACTATACCGGGTTGCTATCGGAGCGGAGCAGAGCGGAGTAACTTTTACTCCGGAATGATTTAGGTTAGCAGTTACACAACGACGCTCCGCTCTCTCGTAAGCCTGTATTCCTTTGCATTTCTGGTACACAAAATCCACCAGATTAAATTTTTTGGTGATGTTTTCGAATCTATGTGCTGTTGCGAATTCGTTTTCAATAGCTATGCAGAAAATGACGAAAACAACCATGAAACAAAGAGATAAACGATGGGGTTCGTAGGACGGATAGCGAGATTGTGTTGCTATCTGATGTGTTAAAGTATGTTTTTCGTCCAAGGGCCACTTCGTTAAAGTGCCACTGAATTGAAAAAAATGAAATTTTTTTTATTGTTGATTCTGGTAGACTAATCATCGCTGATTTCGAAAAAAAGTTTAGTTTTTTAATTTGGAGCCCACAAATAGGGGTTTCTGGGGTTCTTTTGCGAGTAGGTCGTGCGAAAAGCGGCTGGGGCGAGTGACGCATTCAGATTTATATAGTCATTTCAGCCATAGTGAGGGCTGTAAGAAGATAAAATGTTACAAATTGTGTAAAACATGATACAAGCATGAAACCTGATAGAGATAGGCAGTTTGATACGCTGAAAAAGATGGGGTGTGAATAGACGCTGACAAATATTCCCTTGTGCTATTTATAGAGTGGGGTACTAGGTTCCAAACCTCTAAGCAGTAATTGACATAATTTAGCCATTAGATCGCAAAACTAGCATGGAACGTGGTAGTAATAGGCAGTTTGATACGCTGAAAAAGATAAAATATGAATTGACCCTGAAAAATCCCCCTTGTGCTATTTATAGAGTGGGGTACTAGGTTCCAAACCTCTAAGCAGTAATTGACATAATTTAGCCATTAGATCGCGATAACAGCATGGAACTTGGTAGTAAAAGGCAGTTTGATACGCCGAAAAAGATAGGATATGAATTGACCCTGAAAAATCCCCCTTGTGCTATTTATAGACTGGGGTACCAGGTCCTAGACCTCTAAGCAGTAATTGACATAATTTAGCCATTAGATCGCGATACCAGCTTGGAACTTGGTAGTAAAAGGCAGATTGATACGCCAAAAAAGATAGGAAGCGAATAGACGCTGAAAAATACCACTTATGCTATTTATAGACTGGGGTACCAGGTCCAAGACCTCTAAGGAGTGATTGTCATAATTTAACTTTTAGATCGCGACATCAGCATGGAACTTTGTAGAGATGAGCAGTTTGATACGCTGAAAAGGATAGGATGCGAATAGACGCCGAAAAATTTCCCTTGTGCTATTTATAGACTGGGATACTAGATTCCAAACCTCTTAGCAGTAATTGTCACAATTTAACCATTAGATTGTGATACCAGCATGAAACTTGATAGAGATAGGCAGTTTGATACGCCAAAAAGATGGGGTATGAATAGAAGCTTAAAAATATCCCACCGTGCTACTTATGGACTTTTAATCAATTCCATTTAAAATGAACTTCTTTACTTTTTGAGGTCCCCTGACCACGAGGTTCTGGGGCAACTTATCCCATCTTGACGGCCCTGGCAATAACTGATGCTTTGACAGTGGCAACGCAAGTTGGAAAGTGGGAAAAGCGCCGAAAAATGTGCAATTTGTGTGGTTCTATAATAGATCAACTTTTTCCCTTGATCAGTTTGCTCACTTTTATTTATAATTTGTAAAGCTGTTCGTAAAAGCATTCTTATTTGACACGCTCAATAATTCACAAAGGGTAAATGATCGGCATGAAGTCTTGGTAAAAACTGCACGCAAAAAGTTTGCTTATTTCATATGGGTTCGAAATTTTCACAAGAAAATACCTTGCACATGTCTTGTAGTTAGATAGCTAGTGATATTTAGAGCAAAAGTATCGCACTATTTCCATCCACTTCACGTTTTTTTTGGTTTTTTATCGCACTCGAAATACAGTCTTCAGTACTGAAGCCCGCATCACTGCCGCGACTTATAAACGTTAATGCGTCACACATTCCTGAAATTCCTCACAGACCGCGCACAAATTTTCGCACAAAAAGTCTTGAAAATCGCAACTTTGAAGCGTTGTAGCTTCAAAACACTTCACAATTCCGAAAAGCGAACTTCAGAATCGGATTCAGGAGCACCGACTTGACTTAGAACATCAATAAAAAAAATTTTGATTTTTTCAGTTCAGTGGCACTTTAAAATTCGGAAAGAGTTAATTCAAATACGAAAATTGTTTTCACGATTTCGATTTGGCATTATCCAACAGCAACAAAATCTCAGAAAGCGCCATTATTCACTATTGATCGCATTGCTTCCAGCAGAAAACAATAAGAAAATGCTTTGTTTCAAAGTGGAGCATATCGGATTCGTGCGATTACACTACAACGCTCCGCTACGGAGTGACTCCGGAGTGATTTTCGTATCACCTTCAGAGCGGAGTGATTCTCGCTCCGCTAATCAGAGAGTAGTGTACCGGATTGGTGTGGCGTAGTGTACCTCTAACTCCTATCCGATATGAAGTTACTTCGCTCCGATGGCAATCCGGTATAATGTAACTGGCATCTTAGTAACAGGTTCTGTTAATCGCGACATGATAAGTTTAGAAAAACATTTGCAAGATCACATTTAGGTGTTGAAGTACCAAGTTGATCAATGGCCTTATATTTGGTGGAAAGTGGCATATTTTAAGCCATTTTATTATGTCCACTCTTTAACAGCTATTGAGGCATTCAAATGCACCTGTTTATCGCAGCAATTTTGGTATTTTCACTTAATGAGAGGACGAAATGCTGTTTTACGCAATTTTCAGCATTATTAGATCCCTTAAAAAACCACAATCGGTTAGAATAGATGGACTTTACGATTTGTGACTTAACATGTAGCTGGACTTAACATATCACGAAGCGGGCGCTGCGATTAGGCCCATTGCGGCTCCAAAAATTTCCGACCAAAACATTTAGCAGATTCTTCAAGAAAAGTGAGGAAAATGATAGTTCTAGACACCCAAGCATAAAGTAAGCAAAGATATCACAAATTAGTGCAAAGATTAACTTTTTATTGCAAATGTTTCACAGGCAATTCAATCATCATGGCTCAATTTTTGTGCTGTTGCGACATGTCGATATTGTTTAGAAATAGGCAGAAATCAAGAATATTCTTGCATTTATCATTTTCACAATCAAACCTTGATAAATTCTCCAAAACACTCCAGTTAAAAAGTCATCTTATAACTTTTACGAAACTTGCTATGGCCACTTAAATTTTGGTTCGCTAAATTTTTTTGCTGCGGTGCGGCTATTTCTGTTTCAGCCTGTGCAATACTTTTGCTCACTAAGTGTACGTATATGTACGTTAATCAAAGTATCGATAAGCTTATCCGGGTGATATTTCGAAATACAATCACGCTTAAACTTGTGACGATCAATGGTTAGTGAATGAAAAACAGGCTTATCCTGTCATCCCCGAGATTTGATAAAGATCCCACAAGTACAGGAAGAAATTTATCGCGAATAGCGAACTCCAACACAAACACGCATAACTATACAAATTGTTGATCATTTACCATAAACCATATAAAGATTAAATGAATGTGAAGCTGGTCAAGGCAGCACATAGCGAACCAGTTGACAAAAGCTTGCTTTATAGGTAAGTACGTCACGTCTAGAGATTAAAAATTCAAGACACCTTCCACGCTTAAATGCACCTTTACAAGCCAGGCGAAACAGAAAATCGCCTAAACTCCTAAACTAAAATCTAATCCGTCTGTTGCCAAAACTGAGAACTTAAATGCCTTGGCTCTAAACGGATTCATATTGCTAGTTAAAAAATCACTCATAAGTGTCCCATGTATGAAGTATATTTTGAAACTCCTGCTAAAATAACCGCTTTCACTTCTGTGTATATGTTGCTCCCAACATATACACAGAAGTTCCCAAATGACCAAAATTGCAGTGTTGGTTGTAAATCGTTGGATATAAAACATAACGGCATGAAAAACATCTATACGGCCTTAATCGTCATACCATACGGCCACATTTCATAAAAACACCTTACCTGTTCAGTTTCATCGTCTTCTTGATTCGTGAGACTTATATCTTTCAACTTTATCAGCTTGCTGTTTTTCGTAAAAGAGTAAAGTCCAATCTGAAAGAGACAGGAACAAAAGTTCAATCATATAGATAAAAACAAGGTAGATATACTAAAAAATGTTGAATACTAGAAAAGAAGAGATCCGAAAGAAACGCTGACTTAGAAAACCTTTATTTAAAACATGACCCGTTATAAAAGGTAGGTATACTAACACTATACTAATCTCAAACAATCCTTTATTTTTTGGCATATTCTCTATAGTATTAACTGTGTGCGATGAATATTTGATGACATAAAAATACTAGAAATGGAAAAAGGAAGGCGTAAAAAAATGATCTTAATATCCTACCTCTCTTACTACTTTCCCCGACTTCTTTTTAACAATAACATCCACTTTATATGTGTTGCTGCTATTGCCTCCTGATTTGAATAAAGGAAATATGCATGTTAAAAATCGGTTTTGGGAACAGTTGGATACATACACAAAATTATGAAATATGAAATGGTGATAAAAATTCACATTTTTTTCTGTTGAAAAATTATTTTAAAATTTATCCTCGTATCGGCTATCATGGATTAAAAACATTATATGACGAAAGAAGCGTCAAAATAGTTTGTAAATAAGTATTAAACATCAATATATGAGACATAAGCATACAAGAATACCGGTATGAAAAGCTGATTGGGAAAAAAGGGAATTAAATGACTCTGATTGATTGGGCAAAGTATCAGTTGACATCACTGCTTATAAAAACTTTAGATTTTTAAATGAAATCTATCTATTGATAATAAATAGCTAACTGTTCTTGCCTTGTGTTAATTAGGCATAAGAAGTCACAAGTAACTTTAGGAGAATTATAAAACAACAAATAATAATAATTTATGCACAAACCCACAACAAAAATATACTCAAAAGCAAATGGATATGCAGACGAACGAGTCACTTTATTTACTCCGACGATACTTTATTTCTTAACGAGTCATTTTGTCTCGTTGGTATATATAATCTGATGAAGCCCTGTATGCCGGGGTGAAATATTAGTATTCGTTCAATTTAATCTATTTTGAAAATTTATCTTATACAATTAGATTCTTGTCGCCGTTTTCTTTGTTCCTAAATTTTACCCTCGTATTTGTATTATACTCATTGCAAGATTCACAGAATCCGGCAGACAGCCTATCCAGCGGTTCTTCCTTTTCACAGATCATTTTATACTCTGAGAACTGTCGGATAAAATTACTTAATCTAGCCTTGTGTCGTATTTCCAGGCCATTTTTTAACTTTGTACGGTAGTGGCCAATACACTACTCACTTGAAGGCTGAGAGCAAAAGTCACCATATGTTCACATTACATCGCTTGTTCAGCCCACTTCTAGGGAGATTTCTGAATTATGTATAATTTTGCTCAGTCCGGCGTCGAAATTGACCTTGCTAGCGACCGAGGTTGTTATAAATACTATAGTACGAGGACGAGGCTAGTAGCAGTCTTCTGCTTTTCCATGCTACTAAACCAATCTTATCAATAAATTAATGAGAAAATGTGATGTCACCTGATCAAACCAATAGGTCCTCCCCCTCAATTTTTGACCAAGTGTCCGCCCTCTGTAATTTTCGTAGGTTGATGATAGAATTACTGATGGTTTAGTGGATAGAGTCGGTATGCAGATTTACGGGTATGTGGTTCGAGTTAATGACACGCCACCTCTTTGTAGTTAAAAGCTTGGGAATCACGAGATATGAATACGTTGAGAAGAAGGACAATCACACTGCTCGAGATACGTTGAGAGGAAAGACCAGTACACTGCTCGAGATACGTCGAGAGGAAGGGCAAAGACACTGTTCTATACGCATAGCTTCTCAGCGTTTAGACAACTATCTTCGGAAGCTAGGTATTAGCAGCTGCAAAAATATAAATAGGGTTAAGAAGTGTAAGAAGTAAAATTTCATCTGAAATTTCAGATATTGTTCACAACTATACCTTGTCGAATCGTAGCCGCTGATTTTTGATCAATCAAAACATATGCATCGGCAATGTATCTTAGAGCATTCACAGCCATCTCTGGGAGCAAATCACGTTGCACAAATACAATTACCCGCTCAATTTCAACTATAAAAAACAAATCTTATTTAAACAATCTTTTGGTGGTACAAAACTTGTAAATGGCTTTGAAAAAAGCAAACATTTAGTAAACTAAAGCTTTTCGTCTGACACTCTTTAGAGTTTGAAACGTCAGAACATAGATCGAAAACTCTACGCTAAGAAATATATATACCCAATTTTGGATCGAAATAGGCCAATCAGAAACACGAGCACATGACTGTAAAGGTTGACCAATCAGTGCCGCTTGCCTATTAGAATGTTACCAGTGGGGTCCTAAGGTGAAAACGAACTCATTTTGTCTACACAGTAGCGGTTTTTTCATGCTTATGTAGATAGATTCCAAAACTGCTAGGTGGAACGACGATCGGGCTTTACCAATAATCCGAAACATGTCGCCATAATAGTTTTTTGCACAATCTGGGTTTTCTAGCAAATGCTGCCCGATAGCAGAATCGCAGGTTCTGGTTGTAATTTTAGATTTGCAAGATCGTCCTTCCGCCTAGCAGTTTTAGAATCTATCTACATAAGCACGAAGTCTGACTAACAAACGCTAATTTTCCATCATCTATTCCAATGATTAAAAGTAAATACTACTCCAATTAGTGTATCAGAACCCAGTGATAAAAAGATTAGCCTACGGCAAGTGAACTACGTTTCGTGATCATCTTGGCGACCATCTCATTGCTTTATCGTTATTTTTGACTTCCTTGGGAATTCGATTAATTGGTAGGTAGATTAACGTACAATTTGAATCTTCCACAAAAATTTTATTGTGTATGCCTCATTAGAGGAACTCCCCTTCTGAAACAACCAATCCCATTGGTGGATTCAAAAAAATATGAAAATTACTGTAAACTGGTCAAAAATCGCAAGGTACGTTCCTTAACATTATACAACTTAATGCCATTAAGTTGTCCGTGGATAACTCGCACTTTCACTCAAGTCGGATAAGTCAGACTGATTCTAATTTTCTGTTGAATTTTCCTACCTTATTAAAGTTGAAATCTGTTCTCCAGATAAGTCGGGCATTCGCTAAGTCAGACATTTTTCTTAAATCATTTGAAATTCCGACTTGACGGGATTCAACAGTATATCAACTGCAAGTCATTTTATACGCTGTTCGACATTGTCATAATAACAAGCTAGAATACTTAAAATATATGGCGCAACGTAAGAAATTTAAAGTACGTCCTTACATAGTGACTTTTCATTCGCCAAAGATGCGATCATCCTACAGACCTCACTGATGCTTTTGTGTCGGCAAAGCATGCTTACGTCATCAAGTAGGATTGACACCTTTTCTGTTGATCCTTAAAGAAAAAGTTTGTAAAATAAAGCATTTTAAAGGGAAATATTCAAGACAAAACCGTTTATAACAATGATGGATTTAGAACAGATTTCAGTATAACTTTCATAGAGCAAAATAAACAGTAAATATACAACTTATAAGTTCTTATATCAGATTTAAAACTATGAAGATAACTGTTCATCTGGCTGTTCTAAATAGTGGGGCGGCTAAGTAAAATAATTGTGCACTTTGTGATGAAAGCATGAAAATTGGTACACACGCACAGTCTTGCATGCTGAGTAGAGTGAGCTATATGATCACTTTGGCAAATTCCAATTAAATCTATTTTTAGACTGAGAAAGCCATTCCTAGACCTCTAGCTGATTTCTTCAAAGACAGCAGCATCAAAAAATGAATCGATACCCTATATCAATTCAAGCATGTAGAATCTTAAACTAAATGCAGCTAAAAAGTAAAATTAAAAAAATAAGAGCCCGGTGTCATATAGGCACACCCACGCTTTGTTGTGTAAAACAGGACGGTTCTAAACTGCAACTTCGAGTATCCCCTTAGCTTGCGTGCAGGCCTTGACCCTCGCGAAAGAGATACTCCTTCGTGCGCGTCGGAATCTCCACGCACGCTAGTATCCCCTTGGATAAAACTCCGTGTTACAGAGAACTTTATTGCTCTACACAACATAGCGGAAAATTTCATATTGTTGAAGATGTTACATTTTGGTCCGAAGCATGGGCGGACACTTGGTCAAATATTGGGGGGGCAAGCCTATTGTTTTAAGAAGATGACGTCACATTTCCCATTGTTTTAGAACAAAAGACCATTCTTCTTTAAAGTATTGGGAGGGCGATCGCCCCCCCCCCTCTAGTTATCACCTATCGCTCATAGTTATCACCAAAGTGTCTGCCACTAGTCCGAAGTACATAATTATAATTTGCATATTTCTGCAAAACTAACAAAACACATTATATACTGACTTTACAGCGATAAAAAAGATCAAATAGATGTTACTCAATGTATATCTAACAACATATATGTAGATAAAAATAAACTATTTCAAAAGAGAATGCATAGAGAAATTACCTACTTTAGACAAATGAAATTAGAGAAAGGAGTTCCATGTCTATAAAGAAAATAAACGTGGCCCAAATTTGATTTTTTTAGAATTGTTCCTTACCATCGTTCTTTTTACATCTCTCTGATATTTCCTTCAATAAATCGCTGCCAACATTGACTTTTGCAATTTTTGATTCATTATGGCAACTACAAGATGAGCATATAAGTATATGATAGGCATTAGGCTGCTAACAGTGAAATATTACTTTAATGTAATGAATATAAGATAATGAATGAATTTAAAAAGACTTCTTGCATCATGTACAAGACAATAAATTTATGTAAAGGAAAATATGCAGTATAGGTTCAAAAAGTTGTTGAAAAAAAAGAGGAAGGAAGTTATTTATCATGCGTTTTTGTTAACTTACAACAGAGATCAATACATTCATGAAATAGATGTGTTTAAATGGAATCAATCAACAAAAAATGTGAAACAACTAAAAAAGGAAAATTTGAATATTCTTTTTGTCCTTTTACCTTAACCAAATCAAACCCCAAGGTAACAAGAACTTTTTTATCTATTCTGTTTTTGCAGAGTTATTTCATTTAATCGTGTGTAAAATATAAGAACATGACTTTGAGAAAGTTTTAAGATCACAAGATTACAAACTAGATTAAAAATACAATCGTAGCTTCTAATACCTGGAACCCCAGCCAACAGGATCACTAAATCCATCATAAAAATTGATCTTTAACCTGCAGTCAAAATCATAAAAATGATGATTGTGAAAAGGAATACTGGCTACAATTAAAGTTCATTTAGAAAGTAAATCGATATTGGCCTGTTGTATCTATAAAAAAAGAGGATATTAAAACAAATGCACAATAAAAATATCAGGTTTCTACTCTTTCGAATAAAACCAATTGGTATTCGAATTATTAGTCTTGCATGCCATTCAAGAATTTAGTCTTGCAAGATCTCCTATAAAGACGCATGCCATTCTAGATTTTATATTACTATTGGTTGTTCCATGACCTTTTGCTGGCAGTTGTGTAGAAAATAAGCGCTGGGGTATTTAAATTTTTTTTCTTGCACCCAATGACTTGCCATTGTTTTAAACAATTGGCCATTCTCCTCCTCTTTGTATAAAGAAAGGTTTGCTCCCCCAGCTAATTCCCTTTCGAAAAGGCTATGTATGAAAGGGCCATCAGATCATGGAGCCTCTGACGCAAAGAAACCACATTTGCAGCTACAATTATTACAGTAAAGAATCCCCACTTGTGATGAATTAAAACGTGATAATATAAGATGTGGAATGAGGAACTTTTGGCAGTTAATCTTACTAAAGACAGTAATTACCTAAATAAAATGTACATTTTTTAAAAATAACTTGTATGCAAAGTATGCAAACCATCATAATCAAAATAAAAGCAAAAGTGAATTCAATTAAAGAAACTTACGTTGCAGGAAGCAAATCTGCATAATAATTGGGTGGTTTTTTAAAACATATGAAATGCAGTGACTCACATCTGAAAGCAAATCAATACTATATTTTAAGAAAATTGCATAGATTATTTCTTACAGATTTAATAACAACATGCACTACATTTCATCACCTTTCAACAATGTATATATGTAATTCATATTTTTTTAAGATTGGATATAAGAAGAAAAAAGTAGCAACTATCTCAGTAACTTAAACAAAAGATCATTGGTTACTCCGTTCAAGTTTCTGATTCCATGAAAAAAGTGAGTCACCATTCTTGCAACTTTTGTGCAAAATGAATAGTGAAATGATTCTACAACAAATGGATAGAACAGTTCGTACAGAAAATAAATTTCAGAAAATTTCTTTACATGAATGCATGCAAAATCTTATGTTTTTCTTTTCCAATGGCATCACCCTTCTGAATATGTTGTATCAAACAATATGAAATACTTTGACACAATTTATTTAAACTCAAGTGTCCTTGCCAGCCAGTTAATTATGTTTATTTTGGTAAAACATTGAAACTTAAAACTGAAAGACCTTCTTCATTCTTATTTTTTAAAAGAGGTTCTTGAAGAAAAAGGTTGCAAAAAGATTGGTGGTTTCATCAGTGAACCTTTGTAAACTGCACTGTTCTTGCAAACAGAGATGTTTAAGAGGCAACATGTGCACAATTCTAAACTGCAAACTACGATCTGCAAATATTTTGGCTTGGCGTCCTTCTTGATTATACAGGGGGGGCAGGCCCTCCTGTCCCCTCTCTTGCTACCCTCCTTGTTGTGATTGTTGATCAAAAATATTGCTAACTATAAATACTTGCAGTTAATATTTATCCATGGGTTATAAAAACTAGACAAAAAAGACCTGTCAATAAGAGTTTTTGCCTACTCTTCAGTTCCATTTATTGGGCTGACATGAAAATGTTTAATTTTTGTAACTTTTGTGATTTGGTTCCAATAATTTCATGTCATCAAAAGCAAAACTTCCTGATTAAGACATAGACAACAAATTTAGGTGCTAATTTCACCTAAGCAATTTTACCAATGAACTAAGGGTTTTGTGGACCAACTGAGCAACAACCACATCATGATGCATTTAGGGTGTCACACTTGCAACGCCCCCTACACACCAAGCTGCATGTAAAACTTAACAGATGACATAATAATAACTGAAAGTGATAAAAAATGATGAGTATACAAGAAAGAGAATAAAATTATCCAGTTTTTATCTAAAGGCAATTTGGGTTATTCTAGCAGTCTTATTGCTATAATCACTTTCAAAAAATAAAGAAATCTTCAAAAGGCTTTCTAATATCTTAAACGCTTCATTTTTAATCAAGCAGGTTTTTGGTTATATTTATAACATCCTTTCAAAGTGGCTGATTTTAGTTTTTTATTTACGATCTCAACACTACACAGGCTCTTTCACATTTCAAAGTTAAAGATCTTTGCTGTGAAAATTCTATTCCAAATAAATTCCATTGAAAATTTTTATTGATGCAAATTAAACAAAATTTCTCCAGGGTGAATTCTTTGCAGGTGTAGGTACCTTGTAACTTTGCTCCACATGCAAACTCTGTATTTTACTTTCTTTCCCTTACTTCAACGAACGTGTTAGTTGTTAGACGCCATGCTCGACACCTTTAACTTAAAGGAGCATGAGGGGATTTTTCTCAAAAACAAAATGATTTTTGCCAAAGATGTAGGAGATTGTTGGGAAGTGATATGCCCCTTAAAGGCACAAGTTATGCTCAGAAATAGAAAGATCAAACAATTATGAGTGATCTCTTTCGGCAAGAGGAAAAAAAGAGACAGATCGACAATGTGATATGGGAATAGCTTGGAATACCAGAGACTTTCCCTGGCCTGTTGGCACACTGTAACACACATTTTTTCTCTCTTTGAATTATTTTGTCAGGGCAATCCTCTGATCAGATTTAATCTCCTCTACAAAATTCATTGCAGGCATAAATTGCAGTGCTTGGCCAAACTTTTCTTGATACCATTTATACATTTGCTTCAATGACGCCGACATAATAATTTTGAAAACAAAAAAACAATTGGAAATTCCCCAAACCTTAAAACTGGGGTCCTTGATTCTGAGGAACCTGTGAACAAGAAAAGCGGCCTGCTGCACAGAATTTTTCTCCCCTTTTCAATTTGCCAACCAAGTCTGCAGGCAGGTTAGGTAAAGGTTCTGTTGAAGCCGCCTTGCTGCCTAGATACTTCTAAAAACTGATTCTAAAAACTGAAATTTTAGCCTTGCTTTCTCATTGTTGACCTCTGCTAATCTTGGAAAACATTTTAGCAAAGATATGTTTGATAAAATAAGTTTTATCAAAGAAGGAAAAAATTTGAATTACTAATGCTCTTTGCAGGATATGTGGAACACAAATGGAGTATGATAAACACAATGCCAAGATGTGGGAATGGAATCATAGTAATGGAAACAGATATACAAAGATTATAAAGATCTAGACACTTCCATGAAATATGTAACACAAATATATGATTAAAACAAACCTCAGATTTTCAGCATTTAATGTTGACTTCAAAAATGGATAGATTTTAACATTCCTTTTCTCTGTATTTAGAAAAAAATAAAATCACATTTATTTCTTGATTAATAAGTGGATCAGTGGAACATTCACACAATATAGAACATTCACAAGCAATTTTGTATTTTGTGAAAATCTCTAATGTCACCCCTTTCTTTGTGAAGCCACTGGGAAAGGAACCAGGAAAGTAGGACTTGTGGATAGAGATGCAAAATACTCATAAAACAAGACAGAAAACACAGAATGGTGGATATTTACCAATAAGCAATTGGATTGTAAGCAGGGATGCTTACTGTTATCGTTTTAAACTGGCATGTGCAATTCACAATTAGGCTGCTCAGGACTTTGGTGTGAGTTGGTTATTGGGCCATTTTCCAACAACTGTCAGTAAGTTATCGAACATTAGTTTGTGCACGAACTAGGCTATTTGCATGAACAGAACCTATAAATGTGAATTGCTTGTTTTCAGTTTTTGCTAAGGGTAACTAAAGTTTTTTAAGTCAGCTTTCGCATTTTACAAAACTCAATTCGAAGCTTGTATTTTTGCGAAATTTCGCATTTTCACATGATGCAAAGACTTTCCCAAAATACTATAGGCCTAATCAAATTTAAGATCTCTTCCCAAATTTTTGTCTGAAAATCTAGATTCCTTAATGGGCAATGAACTTTCAACATAAACCATATATATCTATGAATTTAACTATAAATCATAACGTTCAAATAGGGCCAATAACGGTTTAGGCCGTAACCAAATAACTTTCTAAACTGAACGACATGTGAATATTTATGTAGCCTTAGAAACTAACCATCAAAAACGCAAATTTTTGCACTTGAACTTTCTTCAATGACAGTCTGCAAGAGCATTTTCTCCTATACCATTACTAGGACTGTCTTTTGAAGTATCGCAATTATATCACTGATTCCCCGCCATTTTACAAAATCGACCTCAAAATCACAACATTTTTCATCTAAACGAGACTGCATTTTGAAAAGTTTATTTGTAAGGGCGTGACGAATAAATAGAGGGGAAAACCACTCTTAAAAAATCTCGTACATCTTTGGTGGAAGTCCTATTGTTTTGTCTGAAAATCCCCAGAAATCCTTTTGTTTTATGGAATATCTCGTACGCTATTTTCAATAGTGAATTGCCCCTCGAAATGAAGTTTGTTATCTTTTTAAAATCGTTGAGATATTTCAGTGGTATATGTAAGATATAGGTTTGTGAGAAAAGCGGAGAAAGAGCCAGGCAGATGGAACATTTTAGTCATAATAATTCTCAGTTTACTCATAAATAACGGCACATAATTCAGTTTTAGCATGGTTTTAGATATGAATAAAGTTTGCAAAAGAATCATTCCTGGCGGATATCTTCAAATATGTAAAGTATAGGTTTGAATGTAAAAGTGTATCTGCTCTTTGTAGATGTATATAGACCCTTGGAATCATCATGGAACTGAAAAGAGAAAGGACACTCTTGTTGCTTCCTTGTATACGTATTATTTACATAAAAACCGATGCTGCGGTGTTCTGAACATGGCATATACCTAACTGCAATGTGCGGTAACAAAACGGTTTTGTGCAGGTATAAAGAATAAAAGTGTGCAATGATAAACGTATATAAAGTCATGGCAGGCAAATTTTACGCATTTTTGCAAATAAAAGTTGACGGTCTCACATAAACACTATCCAGCAGACGGTCTAGGGGGCCTCCCTCGTGGTCAAGGGTAGAGCCATAATAGGGACCCAGCCCCCCTCCCCCCGGACCCAGAGCAACTAGGTTTAATTTCAAAGGCAAAAACCCTAAAGCTCACAATGTCAGTCCTTGCAACCACAATAAATAAATTCGAATAAATTCGCCTTTTTTCAAGAAAGTCATCTTGATTTTTTGTCTAGAATATTATTTTCATGTCTTGTAAGCGTTAATTTTCTAACTGCGATTTGTCCCGCTAAGCAAGACTGATACACTTTGATTGATGAAACGCTTTAATGGACGCCCTTATCTTTAGGAGTGGAAGTTGCCTCACCAACGAGGTTTGCAGGCCTTGTAGCAGTTTTGAGCGAGGGGCAAATCACTCCAAAAAATCTCGTACACCTTTGGTGGAAATCCTATTGTTTTATCTGGAAATCACCAGAAATCCTTTTGTTTCAGGGAAAATCTCGTACGCTATTTGCAAGAGTGAATTGCCTCTCGGTTTTTAGGGTGGCGAAAGGACTGAGGCCCTGAAACGTTCAAATTGTTCAGTCAAACATTTTTCCCATTTAAAAGGTTTTCCAAACTTTCCAGCAAATCCAAAAACGCAGTTGAGACAAAATATCTTGAGATTCAGAAGTGTACACTTCCTGTGCACCTCTTGCGTATGGATAAAGAAAATTGAGATCCTTCTCCTTCACAACTTTCAACCTCGTCCACTTTCTTCCTTTGCCGGCAGTTGTGCGGCACCGTAATCTAACATAGTGTTTACAGACTTTTCGTGCCGCACAAATATGTGAAAACTTGAGTTTGGATTGGTGAGATTTGGTAGAATATTTGCATAACAAAGAGCCCTGCATATTTGTGCGGCACGGGCGACATGCTTAAAAATCATACTGTTTACGGTCTAGAGTGGTCTTGGAATTCTTTCTATATTGAATTAAATCGTAGCATTGTGTGTGAGATCGACCAAGTTCGGTCCTGTGTTTATTGTGTAAAGAGAGTAAAATGTATTATCTGTAAGAAGGAAAATAAAATATTGTGATAAACATGATTGCCTTATTTCAATGACTGAATATTGTGAAGAATAAAATTAAATTCTGAAAATCTGACGGTCTTCCGTGCGACCTGTGCGAGGCATACCGGAAAACAAGGACCCAGGACCAGGACCCAGGACCAGAACCAAGGACCAGGACCAGGGACCAGGACCAAGGACCGAGGACCAAGGACCGAGGACCAGGACCAGGACCAGGACCCAGGACCAGGACCAGGACCAGGACCAGGACCAGGACCAGGACCAGGACCAGGACCCAGGACCCAGGACAGGACCAGGACCAGGAGGACCAGGACCAAGGACCAAGGACCAGGACTGAGGATCAGGACTGAGGACCAGGACCAGGACCCAGGACCAGGATCCAGGACCCAGGACCAGGACCCAGGACCCAGGAGCCAGGACCCAGGACCCACGACCAGGACCCAGGACCCAGGACCGTATATGTTTTCGACGATGCACTAGCCTGAGCCCCAGACTCCAAATCTCTAACAGCACCACACCGTCCATCGCTTCGCTGAGGTACACACAGAATCCCGCAAATGCCTTCGTCAAACACAACATCAAACAGGTTCGGCAGCACACCCTGCGAAAAGCTGGTGTTTATCACGCTAGGTCGACAACATTCCGCGCCCAGAAAATGTTGCAGCACACTCAAGGCAGCACCGCAGCACTCATCACACACAGTGCCATCACCCGCCTTGCAAGCATCCAAAGGTTTCTGGTCACCCTACTCACAAAACCTCGCATCGCAAACATCATGGTTCCTGGTCATTCTTCGAAAACCTCGCAAACACAAAGGCACGATTCTACAACATAAAGACACACGAAGCTTCACGAACATCTACAGTGATTTGAACATTTAACACAACTTTTCTTCCGGACATTTTACTAACATTCTTTCAAACATTTTAGATAACATTTCATCGTTCGCTTCAACCCACTCGCTCTCTAGGGGGGGGGGAGCTCTGTAGTGACCATCGTCTAAACGTAATCATGGCCTCCATTGTGTCTCTGTCATTAACACTTTCCATTGTCTTCATATCCATGTAACGTAATAAACAACACATTTGTATCGTCTCTTGTTTTATGTGTATACGCCCTAAATTGTAATTAGTCAGTAAATTCATCAAGACACAGCGGTCACGCAATATCGTCTGTTGCTGGCTCCGTGTTTTCTGCATGTTAAATAAGACATAAAAACGACAGCATTCGCAACAACAAAAGCAAAATTAAATATAGGAACATCGTCAATCAGCGTTCCTATAACATCGTTGAAAGGTAGCTCGGGTAGCTCGGGAATATGTAAATGTACGATTAAACGAAAGCAACGCCTTGAAATGTGAAATACTCTTATTCAGGCCCGTCGTCAGCCCCCCCCCCTCCCAATATGAATGTAGCTTCATTTAAAAAAGATTTGATTTTATTATCAATAAACGCCCCTCTGTAACAAGTTTCTTTCTACTAAGGAGGATACGCAAATTTTCGACCGGGGCCTAAATACCGGGCAATGTTGAAACCGGAACTATACTTGTGTTATTCGCATTCTCTCGAGGTTCTCAGACCCCCCCGATAAGCTGAAAAGCTGACTCCGTGAGTTCTATCTATTCGGTGGTTTTATTCTGTGGATTTGACTATTGTTACTATTGCAGGCGACTTCGTGCAAAGAACGGCAGTCTCCATTTTGGTAAGTTGCACTTTGCAAGAAACAAAGGGAAAGAAAACAAGGCAGAGAAAAGTAGTAGTGAATTTTCAAGGATGCACGTTAAGGTAAGGAAGATTTGTTGTTCGCTTTAATTGAACAATTATGCGTTAAAGCGTCTAAATTTTACGTCACTGAAGACGGAACTTTGAACATTAATGGAACCGACTGTGCATCTATAACTGCACTGGGCAAGCTTAAGCAGACAGTAATGATCAGAGATGCTCATATAAGAACACAACCACATGTGTAACGAGCCGGACGAAAATCGTTGCCGCTGAGAAATTTCGCCTTTCGAAGAATCGATCGACCGGGACATTCTCAATTTCCCCACAACCCCCACAAGCTGAGATTCCCACCCCCCCCCACTCATTCTTTAAAGGCATTGAGTCATGGCCTTTTCTATATAAGGTCGTTTAGCACCAGTTGTTGACAACTGGCTATTGAGACAGTTTGAGGGAAGTTGTTTTGTAAATCAGATGTAAATCATCACTTAGCATATTTTTATTTACCCATCCTTTTTGTTTTCTATTTGGCGCGTCATCTCATCGCCTTTGACAAATCCGCCTGCCCTCGCCAAACTACCTGCTAATCCGGGTAAAGAAAAAGCTTTAACACAGGGGTGCTCCTTAAAGTTGCAGGTTATTTCAAAGGTTTAGATTTTCGGTTAGAACTTAAGCAGTTTAGACGTCATCAAATCTCTTATGAGTATAAACAGAGCTTCATTAAGTAGCAAATGATGTCATTGCTAAAGCAAAAGCAATAAGTTTTCGAGTAACTGTTTGTAATGTTAGAAAACCGATCGAGCAACACGTGTTGGGGAATGTGCTGAAGAAGCTTCGTGTCTCACAAATGGATCAGGTATTGAGAATAAGTGTTGATGTTTTGGAGCAACTCGCTTGCCTGTAAAGTCAGCGGCGGTTTTAAGGAGGGCGACTGTCCATTATAATTTTCAAATACAGGGCCCATTGCAATTTTTAGTTTTTTTCTTAGGTGGAGGGCCTAGGATCGTGACCACAGAATAGGAATTAGGCAGAAGGGGAACTCCTACCTATGGGGTGAAGCCTGGAAAAATTACCGCACGCGAGGCTTAGCATGTATCTGTCTGGGAAATTTAAAAAAAAATTGAAAGTAGACAACTATATTTGAGACGAAATGTTCCATGATAGTGAACAAATTCAATTATGTATCATAATTCGTTTATATCTGATTATCAACGCCACGGTAAAAAATATTTTAAAAATCTCAAAACCCGTGTACAAACAAAAATTTGAATGCATACGGTAATCTGACAAAATATAAGTTACCTTCCTAAATTAAATGGATTTTCTAAAATTTTCGGTCTCGTTTGCCAGCTTCGGAATTTCCCATACTGAGCCCGGAATCGTCTTTTTGCCCTTTTACCGCATGAGTGATTTTGCCTAACTTGATAACAATAGAGTTAGACATCCAGCGACTTCGTCTCTTACATATCATTGTGGCTAAGTTCGTCTAATGAAATCAAGGTTAAAGGGGAATTCTATTGTTGACTCAGGCTTCAAAAACAAAAAAGGAACCGACGAGAGTTACCCTTCTGCCTATTTCCTATTCTATGTCGTGACCCTCCTGGACCCCTTAAAACAACTGTTTGAAATGCATTCAAACCACTTGAGCAAGCATTGCGATGTTTACAGTCAGGCTTGGTGTCTGAGGAAATTCAGGTCACAGATATAGAAATTCGAATTGTTTGTTCTTTGTCTGTTTAACAATTGTCCATGTTGAACAACAGTTAAACAAGAGATAGCGAAATTTTGTGGTTGAACCACGCAGGAAGCTGCATGCACATTTATCGCAGTATGATGTGGCACACTGCGGCAGGATATGGCAAAAACGCGTCGGTCCTGTTCACACTAGATGCGTTCTCTTCCTAGCGTTTTTCTGAAATGGTGTGTAAACAAGACGACGTTCTGCTAGCTCTGGCCTATCGAAATCGATTGATTGCGTTGAATTTATTGGAGAAAGGCAAAAGAAGCAGTCTTCTTGAGTAAGGGAATTATGGAAATACCGAGAACAACAAGGCCACTTTGATAACTTGGTACAAGAGATGAGGCTAACGACCACTCTATGCATTTAAATTTTGTCAGAATGCTTCCTTCTACTTTCGACGATTTACTCAAATTAGTTGGACCTGCGCTGCTTAAAAAGAAGAGCCGATTTCGGGGACCATTATCCCCAGCATTGAGGCTTGCTGTAACATTGAGGTACTTAGCCACTGGAGAATTACAGGCATCATTGTCATTCAATTTTAGAATTGGCAGATCCACTGTTTGTGAACTTCTCGATGATGTCCCTGAAAAAATCTGGTCGATCTTATGTCCCATTTCAGTAACTGTTCCTCAAGATCAAAATGCTTGGAAAATGGATTGCAAATGATTTTTGGAATCTATGGGGTTTTCCGTCATGTCTTGGTGCTGTCGATGGAAAACATTGTGTTGTTGTTTGTCCAAACAACTCAGGCAGTGCATTTTTCAATTACCTTAGTCCCTTCAAATTTAGCTTAGCTTCAATTTTCGCCCCTTTGATTTTCGCCCCTTTAATTTTCGCCCCCTTTTGTGCACAAGTTCGCTCCCTTTAATTTTCGCCCCTTTAATTTTCGCCCCCAAACCCTTTAAATTTCAAAGCTTTGACCTAATCAGTTTCCAAGCAATGAACGTTCATGCGGCATGGACTACACTCGGGCCTCTGAAAAATCTTTTTTTGCTTGGAAACTTTTTGCTGAAAAATCGTTTTTGCCATTTTTTTCTTGAATTATGAATTTTTTCTTGAAGACACTTTAGAATGTCGTGTACAGGATAGAAGATCGCCAATTCCTAAAGGTGGACTCGAAATACCGATTGTACTAATCGTTAATAAGGATAAGGCGCAAAGTTCTGTCTTCAATCGAATGAAAGAATATCTGCAAGACTACTATATTGAGCCAGAGAAGATGATAGTATCTTCTGACCAAACTGAAGCCGAGGAGAGATTGGCCGCTGATGATCTGGACGAATATGGCCCTGAGGAGGAGAACACTTTGGAAATGGAAGAACAAAATCACCCTTGCAGACATTGGAGAGGACAATATTATCGTTATCGAAGATTAATGGATATTATTTTGAAGTACAGTAAGGCCCCTTGAAAAGACATAGGTTTATCATCTTTGTCAAAATTTTAAGGATTAAGAAATCTTTTTTATGACCTTCAGTATGGCTATTTTTCCAGAAAGTCACTAAATGAGAACTGTAACAATGAAAGCGATCAACGCAGGATGAACATTTGACGCGCGTAAAGATGGTAACTTGAAGTTTTCTTGAAGGGCCTAAAAACTAATAGATTTTTCAAGTTCCATTTAATTTTCGCTCCCTCTAATTTTCGCTTCATCAAATATTTCCATAATTCGCTCCCTTTAATTCTCACTCTTTTTTTATAAGAACAATTTTATAAGAACACGAGCCTCAAAACTGGTCAAAAGTTAAAAACAAATTAAGAACAAGCTAAGGCTGAGCTTGTGAAAAATGCAATTTTGAACAAGGTTTTTTCTCAAAATCGAGGATTTTTAGCGATGTGTGGGTGCTTTTTTCATCGAATATTCAAACTTGTCGGCAAATGAAGGTTGTCTCACTCACTTTGTTGCCAAATGAGGCCTGAACACCTCCTTAGAGCGAACAAGCTAGCACTCGCACTGCTTACACCCTATTAGATTAAGAACAAATTAAGAACAATCCAGCCTCAGATTTTTGAAAAAATTAAGAACAGTCAGCCTGAACTGAAATTTACTGGTTCTTATAAAAAAGAGTACATCATTCATGACATCATAATTAAGAAACTCTTAAGAAACAATCAGAAACAATTAAAATTTCCAGATGATTAAGAAACTGGAGACCTCATTTGTTTTTTTATGAAAAAATGAGTGTAATGACAAAGAAAATTTAGAGAAAATAGTGTTTTGAGAAGTTTCAGAATGAATTTCGGTTTTTATATGCAACTGGGATATTTAACAGTTTGCTAAAACTCTGTGAAGCGCCATGAGATGTAACCTTTGTCTTCGCCCTAATGTGTATGTCATTATGTTAAGTAGCCAGAGAAGAGACAGTGTGTGTTTAGTAGCGAAATATATACATAACATTTTAGCATTTACACGAAAACTAACATAACTCAGCAGTAAGCTCGTTAAGAATGTCAAAAGCGATTAATAAGCAATTACGAATGTCATGTGATTGTCATGTGACTCATGTGACTCTGATTGTCATGTGACTCATGTGACTCTACTTGACACATTATTTTCTCACTTTCTCATTGGTTCAGACAAATGGAAAGAACAATAGCCCTAAACAATGAGAATTTAGACTCCTCCGACAAGTCAGGGATTACGTCTTGCGACATCTTGCAGGCTTCCTGATTTGCACAGTAATATATAATATTGGTTTTGATTAATGAAGGTTTCGGAGAAAAAAACGTGTTTTGTTTATATTTTGATGATGTCGTCGATATGGGGTCTGGGGGGCAGTTTTGAGGTCGCATCCCTTTGAATTTTTTACATTTGTGTTCAGGTCTATCACTGTATCACTGTTGTAAGGTTTATGCTGGCCTCACGAAGTGCACGACCCTCACGTGTTTGCGTGACAGTGCCAGTGCAGTGGTGACCTTTGCATTTTCAGGGCAATCCGTAACAAAAGAATTAGCAGCGCCACTATTCATAAATTTAACAACCATTTGTGTGGCTTCAAATGATTATCGCTCTTTGAATAATATGGAGAAGTTTCGTACTGGGTGTTAGTACAAGCCGTTGCTACTGACAAGACAAACTTTGGCAGTTGGTTTGTTTATCAGAGGACACTCCTTGTATCAATTTGAAAAAATAACTGAAGGATTTTAAGGATTATTTCTCAATGGATGTAAGAATACTTTTTGCAACGGGCGTTGTTCTTTTCACGAACAGAAAAGTTGTCTGGTGATCAATTTAAGTGTTTAACTCGGAGTAGCATCCTAGAACCATCCTTCTCTATACACCTTACAGTTTTGCCTTTACGGCATCAAACACCGTAAGACACATTTTAAAACAATAATGCCATTTACTGAAGGATAACAGTAGTTTCTCCCGCGCTTTCCAAGGAGAAGTTTGTTATCCTATTATTCAAGCAGAAACTAACAGCCCTCTCCAATTCAATAGGAAGTTTGATAGTTTACTGATTCCTTTTTAGAAAAGTCTGTTGGAGCGACTCGATGCAGGAGAAGTAATAATTGGCGATGGAGGTATGATATTCAATTTGGAGAGACGAGGGTACGTTCATGCGGGCCGATTCACACCAGAAGTCGTTTTAGAGTATCCTGAGGCAGGTGAGATTCTTTCTCTGCAGTCAGCCGAGTACACCCGTCTTTGCAGTAACAGGTCGTGCCATAGTTCTTATCATTTTTGTATCAAACCCCCTAAAAAAGTAGAAAAAATATTTTTTCCAATGAAAAATCCTTATTGGTCTTATTGTTTCCAAAAAATGATGAACCTTTATACTTCTAACCTTCCTATGGTACTGGCAGCAGTACATACGCATACAGTATAATCCCGTTATAACGTACTCGGTTATAACGTACTTTCGGATATTACGTACTGCAGGCACCGCGGAGCGTTGAGAAAAGTGGGGGGGGGGCGGCTAGAACCGTATAAAAAGAGACTTTACTGGTAGTTTGTTACTTAACATTTGGCATTTTTGCAAAAGGTTGGGCTAAAGCCTCCGCGGTTCCTGTACTGGTGTACTTGGCCCGGCAAAAGGTCCAAACTTTTCAGTAAAGAAAATACCCCGGTTATAACGTACTCGTTTATAACATACTTTCGGTTATAGCGTACTTCTTCTTTACCCTTTTAAACAATTTCCATCGGATACAATGTACTTTGTATGTCTTCTTTGTTAAAAATCCATTGTGTTGCGTCACTTATATCAAGGTGCCATGTATCATAGGAGAAAGTGAGACCTCAACCACTTGCGATTTTTTATATTGTTTTATCGTTCCCTTGATTGATTCAAGTGCTGCCCAAGTTTCACAACGATTTTTCGAATTTTCGGATTTGTATAAAGCCGACGAAACATGGAAGATGTTGAGCAAAATGGATGCTGCAGTCAACAACATCTGGATATTCAGAAATGCTTTAAAGACTTTGTCTTACTATCTAGCCTATAACAATTTAGTTGAAAGTGTTGTTTTTTACAACTTGGGTTTAGTCACTTTTTAATTACCCAGGCTACAACGTACTTTGGATATAACTTACTTAATCTGCCGGTCCCTTAAAGTACGTTGTACCCGGATTATGCTGTATTTGATCTTTTGCATTACGCATGCTATTAAGTTTAATACTTGAGATTTTTTTTCAATCACTCTTCTACTTTGCAACATGATTTGCTCTGCTTATTGTAGTGCGCCAACTGCATCGCGAGTATGTCCACTCTGGTGCCGATGTATTGCAAGCCTTGACGTTCTTTGCAAGTGACTCCCATCTACAAAAGGCTGGTATACGTGGCACGGTAGACTATTTCAGATTTTTTGTCGACCACTTATGCTTAAGAAACTATTCAGACCCGACTACAACCCTTCTCCCTTACCAAGTGCCTTTTCTTCAAAAGAGTTTTAAAACCTAATGTGAACCAGTAACTCGCATAGTTTTCCTGACTTTTTGATGCAATAAGAATATTACCTATGTTGACAAAGCCTCATGTTTTTCTCTATACAAGTCTTAGAAATATACAACGATAGTAGGTAGGCGAACAATGTTTTCTACGAGAGCCATCAATGGCAATGCAAGTTGCAAGGCTTTCCATAAATTATCTATGTGTTATTGTCCCATTTGTTGCTTCATTGTGAATATATCTACTGTCCTTTCTGTCGAGCGTATACTAAATTTCTTTTCGAAAAAAAGGGATCGAGAATTATTTCTCCTTGTCGTGTCAGTACATAAATACATAATGAATTATTGATAGTGAGATACATTACAAGCTTCTCTGATCTGTGCTACTCTTCTGCTCTATTGATTTTACCAAAAAATAATAAATGGGTGAAGATGTGAATTCGCAACAAAGTTACAGAAACGTTATTGTTAAAGAAGTTATACCTATAGAACTTACCATCAGTGTCCTTATTTCCATTACAAAGCGTCCACCGCCAGTGATGTTGCTTCTTCCCATGTTGGACGTTGGACCCGCTCTCTCTCTCTCTCTCTCTCTCTCTCTCTCTCTCTCTCTCTCTCTCTCTCTCTCTCTCTCTCTCTCTCTCTCTCTCTCTCTCTCTCTCTCTCTCTCTCTCTCTCTCTCTCTCTCTCTCTCTCTCTGGCAATTACAAAGAAATATAAATAGAAGATATACATATTTCACACTTAACAATTTACCAAGTTTCAAACTGAATTCTAGTGTAGAGAAATGAATGATGCTGCCTGCAAAATAGCCAAGGAGGTGGCAGAAGAAAGCAGCAGAGATGTTTTAGTGGCTGGCTGCCTCAGTGAAACGTTTGCGTACACAGGACCTGACAGCAAGGAAGATAGTGCCGCGGAGTTTGCAGTGCAAGTGAAATGCTTTATCGAAAATGATGTTGATTTTGTTGTGGCTGAGGTAGGTTTTCAGCTGGTGAAATACAGCCCCATTATATACTTTTCGTCTTTTTTTTGCATTTTACCGCAAAGTGGCTTTGCTGCATTTTTTTGAGCTTTGCTCTCCAACTCCAATCCTATGAAAAATCAATTTTATAGAATTGAATTAAGTCCTGAATTGAATTTGGGCCTTGTATCTTAGTCTTGTATCAAGATAACTCGTTGTCCCAGCATGGCCCTTTCCTTGATATCTTTCATTGCAAATTTTGGCCACATTGAATTCCCCGAAAATCACACGCTCGATGGCCATCTCTCAAAATTTAGGCCCATCGCAACAAACTAGTCAAGCTCCTTTACAGTTATATCCACCCTATTAACAGGTAGGAAATTTCATGAAACATTTAGCGATACAAATCGGCGCTAATAGAAATAACTTATTCCTAGTACTTCAGGTATATCGAAGAGATGTGTTGGGCGATAGAAGCATTAAGAAAAGCAAACAAACCAATCGTAGCCATGATGAACATTGGCGGGATGGGTGATCGAAATGGTGTCTCCACTGGCGACTGTGCTGTAGAGATGGCTAAATGGGGTTAGTTAAATATCTGCAGTGATGGTTCGGAAAAATTTTTTTTAAAGGCACGCCGGAGCCGTGAGGGGGCTGTCGCGGGGGTGTAGCCCCCTCACCTTTTTGCTGAAGTATGATATTAAGGTTGTAGCAACAAAGATAATCGTGGTAAAACTACCAAAATATTTGCCAATTTTTCCAGGGCTCCCACCCTACCCCCAACCTCTCCCCACCCCAAAATGTGCTCCGGCGTTTCTGTTTTATCATTCTGACTCAGAATTGTTTACCAAACTGATGAGAGAGACACAGTTTACTCATTAGGAAGACAATGGTATCTCCGTATGGTACTATAAAAAACCATACCGTGTTCCCTTTTGTAGATCAAATATATATATATATATATGTTGTTTTGGTATTTCCTTTAGTTGTAGCTCTGAAAAGGAAGCGCTGCTTGAAACATCATCGTGAAATAATTTAAGCAATTTTCATCTGAACCTGTTCCATGGTTAAAGTCAGTACACACGTCTTTTTGCATAATTACACCGACCATAGAGAAGAGAATGATGCTGGTTGTAATTCCTAATACAAAGAATTCATTACCAAAAATCCACATCAATATCTAATTCTTCGACATCATATCCTCTACCGTGAAGGTCCTTCCGGACGGTATGGGCCACAAGGCTCTTGCACACTATGCGTCTGAAATTGCATATGCCATAGAATACCGCCTCCCGAATTCTTCATTCTAGTTTCTTTAACAGCAAGTATAAATAACTTTTAGTTAGAGTTTGAATACGTTACGGTAACTTTTAAAACCGACCGCGATGCCAGTCTCTTGGTCGCTTGCATGCTCCATGTGTAACCCTGTGATCTGATTGGCGCCTTCCAGCTTGTTCACGCGACTTAGCTTCGTGAGTAGGACCATAGCCTTTTTAGCCTAGCGCACACTAGCGATTTTTGTCGCCAGCGACTACGGGAAAAACATCACAGGATTTTTGTCGCCAGCGACTAAAAACTGAAAATCGCAAGTGTGCGGGGCGCAAAAATTTTTTTTTGTTGATCAGCCAATCATAAAGTGTTTTCAAGGCACGTGGAAAGTGTGTTGATTTTTAAGAATATTGACAAGATGGAGGTCACAGGAACATGCTCGTTTTCTTGGACAACGCATTAAGAGGATTTGTTAGTCGATTTGTGGCGCGAGAAACCCTGCTTGTACGCCATATCCTCTCGACAATACGACGATAGGACGGCAAAAGCTGCAGCCGTGACTGAGCTTGCTGATACTCTTAGTGCCACGAGCGGGTACTACTGCTCTCTATTATTTGTAAACGTCTTTGGATAAACACGAATAAGATTTCTCCCTCATTGCACTAACAACTGCACTTCTATTAATATATCCTTTTATAGCAGTATGGGTTGCCTATAAAACGAAAAAATCTCGTACGATGTAGGTTTTACTATCTACTAGCAACTAACAGTAAAACAGATTGTGCATAAAACCCATGTGTTGGGTTCTCTAAAGTACAAAAGAGAAGAAAATATAATAAGTAGCTTAATTTAGGCCAAGCTAAATCTACAAATTTTGGGCCTAATTTTTTGCCATTAAATGTGGCCTGGTTAAATTAAAGCTGGCAATATTTTCATTGTTTTTGTCTAAATTTTCCCATCCCGTAATTTTTGAGGATGTCCAGGCACATGCATTGGTTATAAAAAATTTGATTGTTAATTTCTGGTCATTTTTATCGAGGCTCATTACGAGATGGAGACCAAAAGTCATTGGTTAAGGCAGAAAAAATCGCAAGTGTGCGGGGGAAAACATTTAGCGACAAAAATCGCCGTCGCTGGCGACAATAATCGCTAGTGTGGGCTAGGCTTTACCAAAGAGAGTTGAATTTGTTCTTTGCGACCAGAGCGATTCGAAAAGGCGCATATGTATGCTCGGTCGCAGTGCACCTGCAAACAAAAAGATTGTGTTTATGGTCGGCGAAGAGCCGCAGCAACCTTTTTTGCTAGTGATAGACATAACACGCATGCGTAAACTCTCATCGCTTCAGGTTGTGCGAATTGATTCGCCTAGTGGAAAACCGGCTTGAAATGAATTTTTTTCCAGGGGCTGACGTAATTGGATTAAACTGCTGCTTTGGTCCAGAGCTTCTGGTTGAAGCAATGAAAGATGTCAAGGACGCATTAGAGAAAGCAGGGCTGAAGAAGCATCTTATTTGCCAACCGCTGGGGTTCTTGACTCCGGACGCGGGCAAAGATGGTTATCTAGGATTACCGGAGTTCCCGTTCGGCAAGTATCATTTCTATAATCATCGGACATTCAAGCATTTACATAGTTGCGTAGGGAGGTATGACCAGTTGAAAACTACTGTTCTGTCATTAAGTGCCCGATGCATTCTGTATACGCTTTGGCGTATAGAACAGTTTGATTCCTAGTTGCGAATCTGTGGTTCCCTTGTAAATCAAAGTGTAATTGCATATATATGTCCGTTGTTTGTCCCCGCGGCTATAATTTCTTGAGTACAAGACGACGAGTGAATAAAAGTACAGCCATGAATATTAAGATAAAAAGGGAAATTATTCTTATATTCAGGGCTAGGAATTTTATCTGATCATCGACATCAAATAATTGCATATACTTCGGTTGCAATAATGCCTGAAATTACAACATTTTCCATTCTGTGCGAGTATTCAAGCAAACAGACAAGCAAGCAAAATTTAACCATTACCCAGATTAGGTTTCCTCCTCCTTGTAACTAATTTGGATCTGCGACTAGTTCCACAGAATGATATAGTCAAGCGAATACCCTAGGTACACACAAATATAGTTGTGGGTTTTCTCAGTTTATAATTACAATGCTATATCGTGTTAATTCTTCAATTTGAAAAACGATTATGTTTTTTCATCTTTTCTAAATATTTGTTTTTAATTATTTTGCACAGCTCTCGAGCCCAGATCTTTAACACGATTTGATGCACGAAAATTTGCACGTAACGCATACGAGGCTGGTGTAAAGTACATTGGAGGCTGCTGCAACTTTGAAGCCTACCATATTAGAGAAATGGCCGCCGAGGTTCATTCTTCTATAAATTTTGTCTCAAGAAAGTCTAGTTTTGCCCCTGAAAATTGCACTTTAGAAAGATCCTTATCCCCTCATATACAAGAGCTACAGTCGTCATAAATGATATTTTGAAACACATGATTGCGAGACATGTCCAATGAAGAGAACGTGAATGGCAAAACGCAAATATATATTCTTGGATATATTTTTAATGGTCTCCGTGAACCATTAACTAACCAAGTTATGAGATTAGGCTGTCATCACTGATCTAAAAACGGCATTTTATAATCAGTGACTGAATTACGAATAAGCACACAGGGCACAAATGATTGTGATTTCCCGATGAAAGGACCTTTTTCTTATCGTCACTCTGACTGTGGCTCCTTCAGTAAAAGGAGGTTAACCAATCTACAACTGTCCTTCCTGCGATGAAAAAAAATTGCCGTGGAGAATATGATTTTTGCACTATTCTTTATTGCACTGAAATTCTGTAAAATTTTGCTTTTGTAACAACTACGTTAGTGCTTAAGAATGACAATATTCAAAATTGTGTCGAATTATTTTAGCTTGCAAAAGAACGTGGCTTTAAAGCTCCGAATGCAGATAAAATGTCCGACTGGGGAACTGCTGTTGCTAGCAGTCCTACACCCTGGATAAAACAAAGGTGAGTAGATAACTTTCATTTAATAACTTGTTTTCGATCTATGCGTAAATTGTATTCCGGTTAAAATAACATATATTTTATTTGCTTGGTCTTCCAAGCCTTCAAAGTCTTGGGGCTGCAACCAACTCGGGTATTTTTACTGGGTCTACTACCTAAAATCCTCAATTTGCCCCTCTCGCAAATAAGCCCCCTTTCCTCGAAAAAGCCTCCGGAAAAAAAAATCTAATAAGCCTCAAACCTCTGAAAAGCCGCCACCCTATGATGCCAATTTTGGCATTACAATAAGCCCCCATAAGGGGTTATTCGAAATGCAACAGAAAGTCAAACCATTCTATGATCGATAACACGTTCAATCAGCGAATGAAAAAAAAATGATACACAAGCTACCGTAAACGCTCTATTAATCGCCTCTCTCCTTGAAGCCCCCTCTCTATTAACTCCCCCTCTCTATTAAGCTTCCTTATCAAGCAAATATTTAAAAAAAGCCCCCCTCTCTATTAAGCCTCCCTCCTCTTAACCCCTTGATGTCAAACAAAGAGAAGATGTGCATTGAGTGGGTCTCTTGATGGGTGTGATGATGATAAGATTGTGGGCATTAAATACGGCCCATATAAATATTTACTTGTGCGCCTTAGAAGTGAGTGTTTAGATGTTCCGAGGATACCAATTGATCTTGGTGACTCTGACGAAGATGAACATATAAAAATTGATTGAAAGAACCTTTCGAAGCTGCTAGCAAAGTTTTGGAGAACAGTTCTATGAGATTTTCATAACAAAAAATGCATAAGGGCATTTTTATAACTTTTTACCTTGAATTATTTACAAGCCCCCTCTCTTTTAAGCCCTCCTCTTGGACTAACAAAAGTAAATATGCCCCCAGAAGCTTTTATGGTAATAAGACGACGAAAATACAATGAAAATATCAACGTTTTGAACTTAAATATCTTTTTGTGCTTCATTTCATACTTTTGTATGGTATCTTAGAACAATTATTAGGAAAAATTCCAAATAAAATGATCTTGAAAATTTTAAAAAAGCTTCGAAACGAGATTTTTGTATGGTAACTTGTAGGAGATTTTTATTTGTCCCCCCTTAAAACAACCCCCCCCCCCCAATAAGCTTCCAGGTTACTTGTAGTTTTCTGAAAATTTTTAATGCTTAACTCAAACAGGGGAAGACGCGAGTACTGGGAAAATTTGCTGCCAACAACAGGAAGGCCTTTCTCTTCCGGGATGTCAAAATCACAGTACGATCCAGAATGGAGAAGTAAAAATGGCCTGCCAAGATAGACGGAAAAAAGTATCTTGTAGAGATTATTGTGTATAGGGGAATTGTGTTAAGAAAATGAAGGAGATACAATTATTATTATTCAAGGGTTATCCCTTACACGAAGGTTTTTTTCCCAATCTAATGAATTACACTCTTTTTTTTAAAAGAACCAGTAAATTTAAGTTCAGGCTGACTGTTCTTAATTTTTTCGAAAATCTGAGGCTGTTCTTAATTTGTTCTTAAATTAAGAGGGTGTAAGCAGTGCTATTGCTAGCTTTTTCGCTCTAAGGAGGTGTTCAGGCCTCATTTGCCGACAAAGTGAGTGAGTCAGCCTTAATTTGTTGACAAATTTTGAATATTCACCGAAAAAGCACCCACACATGGCTAATAATCTTCGATTTTGAGAAAAAACGTTGTTCAATATTGCATTTTTCACAAGCTCAGTCTCAGCTTTTTCTTAATTTGTTTTTAACTTTTGACCAGTTTTGAGGCTCGTGTTTTTATAAAATTGTTCTTATAAAAAAAGAGTGTATTACATAACTCTTGTAGGTATTATACAACAGCTTCATGTTGAAAAATATGATTTAAGCTTGATTTAATATGATTAAATATGACTAAATATGATTAAATATAGCCTAATATGATTTAATATGATTAAATAAATTTGTAACAACGTACTTAATAGAAAATCATATTAGACATTACATTTGCTTACTTTCCTTTTTGGTCAATTCTGTGGCGAAAATGATGCACTGGTTCAACATTATTTCATAGATATAAAAATGCATCTATAGTGGGGGTAGGTAATGGGGTATAAGCTACCCCCTTTTCTATCAAAACATAGTCAACATAATTCTTCTGGAAATTGATAAAAATGCAATAGTTTTCAAAAGTTTTCAAAGATTTAGAAAATAACTTAGATATAGAAAATAACTTAGATATAGAAAATAACTTAGATATAGAAAATAACTTAGATATAGAAAATAACACCTAATCTTCGCGGGAAGAGGGTATGATCTCTAGAATTTTTTCAAAGGTTAAACCAGCTAACCTTGATTCCCTCGAATAAAATGAATTCGAGTTGCGAAGTGAAAAGGTTTTTCCACCGCAGTCACATTTTCTTTTCGTTATTCATATTCTCCTTTAACAGTCCGTATATTTCAACGTGTAAATTTAACATGTCAATATAATTTAGGATAGTTCACTTTCAAACATTAAAATTGAAATTTACCGAAGAAGACAGTGGTGAATATAAAGAAAAAACTGTTTTATTTTCCCCAGTATGATACTTTATACCGATTATCTCAAACAATGATTTGGCAGATCAGTAATGGGTAATATTTTATCTTGTGTAATATTTTTCGTCATTTTAGTGCGTAAGCCTAATAAGATGTGCCTCTTATACCAGATATCATGAGCTGTTTCTTTATTCGGTAGTATTGATGTTGTTGAATTTTCGTAATAAAATGAGTTCTTTGTCCCATGGCTCTCTTGAGGAAATATTATCGAGTGTGTGGCCCCCACCACGACTTCCCAAGCATGCAGCACCTCTCCCCCGATCCACCTATTACATAAAAATACACAGAAGAACATAAGAATACTACAAAAGAATTGAATTTACATCTACAAGACGGAACTTTACAAACAAGATGCTTTACGATGACGTACTTGTTGGTTATGCGAGGTATAACAAACTATGAGTCGACCAGTTTCATGGATAGATCCTAGAGTCAATTCAAGAATATTTTTGTTAAGATCAGTTGGGAAGTCTTTGTCACCATATAATAATAAAAGATGTGTTGAGAGCTCGTTTGGAATCTTAACATATCCAAGTGGTCACAGTAATGCAAAAACTCGTGCGAGAAGATTTCGGCGTTGAACCTCAAAAGAAGGGCAAAGCAACAAAAAGTGTTCCGTGTTCTCAATACCGTCGTTCGTAGGGCACATTGGGTTGATGGTATCCCTAAAATTGTACTTGAACTTGTGAAAGTTCAACTTGCTTAGTCCAACCCTAAGTCTTAGTAACTCCTTCTAATTTTCGGTGCATTTGGCTATCGAAACTAAATTCAACATCTCTATTGGCGGAAAATAAACTAAATTCAACATCTAAATTGGGGGAAATTGAGACGCTGCGATAACAAGCATCAGCACAAATCCATATGGTCTCACCTCTACTAGTACTTTGGCAAAAAACTGCTGATGTCAAACGAACCCATAAAGGTTTTGTCGGCCCGTAAAACTAGGGTTTAAATCAACTGGTTAAAAAAGAATGAAAGTTTCACACACCGAGATGAATTAAGTTTAAGGATCAGGTCTACAATTGCCGACTCTTTAGGTAGAAAACGGCATTTTACCTAAGTATTGTAATTGTTTCTCAAATCTGCCTGTGTAACTAATAATGTTGTTCTGACCTTATACCATTCCTAAGTACTGTAGCTTTTATCGATTCAGTGAATGGTGTTGGAAGATCGTATTTCCTGTAATGATTTACTCTTTACAGAATAGGCTTTTTTGGCTAAGCATCAAGAAGACGAGACGACGCAACAGTATGCCAAAACTAACGGTAATCCTCTTCGGTATGACACATTTCTATGTAGTGAAACCACTTCCTATTCCTCGAAATCTAATGCATTGGAATCTTGTATGCTGCAACACTATTAACTGACTATCATGGCCCATATGACTTCTCCCTCCAGCTGAAATAGAGGCTCTTACAGGCAGATATTGGGGGACATTCATTAGCTTCCGTATTTACAGTTTTCAAGATTTCAGAATACAATTTTGGCAAAACATGTTTAGATGGGGGTAAAATTCTGCTGCTAAGTTTGCCAATGTGAAAAAATCGACCAATGACGTGAATTGAGATACCTTAAGTGTTTTGTAACATGCTTGTGACATATTGCACTAATTTCTGCATCTTTTTTTAGATGCAGATTTATTAGCTTTTTCTACTTTTTGCAAAACTTCAGAAGCTTTCTTGCTACATTTTGTTAATTAAATACCAAACGTTAACAAAATTGTATTCAAATGTGATGCGTTTAACCAAATTTCGATTATGAATTGTGCTTCTAAAAGAATCCCTACCATATTATTCATTGTAAACAGCAAATAGAAATCAGAACAAAGACTGAAAACTCTACGCTATAAGATATATACACCCAGTTGTGGATCGCAATAGGCCAATCAATCAGAGACGCGAGCACATGACTGTTGAGGTTGCCCAATCAGTGCGCTTGCCTATTGAAAATGTTACCAATGGAGTCCTGAGGTGAAAACGAACTCCTTCTGTTTACTCAATAGCGGTGTTTTCATGTTAATTTAGATAGATTCCAGAACTCCTAGATAGAACGACGATCGGGCTTTGCCAATAATCCTCGTTAACCTTCAATGTGACTCAAAATGTTTGCTTTTTTCAAAGCCGTTTTTTAATTTTCTACCACCGAAAGATTGTTTGCAGAAAGAACTCATTTTATTATGAATCCAATTATGTGTGTCGGTTGGTGGCTCTCAGATGCGGCTTTGGGGGCGGGTGGTGCCTCTTCCTGATTCACCTGGTAGTTTATATTCTTTCTATGTTAATTTGCTATGTGGGTTACCATGGTCTATTGCTCCCCGTGGTATCAACGTCCTTGCAGTGTTTGTCAAGTAATTAGTAGGTAGCGAAATAGGTAACTTGTTTTGTAAATTTTTAGTGGAATATAAAGAAGAAAAAAAAAATTGCTAAGGCAGCCATTTAGGTCTAGCATTGGTGGCAAATATTTTTGTTGGCTGTTATGAAAACAGACTTTTGACCATATATACAGAAACAGGTGATCTATTATAAATATGTCGACTACACTTTAGCCATTATCAGCTAAAAGCAGAGATGTGATAGTTTCAAAGAAAAGCTCAATTCTTTGCATCCAGCTCTCTCTCAGATCACAAGTGTCCTTGGAGCTAGGTTTCTTACCAATGCTGATAGAAAGCAAACATTTTCTTGGCATTTTATTCGTTTGAATATATCAGTTTCAGAAAAATGAAAGATTGGTCCTATTAAAACCTTACCAATGGTGATTTTCTCGAAAAAAAATTCGGCCCAAAGCTTCAAAATTCAATTTTGTCCAGCACTTCGAAGATGCCATTTTGACCTCCCTTAGGAGAGAGTTTACTAGTTCCTTAGCTAAGCAAATTTTTGGCCCCGAAAAGAACCATTTATTAATAAAAATTCCTTTGTTTAGCAAGGTTTCAGCAAAATTTTCAGGAACACGAGTCTCCTCAAATCTTCTTTGCGCTAACTTAAGAATTGTTGTCGGACCGTTTTACTTTCAAAACACCGGTATTCAGCCGTTATGCATTTTGGAAATCATTATTAGTCAGTTGAACAAGCAAAGTTACAGAAGAAATTAATCTTGCCATAACAATAAAAGATAACACTTCTATCCATCCTCATTTCTTAACCCGGCTAAGTTGGCCATATAGGCATCACTGCCTCACTGCTTGTTCATTACATTATCAACACAGAGAACTCTTAAAGGAAAAACCAATTTCTTGACGAAGGATACTTAATATATTTCGTAGGTGCTGATCACCTTGAACTACAGAATTATTCTACCTCATTTCCTCCCACCTTCCAGCCAGTTGAGCGTTTAAATGGGAAAAATTTGATGCCAACAGGTGATCCGGCAGGCTGAGAGCAGGATCTCACTTGCCCCGGATAAATCGTTGCCCATGTGTAGAAATTATCTAGTGTACCAACACCAGAACTATCTGCTGGTTCAGAGATTTAATGTTAAAGTGCCAAGAGAACACTAAAGGAAACACAACAGTTGTATCCAATCCTTCTTCATTGTACACCTCAGTACAGATTACCTATCTCTCTATCGCCGTCTCTATCGCATCTTACCTTACAATCGGACGATTTATATACTTTTAATCTACACGAACTAAATATGTCTACCAATCAGCATTTAGAAAAACAGGATACAAATTTTACGTCAAAGATTTTTTATGAATAACTTTAAAATGCATATACGGATTAATAAATGTCGTTAAGCTGTTTGTTTAGACCGATGAATAGCTTGAGTCAGCCCATGATTAGCCTGAGTCAGCTCAAAACGCCGTTAACCAAGTCTATTACGGATACCTACACAAACATTAATTACGCAAGCAACTCTATGAATTAACAAGAAGAAAAAACAAATCTCTACACGAGAAGCATCTACTGCAGTGCTATATTAAATGCGCTAGCATCAATGGAAAATCCCAACACACTCCCCTCCTTGACTCACTCTGAGTCAAGCATGAACCTTGTTTTCCATTCTGCGTCCTTGGCTGCTGCTCGCCTAGCCCTAGAAGGTGGTAAGTATTCACCCCCGTCCTCCTCTCTCTTTTCGCGATCTGTTTCTTGTCTACGACTACCTACATCTGCACATCTAACTTCAAATGGATACAACTTCTGCAATGGTCTATTCAAAAACTCTGGCTTACCCTTGCCTCCAATACGTAACTTAGCACCTCTTACCACTCCGTCTTTTCCGGAAATCAGTTCTTTAACCAATCCCATCTTCCAATTACCTCGTTTTACATTGTCCTCTTTGATCAGTACGATATCTCCAATTTTCGTCTCAGCGTTATTTCCCTGACTCGATCTGTGTACTTCTCGTAAATCTGCAAGATATTCCCGTCTCCATCGAGACCAAAAATGATCTAATCTTTTAACGAGAAATAAGAAACGTTTGCTGTAGGAAGGAATGTCATCGTCAAATAAATCTGTTTTACACTCAACCCCTTCAGCCAGTTGTGGTAACCTTCTACCGTACATTAAATGGAATGGTGTCAATGCTTCAAAGCCTAACTCATCATATACATACGTTAATGGTCTGGAATTAAGTGACCATTCAATTTCTATCAACAATGTATTTAACTCATCAAAAGATAACCTGGAATTCCCTAGAGTCTTTCTTAAACTTCTCTTAACGCTACCCACTAATCTTTCAAAATGGCCTCCCCACCAAGGTGACCTTTCAAGGTTAAATCTCCAATCTATCCTTCTGGCTTGTAAAAAAGAAAAAACTGCATGATCTTGTGCGAGTTTAAGCAAGAATTTATGTGTAAACTTGAATGTCTTAGCATTATCTGAGTTTATCAAATGTGGTGTTCCTCTACGCGCAGTAAATCTTCGCAAACTACGAATGAATGTTGGCCCTGACAAATCGTCTATCAAATCTAAGTGCAATGCCCTTGAAGTACAGCAAACATACAATACAACATAGCACTTTTCCATAGTCAAAGATTTTGTCTTATGGTATAACGGACCAGCAAAATCTATCCCAACATTCTGAAAAGGAGGCGTCCTCTGGACCCTAAAGTCTGGCAAATCTGCTACTGGTGGAACGGAATAAGATTTACTTTGAGCTTTTCTACAGGTAATGCAATTCCTTAAAATTTTCTTAACCGTCTGCCTTCCTTGTGGAATCCAATATTTGCAACGAATCTCTGCTAATGTCGACTTCAGACCATTATGCATAACAATTTCATGACAAGAACGAACAATTAACTCCGTGATCTTACTTTCTTTTGGTAAAAGAATAGGAAATTTCCCTTCAAACTCCAAATCTGAGTTTCCTAGCCTTCCCTTACACCTCAAAACATTATTTTGCTTGATCAATCCTAGATTGGTACATAACTGTTTGTATCTGTGATCCTTGGGAATAAGTGCTTGTGCATCAATTATCCAATTTTGTTCTGCACTCTGAATTTCTGAAGCACTGAGTTTTTCTAAATTCGCAGGAAGCTGATTATGAACTTTTGCTTTTAAGTTGGCAACAAAACGCAATACATAAGCAGTTACTTTTAAAAGGCGACCTAGAGAGCTAAACCTGCTGATGTCAATAATTGCTGACATACCTGTTTTCTTTTGTTCCACAGCTGTTAGAACCATTGCTGATTTCTTTTGTTCCTCTACTACATCTTGGGTTTCACTTAACAGCAGTTCATTGGGCCAGTGTTCTGCCCCCATCAATAACCAATGTGGTCCATGCCACCAAAGTCTATTTTCAACCAATGCACTCCCTTGAACCCCTCTTGAACCCAAGTCCGCTGGATTGCAAGCACCAGGGCAATGTCCCCAGTTCTCTTTCTCTGACACTTTCAATATTTCGTCGACTCTGTGTTGTACAAACTGCTTCCAGTAACCTGCATTGTTTATCCAATAAAGAGCAGTCTTGCTGTCAAGCCAATACCTACATCCTACTTTGTTTAATTGTGACTTCAAGGCTGAAAAAACAACTTTCATTAGAGTGGCCAAAATTCTGGCTGACATTAATTCTAAACGTGGAATGCTTAGTTTTTTCAATGGTGCAACACGAGTTTTTGCACAGATGAGTTGAGAGTGTATACCCTTGTCTGATTCATAGACCAAATAAACCATGGCACTATATGCATGCTGACTTGCATCTGCAAATCCATGTAGCCAACAATTTTTGACATTCATAGCATCCAAGTCATACAAGCAACGTGGTAAAGTTATTTTTCCAACAGTTTTCAAATCATTAACAATTTTCTCCCACCTACATTTCTTGTCTTCTGGTAGCTCCTCATCCCAATCATATTTTTCCACACATAAATCTTGAAATAGAACCTTTATACTTACTGTGACTGCACTAATAAGTCCTAGTGGATCAAAAAGTTTGGCTAAACAACTCAATATCTTTCTCTTTGTGATTTTCTCACCTTCCATCACTTCAGTTACTTTACTTAGGTCAAACTCAAAAGTGTCATTCAAAGTGTCCCATGATATACCTAGAACCTTTGTTCTATCTTCAAATAATTTACTACCTAGCATTTCTTTAGCATAAGTTTCTTCATTCTCTTTAGTCTCTGAAACTTGAAAATCATGCTTAAAGGGCCACTCCAGCCCAAAACTTTTTTTGCATAAATTGGTAGTTAGTCGAGAAAAAGAAGCTATCGTGAGATTTTTTTTCGAAAAGCTTAACTCGTTTTCCAGATATAGACGCTCAAAGTTGAGAATCACCGTAAAAATACGACAAAATTTTTTTCGGAAAAAGCACTTTGTGACGTGTGAAAGGGCTATTGTTTCAACATTCGGCGCTATTGTTATACGTTCGCACTGAAATTCGCACGACTCGGTAGAGGCTCGGAAGAGGCGATTCATGTCGGAATCTCGGTTGTCGTTTTATTTATTTTCCTTCATTGCGATTGATGTTCAGCGGAGGCTTCCAGCCAACATGGACTAGTAATTCGACAAATCAAAGATGGAAGCTTCAACCTGAACTCATATCCTCATCTTGGCAACGCAGCAAGCTTTTCAATATGGAATGCTTCACGAATTTTCAGATGTGAATGGATTTCTGACCGAAGGCATTTCTTATCGTCGTGTCATCTCAGGGATTTCCAGGGAGCTGAATAATAGAATTGATGTCTCACCGCAGTAGAAGAAGAACCCCATTCACAAGATGGAAACTTTCCCGTAAGTCACAATTCATCCTTATTATCATTTTACTATGTTGAATGTTAGGCGAAACTGCAGGGTGTAGAGGTTTGGAGGGGCTCTAAATACAGGTTTTCTAACAGCCAGTCTTGTGAACTGTCCCCCAAATGGTCAGAAATATGGTAATATGAAAAGTACAACAGGGGCTCTCAAGCAAAATGTCACATAAAATATTACCAAAAGTAGAAGTTTGCTACTTTTTTGTACCAACAAGGGGGCCTGAGCCTCCTAGCACTACATCCCTGCCAATGATCTGTGCACTACACCTTTTTGAGGTATAGATGTGTAAAATTTCCCAGGGTTTGTCTCCTGAACCCTTCTTCTTCATGTTCTACCTTGTTCTGCCTTCAATTTTGGAGTTCTGCCTATTTCATCATAAAATTGATGCACAATTTCAAAATTTTGCCAGATCAATATCCAGGGCAAAAGATCTACTATCCAAAAGAAAAAACATGGAATTTACACCCTTGGTTTTGGAAAAAAGATGTGTAATATCCTCATTCTAATGTTTTAAAGGCAGAATTGTTTATATTTGTTAAATTTACCTTTGCTATTCTAGCATTGATTCATAAAAGCATGGCCTATATCTTCAAGTTAATATCCTTAGATGCTATTTGCTATAGTAACAGTGGTTGCCCTTTCACCCCTAAATTTCTCTTTGAGCCTTCTAAATATCTATACTCTGAATGCCCCTGAGTGTCCAAGTTTCTTTGATCATTTTATGTTTTAATATGACTCAAAAGTAAATTTCACTGGTATGTTAGTATTTATCCCTGTCAACCTTATTATTCTAGGCATAAAAAAGGTTACAAACTCTTTCTGGATCAGCAGAAAGGATCTTGCGAAAAAATGCTAGATGAAGGTTGGATATTACATGCATCCTGTTATCTGGCTACTGGCTTTGTGGGAGTGATAACTTGCCCCTCTCTTCCATTCAAGAGTTACCACAAAGACCTCAACACATTATTCTGTTTTTGTATTAACATTTTCACAAAGGAGACTATTTTTCTAAAATTATCAAAATTTTATATATAATTTGGTCATATATAATGTTTGCAAATTATTTAAAGCTAGTAACAACATATAGGTATTTTCTAGAAGTTTTGCAATAGATTATTGTTTCATGATACTTTTATAAGAACATTTCTCATGTGCAATAGAAATTACAAATTGCTAGCTAGTTCACTGGCCTGATTGTATAATTCAATGTAGCCAAGTATTTAAATACATCAAACATGTATTTATTATTCATAAATATAGCAGGTTGAGATTCTGACAGCTTAAAGGAGCTGACAAGGCCCCTGTAATAGCTTAAAGGTTAAATACAAAAATTATATTTACAAAAGTATATTGAAAAAGTTGAATTATTAATATAATCTCAAATCCCTTTTTTGTTTGTATAAAAACAAATTTATAATTTTTGAAAAAGTTGTTTGACTCATGACTAATGGTAGGTTTTTAGTCTTGTCTTGAAAGTTGTATACTTTCTTGTCCATGTCCTCATTTATCCTGTTTTATTTCCAATAAGTCATGTTGATATGAAGCTCTTTATCCTAATGAATATGTTGTATCAATTCATACAGCTTTCATTCCCGGTATACTGGTTTTGTTTTCTTCTTTCCTCCCGAATTAATTGCGCGATGGTTTTTTAGCTGTTGCACTAAAGGAGGGGCTGATGAAAAAGCGCGAATCTTCTTTTTAAAATCAGGGAACTGGCCTGCCAATACAAATTGCTTCAAAAGCAACATTCCATGAAAGTCTGTCAACATCCTCATGTCTCTGTCTCGCTGGCCTACTTTGCCAATTTGACTTCTCTGTCAGAAAGATTCGTGCGACAAAAAACTTCCTATATTCGATCAGAGTATCAAGACTGATGAGCGATACTTCTCTCTTTATATCGATTCCAGATAAAAGTCTGGCCTTCTAACAAACATGCCGCTGCTAGGCCCTGTCTGCCATTTCGCTAGGTTCTCGTTGACCCTTTGGACAGCCGATGATACTTGCCGCGAACTTACCGAGGCCGAAAATGCCTGTGACGTCAATCCGAAGATCTCCGATAACACGGTTGAAAAACAATTCAACTCAATGACCATTTTACAAACGCTAATAACTACAAAACGGTTAGAGATATGAAAAAAATAATAACAGATTCGTTTTCAGGAGGTCTGATTACATCGTGTTCTGAAATAAAAATTTTGGGCTGGAGTGGCCCTTTAAAGAATTCTTCTACCAAATCTAAACTACTACTCTTCCATTTTCTGAGGTTGAAACCCCCTTCTTTCATTCTTTCCACAGCTTTCAAGTATAGATTTCTTGCATCAATTAAATTTGAAGCTCCGAACACTAAATCGTCTACATAGAAATTATCAGCAAGTTTCATAGCAAAATCTGGGTCCTCTTCCTTATATTTGTTAATATGGAATCTTAACACAGCATTCAAAAGAAATGGAGATGAATTTACCCCAAAGACAACTCTTTTAAAGCGATAAACTTCAACAGGAGAATCCTCATTATGAATGTCCTTGACCCATAAAAATCTCAAAACATCTCTATCTGATTGATCTATTTCCACATTCAAAAAGGCTTTTTCAATATCTGCTACCATAGGTACTTTGAACTCCCTAAACCTTAACAATATATCAAATAACAAGGGTGTGAGTGGTGGGCCTACATGTAAACAATTATTAAGTGAGGTACCTGTTTTTCCTTCCTTTGATGAAGCATCATACACTATCCTTACTTTTGTGGTCTCTGCATTCTCTCGAACAACGGCTTGATGCGGTAAATAATGTTGTCTCTCACTGGCTTCTAACTCTGCAACTTTCTCAATAACGCCATCTTTCAATTGCTCTTTAATAATGTTATCATATGTTTGCAGCACCTCTGGTTCTTTCTTCAATTTTCTTAGCTGCCCTTTCAACCTGCAAAGACTGTTCGTAAAATTAGATGGAAGGGGTTTATGCCCCACCTTCCAAGGCAATTTAACAGAATACCTTTCGCCTGTAAAGGAAACATTGTCAAGCAAATCATCATGAACTTCATCTGTATCTCTTATGCCAATTGTCTCCAAATCCCATAATTTCTGTACCTCATTATCCAAAGACGATTTAACCTTATTTGCAGGTGAAGAATCAAGAATGAGATTAACACTAGAATTCTCACAAGAAGCAACTTTCATACCAATTAATGGTCCTGACAACACCCATCCAAGCTTCGTTTGCACAGCCACAGGCTCTCCTGGCTCCCCTCGTATAACTGTATCCCCTTGCAGCTCATACATGAAATCATTACCAATTAAAACATCAATGGTCAAAGATTCTTGCTTAGCTGAAACATCTGAGAACCATAATTTAGTAAGGTGTTGAAATTTATGCTTAACAATCTCTGGATGCTCATTTCTAATTTCTGAGATATGCTCAACTACAAAGGCTTCTACACTTGTTGGTTTACTACCTTTCACTGGATACAACTTGAGTTCTACTACATCTCTCAGACTCTCATTAACTCTGGTGGAACCAAATGTAGTAATTCCTAAGCGCTCTTGCTTAATGGGGCTCAGTCCTAAGCGATCAACAATGTCCTTCGTAACGAAGGTCCTATGGCTACCTGTATCGAAAAGCACGCGTGCCCTAACAACTTGTTTGCCTTTTAAAACCGCTTGTGCTGTCTGCAATGCTACGCTCCCCCCGTTACCTACATTTCCTACGCAAGAAGTTGTGCTAGCAAGTGGGGTGGGTACTGATGGCACAGAAAACTTAGATCTTACTCTATCTACTTTAACGTTATCACATAAAGACGAATGGTGCTTTTGTTTACATTTAAAACAAACGAGATTCGAGCGGCAATCGATACATTTATGGTTTCTTCTTAAGCATAAAAAACATTTACCATACTTAAATACGAGCTTCTTACGTTCTCTTACATCAGTTACATTTTTACAGTCATTTTCTTCGTGACTCCCACGACAAAAAGTACAAAACAGCCTTTTCTCTTGAAATTCAGCATGTTCTGCAGCATGCAAAGCACTTCCGCTCATCGGGTTTTTCCCTGCAAACCTCGATTTGACATCAATGTCTCGCCCTCGCGTTTCTTTAAATATGGGCTGGTTTCGTTCCCTTATTTCTAGTTCATTTTTAAATGCTCCTAGAAAGTCTTCCATGACCCAGTCATCTTGCTTCCTAGTACCCCTAATCATATTCAAACGAACAACATCTGGTATTTTTTCCATAAGGGTCGGAACAACGATGCAAGAATAATTGTATTGGTCAACACCCAACGCTTCTAGTCCCCGAAAATGGGTCTCTAAACTATCGTACAAGTCCCTCATTTTTGCAACGTTCCTTTCATTAAATACTGGTTGCAAGCTCATCATGTCCTTTATATGAGCTTGTTTTATCAAGGACGGTTTCGCAAATCTTTCCCTTAGCAGATCAATTGCTGTCGCATAATTTCTTTCAGTTAGCTCTAACCCTGAAATTACTCTGCTAGGTGAATCTTCTAAATAGAACTTTAAATAGGCAAACTTATCAATCGTTGAAAGTTCATCATTCCCATGAACGGCACTAACAAAACTGTCCCAAAACTCTGACCATTCTTGGGGCTTTCCGGAAAACTTCTTAAGTTCTAATTTTGGCAACTTCGCCCTTACTTTCCTTGAAGATTCATTTAAACTGAGGCTATCAACTGAAATATTCGAGTTCTTTCGTCGTGTTGATTCTTCAGGCAATAAACATTCTTGAACGTAAAGAATAGCAGAATTTACCTTTTCTTGGAAGCCTGCTGAATCCTCGATCTCTTTGCTGATAGGGTCAACGCCTTCGGTTTCGGATTCGGTTTCTTCGTCTGCTATCAGTTCCAAAATCTTTTCATCTAAGACCTTCAACGTGTCTCGTTTCTCTTTAAGCTGAATTTCCATCTGCTTCAGCTCCTTTTCGTCGCCCTTGCGCTCGTCTATTTTTCCAATCTGTCTCGTCACATATGCTCGATGACCTCTCCTTATTTTCTTCAGTTTTCCGATTTCCATTTTCTCTTCCTTTAACTATCCCTGGATCGGTGGACCACGATGTAGAAATTATCTAGTGTACCAACACCAGAACTATCTGCTGGTTCAGAGATTTAATGTTAAAGTGCCAAGAGAACACTAAAGGAAACACAACAGTTGTATCCAATCCTTCTTCATTGTACACCTCAGTACAGATTACCTATCTCTCTATCGCCGTCTCTATCGCATCTTACCTTACAATCGGACGATTTATATACTTTTAATCTACACGAACTAAATATGTCTACCAATCAGCATTTAGAAAAACAGGATACAAATTTTACGTCAAAGATTTTTTATGAATAACTTTAAAATGCATATACGGATTAATAAATGTCGTTAAGCTGTTTGTTTAGACCGATGAATAGCTTGAGTCAGCCCATGATTAGCCTGAGTCAGCTCAAAACGCCGTTAACCAAGTCTATTACGGATACCTACACAAACATTAATTACGCAAGCAACTCTATGAATTAACAAGAAGAAAAAACAAATCTCTACACGAGAAGCATCTACTGCAGTGCTATATTAAATGCGCTAGCATCAATGGAAAATCCCAACACCATGTAAACACAAGATCGAAATTACAAAGCTTTGTATAGGAAGGTTGAATCTCACCTCCCAGTCCATAGGCTGGAAGGTGGGAAAATTCTGCTCATATGAACAGCAAGATACTCGTCTTATAGCTAGATCACGTTTAAGTAACCTTTTGAGGATGAGTTTATCTGTCTACAAAAATTAAGGCGAAACTGCTGAAGGCAGCCGTGTCATAACAATATTATTTTTTAATGTCACGAAATACAGTTCAAGAAAAGCTTTACATTTAACGAGACCAAACATCGGTTGTTTCCCCCATCGTTCAATGTTATTTGAATTCCCGTCTATTCGTTTGTTTCACTCATTCGAATTGCAGTTGAGGTTAATGAGTCAATAAAGTTCTCCAGCTGGTCTGACTAGAGAGAAGCAAGCTGCTACTGTAGCTTTCAACTGAAGCCGAATGTCTTGTACCCTTACACAGTAAATGATTGGATTCAAAGAGCTATTAAGAAAAATGATATTGATCGTCCAGAATCTGGCTATATACTTTGAAGTTTCATCTACTTGTACCCGCTCAAAAACCCTTCCTAAGATGAAATATGGCAAGTAAGACAGATAAAAGACGCTTAATAGAATGAATGCTGTCCAGGACCTTGACTTCTCTCCTTTTAAATTGCGTATGTTGGTAGTGATAGCGGCTGGGCTTCCACCTTCTTCGTTGTTCACCACACTTATCTCAAGTCTTTCAATTCTTGAAGTAGCACCTTGATTTAAGTGGCGAGACACCCCATTGTCAACCAATTTTAAATCACGGTTTCTTGGAATACTTTCAGCAATTGCAACTGTAGCCGTTCTTTTCGTCAATGATCTTATGGTACGGTATATTACTATATATGAAATGAAACAAAGAACGAGAGATGTCAAGAAAAGAAATGAATATATCAACTCCACTGAACCCTGAGTAACTACCTTGAAGAACGAAAGCGATGAAAGAAGTACGATAGCAATCCATACAAGCAGCACCAGAATCAAATACTTTTTATATGTAACGTATCTTATATACCTGTATGGAAACACTGTTGCAAAACACCGATCAAAAGCAAAAATTGTTATATTAATAAACGATACTGGAACGCAGGCAGACCCAAGGAACAAATTCATCCTCTGAAATAAGCAAGAAGGATAACCGTAAATATCAAAGATGCGACGAGTTACTGCGATTGGTTCTGACAGAAATCCAACAAGAAAATCGCTCACAGCCATGCTCGTTAAGATAAGGTTTGCTGGCGTTCGAAGCTGCTCTTTTCGTACGAGGGAGACAACAATAACGGCATTAAGAATGCTGCTAAAAGCCGAAGTTGATATGAGAAATACAATTTCCGTTATCGTCGATGCGTAAAACTTTCCACTATTTGGCCGGGGAAACGGTATACCTGTAGAACATCTAACAGTTTCATTCAATGAGGTATTCTGCATTCTGTAAATTTGAACCATAAGCCACAACAACCGGTCACTTTCTAAAGAGGAGCGATATCTGCAACATTGAAAATCAAGTAAGCTTTTTTTACTGCTGTAAGAACTAGAGACGACTGACAACTTTGAAACGTGTGAAGCCTTTATAGCACGTAAAGAAGTACTGAATAATTAATAGCTAAGCTAGTTGCATTTCTTAAAGGTCTTCGTTGTACTTTATGCTAAGAGCGAAGAATGAATTATTATAAAGTATTCAGTATTAAGCTCAATCTTTCCTCGTTTACTTCCAAAGCTAAGACCTTTTCTACTTAGAGACTCAGCAGGCCAACATAATTCTCAATCAAATTTTACTAATGGCTTGGGTTCTCGCAACGACAGGCAACAGGACATTTTCTAACAACCTAAGCCTGATTTCCTCAGAGATAATGTTGTGTGAGTGCGCACAAAAACGTCACAAGAATTCTTTTGACAATTTCTTACTATGAATGTGTTGGTTATCAAAAATTACAAAAACCAAATTATGTTGATTCTTATGATAAAAGTTTCTGGCAATTACAGAATTTCAAAATGGCTCAACATCATCAAACATACAATTAACAGCCCTTTTGGGTTCATGCAAATGTTTGCAATGTCAGCTTTTCCACTACAATGTCAACTACAATGTTAAAATTTACTGAGGTGATTTCAACATAGGCTATAAAAGGAATCCGAATTTATCTGCGTCACAATATTGTCTGGCAGGCTGTTCTTCATACTGGAAAGATTGAATGAAAATTGATAATCTTTCAACATCAACCCTCCCGAATTTGGAGCATGATCTTGACAAGTCCTTGTCACTGGACAAGTTTCAGGGGTGGGGGGAGGAGGAGTATTAGATCCTAAGCAACCTGATTTGCAAACAGTTTGTTAACGTATTCCAGTTGCAATAGCAATGTGCGTGATTCAAGTAAGTCCCAATATAACTTTAGCAACAAATCTGTCATACCAGATCAATAACGGAAATCTCCCATAACAAAATGAGCTCCATTTCTTTGAACCTTTTGGATTCTTTGTTTCAGTTCATTAAGTATACCGCAACCAGACTTCGCAGGCGCATAGCGCAAGGTAAAGTTTTTCTCGCACCTGGCGTTAACACTCAGGTTAGAGTTACACTATACCGGAATGCTATCGGAGCAGAGCAGAGTAACGTTTACTTCGGAGTGATGTTTGGGGTAGCAGTTACACTACGACGCTCCGCTGGCTCATACGCCCGCATTCCTCTGCATTTCTGGTAAACAATGAAGTGTACTTTTGTAAACCCATGCGTAGAATGCACCAGATTAAATTATTTGAGGGTCTTTCTGAAGTTGCGCCGTAGTATTCGTTTTCAGTAACTACTGCATAAAATGACGAAAACAACCCTGAAAATTGAGAGATAGCAAGATTGCGTTGCTATGTGTATCTGTTTTGTCCAAGGGCAACTGCAATGAAATTTGGAAAGAAATGAAATCCAAATACGAAAATGTTTGGACGATTTTCGTTGGGCACTATCCAACAGCAACAAAATCTCAGAAATCGCCATTATTCACTAACGATCGAATTGCTTCAAGCAGAAAACAATTAGAAAATTCTTTGTTTCAAAGCGGGAGTATATCGGATTCATGCGATTACATCGTTTTAGAACGGCTAGAAATTGATGCCCATGTTTTATCAAAGTGATTTCCAGAAAACTTAATGAAATTGAATGAAGGGAAAAGTCATCTTCTTACTTTTCGAACAAACCAAGATGACATTAAGATCAAAATCGGCAAAGTCATTTTGATCTTAGGTAAAGTTTTTCAGTTGAAGAAAGCTCTGAAGAAAAACTGCTAGGAGTAATAACAGATTAAAATCTTAATTTCAAAAGTCACGTCTCAAATTTATGCAAAAAAGCCAGCCAAAAATTGCATGCCCTTGCTAGAGTATCGCCATTTATGGGTTCTGATAAACTGCGTCTTCTAACGAACAGCTTCATAAAGCTCAGTTTAACTAATGCCCCCTAATTTGGATGTTCCATGACAGATTTCTGAATGCTAAAGTGAACAAAATCCACGAAAGAGCACTCAGAATTGCTTATAAAGACAGTCATGCTGACTACGAAGCATTGTTGACATTGGACAATGCAGTATCGATTCACCAACGCAATCTACAGTACTTGATGATAGAAATATAAAAAACCAAACATTACCTGAACCCTAGTTTCATGAGTGAAATCAAAAAGCCAGGACAACTTCTTATGGTATAGAAACTGTGAGATATTTAGGTCAAAAACTGTGGCAAACACCACCTCACAGTATAAGACAGTCCCAGTCATTGGCAACATTTAAAAAAGAATTAAGAGCACACCCTGTAGAATGCGACTGTAGATTGTGTAAAACATTTATTGTTTGGTTAGGTTTTATTTAGAATATTAAACCTTAAACATTTTTAACATTGTACCAGATATATATATTATACTAATTCTTCATAGATAGTTGGCCTTAATAAGCTTCTTTATAGGAATTAGACGTTCATTTAGTACGCCAACTTTAAACAGATTATTTATTTATTATTATTATATTATTATTACACTACAACGCTCCGCTACGGAGTTACTTCAGAGTGATTTTCGTATCACCTTCAGAGCGAAGTGATTTTCGCGTTGTGTACCGGATTGGTGTGGCCTAGTGTAACTCTAATTCCTATCCGATATCAAAGTTACTTCGCTCTGATAGCAGTCCGGTATAGTGTGATCTGAACCTTAGAAACATATTTCCGAATTAAGCCAAGAGATCTTTTTGCCTCTCCTACTGTTTGATAAATAATTTTTTTCCAGCGTAAGTCCTTGCAAAAAAATACCGAAGTATTTATATAACTCGACTTTTGATTGGTGTCATACCAGAAATGTGGTATCATTTTGAATGGTATTTCTTTTTAACGTAATTGTCATAGAACAGGATTTGCTAAAATTGAATTTTATATTTCGAAGACGGTTCCATGCAGAAAGCTTGATCAAATAATTTTGCAATGTTAACGAGTCCTCTATTGTTTTGATCCTTCAGCAAAAAGTATTTTTTTCAAAAGAAACGTCGTTAACAATGTCAAAAAGAACATAAGGAAGAATACGGGACCAAGGACAGATCCTTGAGGAACACCAAGATCAAATTACAAGGAGGCAACTATTCTCTTTCCATTGCGACTCTTTGAGTTCTACCAGTAAAAAAAATTTAATCCACATAATAATTTGTCACCGTATACCGTTACTGCGTTGCTATAACCATGATTTATCGTAAGAAACCTTATCAAAAGCCTTGAAAAAGTCACGGAATAAAACGTCGGTCTGGCTTTTGGAACTGATAGATTCTGCAAAACTGTTTACAAACATGAGCAACTGGAAAGTACGCAAATATTTCTTGTGGAGTCCATGTTGCTAATCATTTATCATTTAAAAAGTTTCTAAATGCAAATATATGAGAGACCAAGGGGCGGAGTTGCTCCAAATTTTGAGCCCGGGCAAATAAGTCGCAAATGGCCCTAAAAACAAATTAAGTCAACCTGTTTCACAAGAGTTTTCTGCGGCCACACATTTAAGATTTGCTCAATAGGCTTTTGGAATGTTGTTTCTAGTTCTCATTAGTTACCACCAGGGATGTAGACGTAGGCAAAAAAGATTAACAAGGAGGCTCTAAAATCCGTAATCTCCGCATCATTTTAACTGAAAATTTAACTCTGACGTAGGATAAGAGGTAGAAGAAAATCATGCCATTGTTGGAAAGGGAATTTATCGTTTTCTAGCCAAAGGACTTTGAAGTGGGGGAGAATGTAGCAAAGGAGATTTAACGGCAGGTTGTGATCGAGAAGTTATCATAATAGCATAATAGTGTATGAATTTCTAGGGTTGAATTTATCTGCATAAAGTATACTTGCAGTGTGTTTATCACTAAACTGCATAACAATGATAATCTGGGACCTCGCTATTGATTGGTGGATGACTAAACCTTTCAAACATAAAAAGCTGCAATAAAATAGTGTCTTCCCAAAGAGCAAATCATTGGCTTAATGAAATTTCTAAGTTTTCAAGAAATATCTTGATATCTAATTTTCCACTAAAAAGGTAATGGGTTTGATTTTTATCGATCATTAGTTGAGCAGCCAGTTAAATTGATTGGTTGAGCAGCAGCCAAGATGAAAACATCAGCAGTATGAATAGGGCTGGCAAAACGTTATTGGAAATGGGCGGAGTGGGGGTGGGGGGGGGGCAGAATGTTTAGATTGCTCAGGAGTTTAGTAAAGATCGCCATCATTCTTATGAAATTTGGCCGAATTCGAACAATATTTTGGAAATATGGCATTATATGGATGGCCGGAAAATGCATCTAAAAACCAATCAACAACAAAACAACCCACGTCTTAAAAAAATTCTAGAAATAATTCCTTCTCAAACGTGGCATCATAACGAGGCCTTCATTTTTGCTCCATTCCAAGGTACTGATAAAAGCTTGTTGTTCCCGAGCGTGTGTTTGCAGATTTTCCAATATGTTTATGAAAAGATTGGAAAAGCGTGAAAAGGAAATTCTAAATATTGAAATTTTCAATACCAAATCCGGATAAAAGTGGGCAATGATTCTAATATTTGTTTTAAGTAACTTATGTGATTAATGTTATACTTTGTGATTAATTTGATTTTTTCATTAATGTGATTAATTTGTGATAAAAGTGTGATTGTTGTTGAGAGCGTACGTGATCTTAAGCAGTGATTTGCCCCTTATTTCCGTTTTCTAGAGATCGTCCTGCTCTACGGCAGGTCGATGGAACCTTAGGGCCCCTTCAAACTAATTCGTTTTTGCCTTGCGTTCACACTACTCTGCTTTGAAAACGGAGTCATTTGAAAATGCTAATGAAAACGGATACTTTCGAATACGGTGCGTATTGAATACGCTCCGTTTTCAGTGTGAACACCAAAAACGGATACATTTGAATACGCTAACAACGGCAACAAAATACGTGCTTTCTAGCACACCAAATCTCAAAATTTTGAAATTGGAATTCACAATGGACTGGTAGCTTTTACAACAAGGTGTTTCAGCAATTGCTTTTATTTCATTTTATTCATAATGATGCCAATTTGTTGAGGATTTGTGAACGCCTCTTTTCAAAAATGAGGCCACAAACAGCATTTTTGTTGGAGCGGTGTCAACACATACCGTATTCGAATCCTATTCATTTGAAAACGGATTAGTGTGACCGAACAGCGTTTTCATCAACGAAAACGGAGCGAAAAGAATACGGAGCAGTGTGAACGTAGCCTTAGAGGGATAAGTGAAACTGGTTCAGTGGCAAATTTGGTGGGCGCAATGGAAAATTAACATTTGTTTACTGACAAGCTTAATCCCTGTTGCCTATGAACAATAAAGATTAAGTGTGTCAGAAGTTTTCCTGAAATTTTGTTCGGTGCGTCAAGGGCCTTATCTATTCTACAGTATTGGTGTTGTTGAATATTCATATTAAAACAATTATTCGGTGGTAAAAAAATTAAAAATGGCTTTGAAAAAAACAAACATTTTGAGCCATACTGAAGGTTAACGAGTATTATTGGCAAAGCCCGATCGTCGTTCTATCTAGCAGTTATGGAATCTATCTACATAACATAAACATGAAAAAACACTTTTGTGTTGACAGAAGGAGTTCGTTTTCACCTCAGGACTCCATTGGTAACATTTTCAATAGGCAAGCGGCACTGATTGGCAGTGGCGTAGCTAGCGGTCATGCTTGTCATGCCGGGCATGACCATCTATTTTCAGAGTTAGCATTTTTCAAAAAATTATATTTTCGTAAGAATAAAGTCCTATTCTCCTGATGAAATAGCTCAGGCCATTCGCCTTTGGAGCCCTATGGTTCCACGCAAGAATATGGAGCCCTCCGAAGGCGCTCTTCTATTGTTGGGCATGACTAAAACAGAGGGTTTCCAATTTAGTCATGCCCATAACTATGAGCATGACCAAACACTGTGTTTTAGTCATGCCTATAACGCTGGTTCCCTATGTTTGGTCATGCCTAACAATAGGAGTGACGCAGGAGAGAACAAAGGCTAGTCATGCCATTTCGAGAGGGCATGACCATCATTATAATCATCAGAACCGTCCTGTGTTATTTCGTGAACGCGAATGCGAGGCATCGATGGCGGCGCTGCTATGCCTAGTTCCACGAGCTGGGAGGTAATTCTCTGTAAGTAAAATGCAAACAAAAGCTTATTGCCAAGCAGCCACGGCTCATGTTAATCTTAAGAACATTTTATGGCAACGACAGGGTTTTTCAGCCTTAATGGTGTTGCACTATGTGGAGAAGTGACAGGCACGAAAGGCCATTTTTGGACATAAAATCAGCGAGCAGGATCATTTTATGCAACCAAACCAAACTCTCAGCCTTTTCAGTAATCAATTGTTACAAGTTGAACATTTGCAGAGAATCTTCTTGATTTAATGAATGCCAAATCTTGATTCTGTTCACTGGAGATGGATGGAGGAGATAGCAGTGTTATTTTCCAAACCAACAGATTTGAGAGCTTAAAACTTTCCAGACATTTAGCAGCATATTCAGAAACTGTTAAGCCCTTCAAAAGCATTGTTACCATATTATGATTAGGACAATAAGATTTTAGTTAATGGATAGGGAATGCCAGAACTTGCTTAAAGTTATTCTTCAATTTTTTGTTTATTATCACATGCAATAACACTGTTTTTACACACAATTAAAGTCAAACTCAAAGCTCTACTGACTTCACTTTTAGTTGAAAGTACTTTTTACTACTTATAGCTGTTGAAATAAAATGACCAGAGACAAGTCAAGCATGTTACTGATCTTGTTAGTTACACAGTTTTATTTCACTATTACAACTTTTGATGTATTTGAAAATTTACAAGATCAAATTATTCATTTACAACCCTTGTTTGCTAGATTTAGTAAGGACAATCCAATCATGTGGATATTTAACACAAGTATATGTGGAAACATCAATGTTTTTGTTAAGCTAAACTTATTTTGCAAGGTATTTTTCTATTAAGTCTAACTTTGCAGAAAACATTTTGCAACTAGGCCTATCCATTATTTTAGCTTCCTCTATTTCATATCAATATTTACATTGGATATTCATTTGCCAATTTGTTTTATTCATCTATCAATTCTATTGGGGTTGTTATTTAATCGTGATGGCTTTGAAATACCTTCAACAGATTGATAATAAGACTATTTGTGGAAAAGATGACCAAAAAGCTCCAATTCAGTTTCATGTGATTTATTGTTTCATATAAAAATTTTAGCTTATCTCTAAAATTTACAAATGTATTCCAGCCTGCAAATTGAAAGAAATTAGGAGAACAAAACAATTTTTAATTTAAGCTAAGTTTATCTACTATACTAAACTAATGTTTTTTTAATGTCTTTTGTATAGTTCTGTTTTGAAATTGTCAGAACTCTGTCTGTATAAATTACCAACAAACCAAAACAGTGTCACAGCTATAAGATAAAGGTCATTTCATGGTGTAACAAGATGATTGCTATGAAATAAGAAAAGCTCATTCCAAAAGTTAATCACAATTCTTTTTATAAGTCACAAGCCTTAAAATTAAAATTTCCAAAAGGAATTCATCAACTAAAAAATTGGGCGTGGTAAAATTTGGCCACACCCATATTTTTTCAAATTTGAGGGGAGGGCATGACCACTGCTATTTGGCTAGCTACGCCACTGCTGATTGGTCAACCTCAACAGTCATGTTTCTGATTGGCCTATTGCGATCCACAACTGTGTATATATATTTCGAAAATATCTAACAAAGATGCAGAAAATAGTGCAATATGTTACAAGCATGTTGCAAAACTCTTTAAGTATCTCAATCGACGTCATTGGTAGATTTTCTTTACAGCAACAGTATTTTACTCCCATCTGAACATTTTTTACTAAAATGTAATTCTGAAATCTTGAAAACTGTAAATACGGAAGCTAATGAATGTCCCCCCATATCTGCCTGTAAGAGCCTCTATTTAAGCTGGAGGGAGAAGTCATATGGGCCATGACAGTCAGTTGATAGTGTTGCAGCATACAAGATTCTTATGCATTGGGTTTCGAGGAATAGGAAGTGGTTTCACTACATAGAAATATGTCATACCGAAGAGGATTACCGTTAGTTTTGGCATACTGTTGCGTCGTCTCGTCTTCTTGATGCTTAGCCAAAAAAGCCTATTCTGTAAAGAGTAAATCATTACAGGAAATACGATCTTCCAACACCATTCACTGAATCGATAAAAGCTACAGTACTTAGGAATGGTATAAGGTCAGAACAACATTATTAGTTACACAGGCAGATTTGAGAAACAATTACACTATTTAGGTAAAATGCCGTTTTCTACCTAAAGACTCGGCAATTGTAGACCTGGTCCTAAAACTTTATTCATCTCGGTGTGTGAAACTCTCATTCTTTTTGAACCAGTCTATTCAAAACCTAGTTTTACGGGCTGACAAAACCTTTATGGGTTCGTTTGACATCAGCAGTTTTTTTGCCAAAGTACTAGTAGAGGTGAGACCATATGGATTTGTGCTGATGCTTTATATCGCAGCGTCTCAATTTCCCCCAATCTCTGTGGAAATTGTTAAAGAGCTATTGACCAGTGCATATAAAGATGTTGAATCTAGTTTCGATAACCAAATGCACCGAAAATTAAATAGAATCGCTAAGACAGCCATTTAGGTCTAGCATTGGTGGCAAATATTTTTGTTGGCTGTTATGAAAACAGACTTTTGACCATATATACAGAAACAGGTGGTCTATTATAAATATGTCGACTACACTTTAGCCATTATCAGCTAAAAGCAGAGATGTTATAGTTTCAAAGAAAAGCTCAATTCTTTGCATCCAGCTCTCTCTCAGATCACAAGGACGTCCTTGGAGCTAGGTTTTTTACCAATGCTGATAGAAAGCAAATATTTTTTTGGCATGTTATTTGTTCAAATTTATCAATTTCAGAAGAATGAATAATTCGTCCTATAAAAACATTAGCACTGATTGATCTCGAAACAAAATTCGGTCCAAAGCTTGAAAATTCAATTTTGTCCAGCACTTTGAAGATTTCCATTTTGACCTCCTTTAAGGGAAAGTTTGCTAGTTCCTAAGCTTAGAAACTTTTGGCCAAAAAAGGACCATTTCTAAATAAAAATTCCTTTGTTCAGCAACATTTTCAAGAGCCTAATCAAATCTTCTTTGCACTAACTTAAGAATTGTTGTCGGAACGTTTTACTTTCAAAGCAACTAGACGTTATCAGATTCGGCTCATCTTCAAAACATCTGCATTCAGCCGTTATGCATTTTGGAAATCTTCATTTGTCAGTTGAACAAGGAAAGTTACAGAATAAATTAATCTTGCAAAAACAATAAATGACAACACTTCTATCCATCCCCATTTCTCAACCCGGCTTAGTGGACAGTATAGGCATCACTACCTCACAGCTAGTTCATAATACTATCAACACCGAGAACCAAATTCTTGGCGAAGGATACTTAATATACTTCCTAGGTGATGATCACCTTTAACTATAGAATTATTCTACCCCATTCTTAACAAACTGAAACGAAACGGTTACGATAAAATAAAGACCCTTTTTTATTCAAAAGTTTTCAACACCCAAACTTTAACAACTACGATATCCGTTCTTTGGTTTGATCACGATAAAGTAACCTCTTGAGGATGAGTCCGTCTGTCTATAAATATCAACGCGAAACAGCTGAAGGCAGCCCCGTCGTAACAATAATATTTTTAACGTCACAAATACAGCTCACAAAAAGCTTTACATTTAACGAGACCAAACATCGGTTGTTTCCCCCATCGTTCAATGTTATTCGAATTCCCGTCTATTCGTTTGTTTCACTCATTCGAATTGCAGCTGAAGTTAATGAGTCAATAAAGTTCTCCAGCTGGTCTGACTAGAGAGAAGCAAGCTGCTACTGTAGCTTTCAACTGAAGCCGAATGTCTTGTACCCTTACACAGTAAATGATTGGATTCAAAGAGCTATTAAGAAAAATGATATTGATCGTCCAGAATCTGGCTATATACTTTGAAGTTTCATCTACTTGTACCCGCTCAAAAACCCTTCCTAAGATGAAATGTGGCAAGTAAGACAGATAAAAGACGCTTAATAGAATGAATGCCGTCCAGCACCTTGACTTCTCTCCTTTTAAATTGCGTATGTTGGTAGTGATAGCGGCTGGGCTTCCACCTTCTTCGTTGTTCACCACACTGATCTCAAATCTTTCAATTTTTGAAGTAGCATCTTGATTTAAGTTGTGAGGCACCCCCTTGTCAACCAATTTTAAATCACGGTTTCTTGGAATACTTTCAGCAATTGCAACTGTAGCCGTTCTTTTCGTCAATGATCTTATGGTACGGTATATTACTATATATGAAATGAAACAAAGAACGAGAGATGTCAAGAAAAGAAATGAATATATCAACTGCACTGAACCATGAGTAACTACAGTGAAGGACGAAAGCAATGCAAGAAGTACGATAGCAATCCATACAAGCAGCACCAGAATCAAATACTTTTTATATGTAACGTATCTTATATACCTGTATGGGAACACTGTTGCAAAACACCGATCTAAAGCAAATATTGTTATATTAATAAACGATACTGGAACGCAGGAAGACCCAAGGAACAAATTGATCTTCTGTAATAAGCAAGAAGGATAACCGTAAATATCAAAGATGCGACGAGTTACTGCGATTGGTTCTGACAGAAATCCAACAAGAAAATCGCTCACAGCCATGCTCGTTAAGATAAGGTTTGCTGGCGTTCGAAGCTGCTCTTTTCGTACGAGGGAGACAACAATAACGGCATTAAGAATGCTGCTAAAAGCCGAAGTTGATATGAGAAATACAATTTCCGTTATCGTTGATGCGTAAAACTTTCCACTATTTGGCCAGGGAAACGGTAAACCTGTAGAACATCTAACAGTTTCATTCAATGAGGTGTTCTGCATTCTGTAAATTTGAACCATAAGCCACAACAACCGGTCACTTTCTAAAGAGGAGCAATATCTGCAACATTGAAAATCAAGTAAACTTTTTTTACTGCTGTAAGAACTAGAGACGACTGACAACTTTGAAACGTGTGAAGCCTTTATAGCACGTAAAGAAGTACTGAATAATTAATAGCTAAGCTAGTTGCATCTCTTAAAGGTCTTCGTTGTACTTTATGCTAAGAGCGAAGAATGAATTATTATAAAGTATTCAGTATTAAGCTCAATCTTTCCTCGTTTACTTCCCAAAGCTAAGACCTTTTCTACTTAGAGACTCAGCAGGCCAACATAATTCTCAATCAAATTTTACTAATGGCTTGGGTTCTCGCAACGACAGGCAACAGGACATTTTCTAACAACCTAAGCCTGATTTCCTCAGAGAAAATGTTCTGTGAGTGCGCACAAAAACGTCACAAGAATTCTTTTGACAATTTCGTACTATGAATGTGAACATTGGTTATCAAAAATTACAAATTATGTGATTCTATATATTATGTAATTACAAATATAAAAATTATTGTGATTCTTATGATAAAAGTTTTTGGCAATTACAGAATTTCAAAATGGCTCAACATCATCAAACATACAATTAACAGCCCTTTTGGGTTCATGCAAATGCTTGCAATTCATATTCCACTATAATGTCAACTACAATGTTAAAATTTACTGAGGTGATTTCAACATAGGCTATAAAAGGAATCCGAATTTATCTGCGTCACAAAATTGTCTGCAGCAGGCTGTTCTTCATACTGGAAAGATTGAATGAAAATTGATAATCTTTCAACATCAACCCTCCCGAATTTGGAGCATGATCTTGACAAGTCCTTGTCACTGGACAAGTTTCAGGGGTGGGGGGAGGAGGAGTATTAGATCCTAAGCAACCTGATTTGCAAACAGTTTGTTAACGTATTCCAGTTGCAATAGCAATGTGCGTGATTCAAGTAAGTCCCAATATAACTTTAGCAATAAATCTGTCACACCAGATCTATAACGGAAATCTCCCATAACCAAACGAGCTCCATTTCTTTGAACCTTTTGGATTCTTTGTTTCAGTTCATTAAGTATACCGCGACCACACTTCGCAGGCGCATAGCGCAAGGTAAAGTTTTTCTCGCACCTGGCGTTAACACTCAGGTTAGAGTTACACTATGCCGGAATGCTATCGGAGCAGAGCAGAGTAACGTTTACTTCGGAGTGATGTTTGGGGTAGCAGTTACACTACGACACTCCGCTGGCTCATACGCCTGCATTCCTCTGCATTTCTGGTAAACAATGAAGTGTTCTTTTGTAAACCCATGCGTAGAATGCACCAGATTAAATTATTTGAAGGTCTTTCTGAAGTTGCGCCGCCGTTGTATTCGTTTTCAGTAACTGCTGCATAAAATGACGAAAACAACCCTGAAAATTGAGAAATAGCAAGATTGCGTTGCTATGTGTATCTTGTTAGTCCAAGGGCAACTGCAATGAAATTTGGAAAGAAATGAAATCCAAATACGAAAATGTTTGGACGACTTTCGTTGGGCACTATCCAACAGCAACAAAATCTCAGAAATCGTCATTATTCACTAACGACCGCATTGCTTCAAGCAGAAAACAATTAGAAAATTCTTTGTTCCAAAGCGGGAGTATATCGGATTCATGCGATTACATTGTTTTAGAACGGCTAGAAATTGATGCCCATGTTTTATCAAAGTGATTTCCAGAAAACTTAATGAAATTGAATGAAGGGAAAAGTCATCTTCTTACTTTTCGAACAAACCAAGATGACATTAAGATCAAAATCGGCAAAGCCATTTTGATCTCAGGTAAAGTTTTTCAGTTGAAGAAAGCTCTGAAGAAAAACTGCTAGGAGTAATAACAGATTAAAATCTTAATTTCAAAAGTCACGTCTCAAATTTATGCAAAAGAGCCAGCCAAAAATTGCATGCCCTTGCTAGAGTATCGCCATTTATGGGTTCTGATAAACTGCGTCTCCTAACGAACAGCTTCATAAAGCTCAGTTTAACTAATGCCCCCTATAGACCAGGCGAGGAAGGGGGGGTATCGTCACCCATCGAGGGAATTTGCAAGACCAACTCTAATTGGTCAATTTCGATACGCTGATTACGAAAATCGATGTTATACGGAGAAATTCGGTACCAGGAAGCCTCTATTTCACGTTCAAACCTCGTTTTCGTCCAAATTTGAACGTTGAACGAAAGTTTGTAAATGAATCGATTTTTATCAATTTCGATGTGTTGATTTCAAAAAGTTATTTTATAAATGTAAATTTAGTACCAGGAAGCCTCTATTTTACGTCCAAACCTCGTTTTCATCAAAATTTGAACGTTGAAAAAAAGTTTGTAAATTTTTTATTCTCATCAATTTCGATATACTGATTTCGAAGGTTGATATCATACGGCGGAATTCTGAATGCACTGGTCCCTTTTTCATGCTGAAATCGTTTATTTATCGTTTTCAATATTTCTAGAGTAAAATCTGCTGCGCACATAGATTTGCTTTAAAAGCTTGAAAAAGATTATGTCAAAAGGCTATATAATACGGCTAATAAACATCTAAAGTTGTAAACAATCTTTTGGTGGTACAAAGCTTGAAAATGGCTTTGAAAAAAGCAAACATTTAGTAAACTAAAGCTTTTCATCTGACACTCTTCAGACTTTAAAACGTCAGAACATAGATCGAAAACTCTACGCTAGGAAATATATATACCCAGTTGTGGATCGAAAAAGGCCAATCAGAAACAGGAGAACATGACTGTTTAGGTTGACCAATCAGTGCCGCTTGCCGATTGAGAATGTTACCAATGGAGTCCTAAGGTGAAAACGAACTCCTTTTCTCTACACAGAAGCGGTTTTTTCGTGCTTATGTAGATAGATTCCAAAACTGCTAGGTAGAACGACGATCGGGCTTTACCAATAATCCGAAACATGTCGCCATTATAGTTTTTGCACAATCTGGGTTTTCTATTATATGCTGCCTGATAGCAGAATCGCAGATTTTAGTTGTAATTTTAGATTTGCAAGACCGAGGTGGCTGTTCTCTTTGGGGATGGGCTTTGTTTCTAATATAAGACGGAACATGTTGTTTTATTCTATCCTCCAATCTTTAGGTAGTGCGTCCTACGGAGCCAGAATCACACTGGCACGTAAATTTATATACAACGGAACTTTTTTGTGTGGCAGGAACGCAGTCCTTTTGAACGGACGGAAGGGCCTTTTTCGTACTATAAACAACACGTGGGTTGACTGTAAAGAAACAATTTGCAATGGCCTCTTTTATTTGTCTTTCAAAACGTAGGGAACTGTCACCGATCCAGGGTAGTTTTAGATACACCGGGCACTTTTGAGGACCAAATTTTACGTCAGCCGAGAAATTTCCTATCTTCTCCTTAATGTAAACTGAAATAACATCCTCTGGATAGCCGTTCTCCAGAAAGATCTCAGTTAGATTTTTCACTGCGCTACTCAAATTGTCATACAGAAAATTTATTCAGTGGTCTTGCTTCATGCTGTCTATCATATCAACATTGTCTTCAATTAAAAGGCGAGCAATAGTTGGTCTTCACGCATTCTCCAGCAACGATTATGTGTCCATGATTTCCAAAAAAAGGAAAAAAGTCATTCTGAAAAGCAATGTTAAAGCGCAACGAATTTGTGAGCACTTTTGCAAGGCTTGGAACAGATGTCCATCCCATCCAAATGCTATCGAGGTCCTGGAGGTCATTTACAAACTTTCGTTCAACGTTCAAATTTGGACGAAAACGAGGTTTGAACATGAAATAGAGGCTTCCTGGTACCGAATTTTTCCGTATAACATCGATTGTCGTAATCAGCGTATCGAAATTGACCAAATAGAGTTGGTCTTGCAAATTCCCTCGATGGGTGACGATACCCCCCCCCCCCCCCCCTTCCTCGCCTGTTCTACTAATTTGGATGTTCCATGACAGATGTCTGAATGCTAAAGTGAACAAAATCCACGAAAGAGCACTCAGAATTGCTTATAAAGACAGTCATGCTGACTACGAAGCATTGCTGACATTGGACAATGCAGTATCGATTCACCAACGCAATCTACAGTACTTGATGATAGAAATATAAAAAACCAAACATAACCTGAACCCTAGTTTCATGAGTGAAATTCAAAAGCCAGGACAACTTCTTATGGTATAGAAACTGTGAAATATTTAGGTCAAAAACAGTGGCAAACACCACCTCACAATATAAGACAGTCCCAATCATTGGCAACATTTAAAAAAAAATTAAGAGCACACCCTGTAGAATGCGACTGTAGATTGTGTAAAACATTTATTGTTTGGTTAGGTTTTATTTAGAATATTAAACCTTAAACATTTTTAACATTGTACCAGATATATATATTATACTAATTCTTCATAGATAGTTGGCCTTAATAAGCTTCTTTATAGGAATCAGACGTTCATTTAGTACGCCAACTTTAAACAAATTATTTATTTATTATTATTATATTATTATTACACTACAACGCTCGCTACGGAGTTACTTCAGAGTGATTTTCGTATCACCTTCAGAGCGAAGTGATTTTCGCTCCGCTAATCAGAGCGTTGTGTACCGGATTGGTGTGGCCTAGTGTAACTCTAATTCCTATCTGATATCAAAGTTACTTCGCTCTGATAGCAGTCCGGTATAGTGTGATCTGCACCTTAGAAACATATTTCCGAATTAAGCCAAGAGATCTTTTTGCCTCTCCTACTGTTTGATAAATAATATTTTTCCAGCGTAAGTCCTTGCAAAAAAATACCGAAGTATTTATATAACTCGACTTTTGATTGGTGTCATACCAGAAATGTGGTATCATTTTGAATGGTATTTCTTTTTAGCGTAATTGTCATAGAGCAGGGTTTGCTAAAATTGAATTTTATATTTCGAAGACGGTTCCATGCAGAAAGCTTGAACAAATAATTTTGCAATATTAACGAGTCCTCTATTGTTTTGATCCTTTAGCAAAAAGTATTATTTTCAGAAGAAACGCCGTAAACAAGGTCAGAAAAGAACATAAGGAAAAATACGGGACCAAGGACAGATCCTTGAGGAACACCAAGATCAAATTACAAGGAGACAACTATCTCTTTCCATTGCGACTCTTTAAGTTCTACCAGTAAAAAAAAATTTAATCCACATAATAATTTGTCACCGTATACCGTTACTGCGTTGCAATAATTATGATTTATCGTGAGAAACCTTATCAAAAGCCTTGAAAAAGTTACGGAATAAAACGTCGGTCTGGCTTTTGGAACTGATAGATTCTGCAAAACTGTTTACAAACATGAGCAATTGGAAAGTACGTAAATATTTCTTGTGGAGTATGGGCAATCTGGGATCCCGCTATTGATTGGTGGATGACTAAACCTTTCAAACATAAAAAGCTGCAATAAAATAGTGTCTTCCCAAAGAGCAAATCATTGGCTTAATGAAATTTCTAAGTTTTCAAGAAATATCTTGATATCTAATTTTCCAGTCAAAACGTAATGGGTTTGATTTTTTTCGATCATTGGTTGAGCAACCAGTTAAATTGATTGGTTGAGCAGCAGCCAAGATGAAAACATCAGCAGTATGAATAGGGCTGGCAAAACGTTATTGGAAATGGGCGGAGTGGGGGTGGGGGGGGGGGCAGAATGTTTAGATTGCTCAGGAGTTTAGTAAAGATCGCCATCATGCTTATGAATTTTGGCCGAATTCAAACAATATTTTGGAAATATGGCATTATATGGATGGCCAGAAAATGCATCTAAAAACCAATCACAACAAAACAACCCACGTCTTAAAAAAAGTTCTGGAAATAATTCCTTCTCAAACGAGGCATCTAGAAAAGGCTACATGACGATGGGAAAGAAGTTGGAGTTAGTTTTATAATGAACTTTCTCCAGAAGAGTCACAATAAGAGCAGCTGACTCTTGGATAATCTGGATTGGATGGAATAAAGCTGGCTAAAATTGGTAGAAGAAGGAAATAAGGCGTGAAGTACTACAAAAATAATCAACGTCTTAAAAGTTCTGCGAATAATTCCTTCTCGAATGAGCATCTAGAAAAGGCAACAAGACGATGGGAATGAAGTTGGAGTTGGTTTTATAGTAAACATTCTCCAGAATAGAAATAAAGTCTAACAATGACGAATGAGAAGGGTCAGAATCAGAGCAGCTGACTGTAGGATAATCTGGATTTGATGGGATAAGGCTACGTAAAAATTGTAGAAGAGGGAAAAAAGGCTTGAAGTACAACAAGAACTAACAAACGACTTAAAAATGTTCTGAGAATATTTCCATCTCAGACGAGCATCTAGAAACGGGTTCCAGCTTTCTCCTCAAAGTTTCCCAGTAATTCTATTGAATAACGTCCATGATAATTTGTTCACAATTAAAGACAAGCCAAGATAATAAGCACAAGAACTGTTGTCATTTCTTTGCAAACAGTGAAACTGAGGGACCGAAGAGAAAATTTTTCAGTTTTTGGAACTCCCAGTTAAGTATCGAATTTTTGCATTAGGGACAGAAAGTCCTGGGCATAGCGTGCTTAAACGAGGCCCCAAATTTTGGAAAATGTTTTTTCAGTACTTAAGAACTTAAGTATTTTTGTATATTCTGTATCCGCTAATCGCGAGAGAGTCTCGGTTGAACACCAATAGACCTCTACTAAACAGTACGAGTTGACATTCAATAGCAAAATTAAGAAATTTTATAATAGCTTTGGGAGGGTATACTTGGTGATCGACCAGTATCCCAACCGGCCAGTCCGCCTCTTGGCAGACTTTGTTATATGTTCCATAAATTAACATGGTAATGGAGGTTGGGGATACAGGCCCCCCTCGAAAAAGCCCCCCCCCCCTCGAATAAGCCCCCACTGCTCCCGTAAATTCTCAGATTGGACCACTCAATTTGATGATTTTTGCATTCTGAGGTTGCCTATGGCGTTTTAATGAATTACCACAACAAATTCATACTTTTGGTAGTAGCTAATTAAATGCTCATAAAGAAATTTCTACTAGAATAAACGAGGTCTTTTAACAATGTCTTCTTAATGTCAACAATGATTCGTTAAGCCCCCCCCCCCTCGAATAAGCCCCCATCCAAAAATATCAAAAATAAATAAGCCCCCAGGGGGCTAATTAGAGGATTTACGGTTTGCAGTCTCTTTTCGCATTCGTACTGAATTTAACAAAATTTTGCACGATAGTTTCATGTCAATCGGTCAGTTTTAAAGACCATTCATTGTTTCAAATGAAACAAAAATGAGAACTGCAGATGAAGAGATGATCGGTGAAGGTATCAAGATAATCAGATATTACTTGTTGTAAATTCAAGTAGAAAATTGTAACAATATACTTGAAGTATTGTTAGTATAAGTTTGGTATCTTGGAAGTCTAGGTGGAGCCGTTCACGCCAGTTAATAATGATTAATGCCTTGATTTCCCTTAACATAACAAGAATAAAAAGTTATTTTTAAATGAGTAATTATTACTTCCATACTATTTGCTTTCTATTTAATTTAATTTTTTATTCTAGTTAATTTTTAAACAACCTATTGTGGTATAAAACTTGGAAATGGCTTTGAAAGAAGCAAACATTTGAGTAAACCAAAGCTTTTCGTCTGACACTCTTCAGAGTTTAAAACATCAGAGCATAGATCGAAAACTCTACGCTAGGAAATATATATACCTAGTTGTGGATCGAAATAGGCCAATCAGAAACGCGAGCACACGACTGTTGAGGTTGACCAATCAGTGCCGCTTGACTATTGAGATGTTACCAATGGAGTTCTAAGGTGAAAACAAACTTCTTCTGTCTACACAATAGCGGTTTTTTTCGTGCTCATGTAGATAGATCCCAAAACTGCTAGATGGAACGACGATCGGGCTTTACCAATAATCCAAAATATTTCATCATTTTTGTACAATCTGGGTTTTCCAGTAAATGCTGCGTCTAATATCGTTAGAATTAGTTTTCTACATTAAATTTTGTTCTATTTTTGACAAAATCATTTTAAACTCTGCAGATCTGAATTATCTTGTGAAACATTTTGAAAATATCATTGAAAACATCAGTTCATTTGACCACGTATTGTTACCATTCAATTTCATTAGAATGACTCAATAAAGCAACTGCGATACTTAACAGGGATCACGAGGAAACAACTGTCTATATTCGCATAATTATTGCAAAAGGCACAGAAGCTGTTTCATATTCTTCATTTATTAACGAGAAAAAGCAGCAGGACATCTTTACTAGTTATGCAATGTTTCTTGAAGTTGTCAGTATGGCAAAGTTTCCGATCTCCAAAAACACAGATCCTTGAGACACGGATCAGTTATTTGCAAATAATCCATTCCACCTGTGCCATTATTTTGATGGAATATTCACGTTTCACATAAACATATATGGCTTTGAAAAAAGGAACCATTTCACAACACATCAAAAGCCTTTTGTCAGACGAAAAAGCTTTTAGTATGTTGGGAAATCTTTGCTTTTTTAAAAGCCATCTGCTAGATATTTATCTGTGAAAACACAACATTAGTAAGGTATATATTGCAAAAATTTCTTTATCTTAATATCTCTTCGTTTAAGGTAAGAATCTAGCTTTAATGGACCCAAAACAATTACCATACATAGATCATGAAAACAAAGACCATATCCAACTCAGTTTCCCATTGATGCACTACTTAAAAAATTCGATGCTCAGATTTGGTGATAAAATTTAATGAAATAACGACCATAAACTAGTGATAATCAAATCTAACCTGATAATAATGATCGTTATCATATTACTTTAATGTCAATTAAGCTTGACTTTTTAATAGACTCAGCTGTCTGTTATCTGGCCTGAAATCTGGCCTGACTTGCTACCTGGCCTGAAATCTAATAACAAATGTTTAAAAATTATTGACTTAAATTGAAATATGAAATTAGTAGACAAGAGATTGATGCAAGAAGTGATTTTTTTTTTAAAAATTCAAAGACGTTTGTGAATATCAAGTCTATTGAATAATTTTGAGTCCGTAATAATTGCCTCCTCCAACACTTATATATATTTTGATAAAAATCCGATTAATTAGATAGGTAATTAAAGACGATACCCCTTACCCTTAGCCAATTATATTAAGATTTTCTTTGCGTTCCATTCTGCATACACTAATTTTTAAAAAAAAATCTGGCCCATGAACTATTCAATAGGAAGCGCCCATGAACAAAAATTCTTTTTTGCAGACTAATTTTTGATTCATTGCCGATTGACGTCTAAGGTAATCGACCTTGCGTGATCTGATATACCATATAAATGTACGAGAGACCGCTTCGAGTAAATTCTAATCTTATGAAAACTGAGATCAAGGAGAAAAAGAATCTTGAAAGAAATCAGCAAAATGCGTTTCAAGGTGAGAATTTGAGAAATCAGTTGATAGAATGTGGTTGGGATATATTGTTTTCGATGTAATATTTGAACCCGAGTACGGTTTTAAAAACACGACGAATTTGTTGTTAAATTCGATTAACCTCTTATGGAGGCATACACGAAAGAAGGGCTTCTTTCGAAATTAATATTTTTGGGTTGAGGCTTGTTTGAGGGTAGGGGCTTATTGGAGGACAGACGGTATCGTTCTTAACAGTTCTAGTTAATTAAGTCCGATGAAGTAAACAGTGGCGTACCCAGGGCTGCAGCAGCGGGTGGGGGGTCTGGGGCGCAGCCCACATAAAATTGTTTGGACCACGCCCTTCAGACACTCGCAAATGTGGGGAAATGCCCTTTTTGCAAAATTCCCCCCCCCCCCCATTATTTGATTCATGTTAACTACGGTAAATATCAAAGTATTTTACAATTGTTATTGACACAAGCATACAGTAAACTACAACCCCCCCTCCCCCCAATGAGTTTTACATCGATTTTAGACAAATCTCGAGGATCATATTTTAGAAAAGTTGTTGGGTCCGGACCCACCATAGCACAACCCCTATTCTGCGCTCAAGATTTATCGAAACAGTGAATTGTGGTCAAAATTGAGATATTGGTGACTCGCAATCGATTAAACGTAGAAGAAAGAGCAGTGGCGGAAATTCATTTTTCAGGTGGGGGAGGGGGGAGGCAATACCCACAAAAACAAGAAAAACAAAGGACATAGTTTACCAACAAAAGCGTGTTTTAACCGGCAAGTAAGCAAAACCTGCGGAGTGCCCCCCTTCCCCACATCCACGCAATTTCAGGCACCGAAGAAGAAGATGCAGGAAAGGGAGGAAGATTTCGTATTTTGGAAGAGAAATCGAGCATATTATAAATGATTCAGGCTAAGAAGCTCTGCGCACAACACCCCTCTCTACTTTGGTAGTGTTTGGGGGATAGTTAAGTTCGTATAAGATCAAAAGATACGTTTTAAAATTTCCAACATTGTATACATATTGAGGTCGTGTTTTTTCAGCTAAACATGAGCACTTAACTGTTATAGCGCTAAACATTATTAAACAAAGACAGCAAAGGAACGTGACAAGTTTTCGATGCAGATAAGGCGTGGCATCAAATGCACTTCTCATCTTTCTTATAAACACTATCTGTCATTCCTCTTTTCAACTTCGTAATCGTGAGAAGAGTTTGATTGAGATATGACGTATTCATAGAACAGTACTCAAGGCATTATATATTATAGACTGATGATTATCTTATAAATCTCTGTCTTTTCCTTTCTTGAAGTGCGTATCTTGCGAGTCAACATAGGCCCGTTTTTCACAGTGCTCTGTTCTTGTACAAAAACAGAGAGAAAAACCTCCGTTTTTGTGAAAGTGTTCAAACTGATCCGTACAAAAACGAGGTTTTCGAAAATGCCATCAACAGTGGCTATCCACAAAAAGAGAGGTTTTGAAAACACACTGTATCAATGTGACCGCGCAAAAACAGAGCAATGTGGACGGGTCACGAAAATAGGCCCTAGCAAAATCGTCTTTTTGAGAAACAATTCTCTATTTCTTTTGTTTTCGCAGCATACAGCATACGCCCTAACAATATAATCACTCATATTAGATTCTTCTAGTACGTGGTTCATAAAGATTATTTTCTGCTTTTTTATCATAGAAAAGTGTGTTGGAACCACTGAATGAGGGAGGAGTTATTTTGGGTGACGGGAGTATGGTGTTCAATTTAGAGAGAAGAGGGTACGTTCACGCCGGCCGTTTTACACCGGAGGTGGTCTTGGAGCATCCTGACGCAGGTGGGTTATAACAAATGCTTTAAACTTCTTACATACAGAGACGTTGGGTTTAGTGGCAAGAAGACTGTCGGAGGAATATCCCATTTCGTAAAAGTGTAATTTTATTAACTTTTGGGAGACACCCCTTTTTCTGAGACATACTGGCCCTTTTCACCTAAATGATTCCGACGTCACTTGCATAAATATACAGGAATACGAAGAACAGATGCTCCCAATATTAGAGGAAGAAATATTCGAACAGAAGTACCTCTATATCAATGACCATTCTAGATCAAGAATACTTCTTCTTTATCACTCGGAAGACCTTTCCTGTATTCCGAAGTTTCCCAATCCGAAGTATTCATCTTGCTAGATTTGTTGAACGATATAAACATCTTGCTAGATTTGTTGAACGATATAAACATTGGAAAAAAATCGAAAAAACTTTTTCCGATTCCCAGTATCCTTAGCTCAATATTGCTAGATTTGCTGAACGATATAAACATTGGAAAAAAAATCGAAAAAACGTTTTCCGATTCCCAGTATCCTTAGCTCAATATTGCGTTTAAGACAGCATGCAAAATGATTAAAAAATAAGGAAATGACAATTTCCACTTGTAGTGCGCCAACTTCACCGTGAATATGTGAATTCAGGTGCTGATGTGTTGCAGGCATTGACATTTTTTGCTTGCGAAGCAAATCTTCGACAAGTTGGCGTCAAATATACGGTGAGTCTTCATCACGAAAATACGCAATGTCGCGCATTCAGTATCAAAACGTGTTATCTTTCTCAAAACAAAAGTTTATATGCAGGCGAAAAGACAGATTGTATGACCAATCTAGGGACACAATAGCCTCGATATCAAAACTACTGTCATCATTAGTAATTAGCATTACGAGGGCCCAGCATTGCTGATACTTCTTGGCTTGACTGCTAGGAGAAACGCCACTGTACAATGCATACCCCAAATAAAATTAAACCATAATTTATGAAATGCAATATCGGCTTAGGGATCAATGAATAGGCTTAATCCCCTCGAAAAGTCAACACGAAAGGCAAAAAAACAAGCATTTTAGTCTAGGAAGGATAACAAGTTCATGCCTAGTAGCATCCTATGCTAATGTCATAAGCATTAACTTCAGGAGAAAATTTTTCTTTATATAGCATATTTAGTCGAAATCTGGACTCTTCATGTCATCTGAATCCTCGACTATATAGTTTTTGTTAACTTTCTGTCTGCATCTAGTGTGAAGAAATAAGCAATGCTGCATGTAGAATTGCTAAAGATGTTGCAGAAGAAAGCGACAGAGAAATTTTAGTAGCTGGCTGTATGTGTGAGACATTTGCTTACACGGGACCATACAGCATGAAAGAATGTGATGCGGAGTTTGAAGTGCAAGTCCAATGTTTCATTGAAAACGATGTTGATTTTGTGATAGCTGAGGTATTCTTTCAATTTAACATAAAACTTATATTCTTTGTTTAGAAAGCTGATTATCCTTTATTCCACAATTTAAACTAACCATTGCACATGATAAACATTTTTCTTGGGCGTGGTACACAAGTTCATTTCATTCTCAGTTACTGTTCTTATCAGGGTAAACCGTTAGGTTATCAAGTCTCCTAGGTTCCCTACTCTAAGTATTCTTTACAATTGTGCGCCTTCATTACCATCATTAGAGCTTTTTGTATCCGTTTGCTAGCAGCATAGTAAACGATGCTCTGATCGAATAGATCTTACAAAAACAGACAGTATAGGAAAACCTCTTGATAAATTTGGTCATGATTCCTTGTGCATGCCTAAAAACCGTTTTCTGTTGTTTTCTATCAAAATTTATCTAGGTAAATGGGCAATCTTTTCACAACTTTCCCGGTAAATCTGGGAAATACCACCTCTTTCTCTAGGAAAAAAACATTCGAAATTTACACTTGCGTATTGTTTTGAGAGCTTACAAGTTATCATGCATCGAATCTGAACCATTGGCTTACCAGGACACTAAAGTACACTTTTAATTAAATTACTGGTTTGGTGGTAATGTCTATGCTTAGCATGGAAACAGTTGCTTTTCCAATCTCTTGATTTCTTGAACTTCTATGAATATATCGTTTTATAGTACTTCAGGTATATCGAAGAGATGTGTTGGGCAATAGAAGCATTGAAGAAAACAAAGAAACCTGTTGTAGCAATGATGAACATCGGAGGAATGGGGGATCGAAACGGTGTCTCTACTGGCGACTGTGCTGTAGCAATGGCCAAAGCCGGTTTGTGAAAGGCCTTTACTAACGGTGCTTTAAAATAACAAATGGAATGGACGTAAATTGATCATCTTGAAACCAGATTAAAACAACTCAGTATCCAAAGAATAGTTGTCAGTATTTCACATATTTTATACTTTATTGAAATATGAAATTTGGAGTTGTAAGTCCTGGGGAATGTCAAAGAAGGTTAGAACACTTATAAGATTAGCCAGCAATCGAATGAAATATGTGACTAAAAGTACAATATTTCATTAATGTTGTCTGGAAGCGTGGGGATTATGTTGTGGAACATTGGCTAGGCACTAAATTTGGCGAAAATAAACTTAAACACAATTACAGCTACATTGGGAGGATAACATAATTCGATTTCTCTAAAATGAGTGTCGCGTACTATGATCTATATTTTCAAGCAATTGCAATCACCAGAATAGCAAAAAATGAATGTCCCTGCATATTCATGTGGTTAAAAGGAAAAACATTGAAAAACAATTCGACCAGCTCTTTCAAGTAATGCAACTTTTAAATGCAGCATTGAAGCACGAGTAAATGAAATAATGTTGTTTTTCCAATGTCAAAGGGTTAGGCATATTTGGCAGTTTTCCAGTTTTACTAATATGATAAAGTGTATTTGATAAATTTTCTAGGGGCTGATGTCATCGGTTTAAACTGCTGCTTTGGTCCAGACAATTTGATCGAAGCGATGAAAGAAATGAAAGAAGCAATAGAAAGAGCAGGCCTGCGAAGGCACCTTATTTGCCTACCATTGGGGTTTTTGACACCAGATGCAGGCAAAGATGGTTACCTGGGGTTACCAGAATACCCATTTGGTACGTACTCTTATCAGTAAGTTTATTTAATCTAGAGTGATGACGTTGCACATAGTGGTATGAAGCCTGTACGTGGAAAGTAAAAAAAAGCAGTTTTCGTTTATCTATTATTGGTCATCCTGCCTGGTCATGGGTACTCATGCATAGTGTGTTTCTGTTCTTCAATAGAACTCTATACTCAGTTAAAACTATATTTATACAGCTCTAGAGCCCAGATCATTAACACGGTTTGATGCACGCAAATTTGCACGGAATGCATATGAGGCTGGGGTAAAGTACATTGGAGGCTGTTGTAACTTCGAAGCTTATCACATAAGAGAAATGGCAGCTGGATAAGAACAAAATGATTCGTATTGCAATTCACATTCAATTTTGCCAAAATCTCCAATAGACTTAAGATTAATGTAAATGTAAATGAAAAAAGGTTTAAATGGAGTACTTTTTCGATTTTGTTTCTTCTTGCTGCCCTGTCGCATTAAATAGTATTTCCAACTGTCTTGCAAAAAAATTTCCATTGCAGAGACAAATATATTTCCAATTCTACTGCAAAGATATAATCATCAGAAATTATGGGGTGGGGGGGGGGGGGTGTATGTTTGATAGTTTAAAAATAGTCATAATTGGATTTTTCAAAATATTATTTTATGTTGTCTCATAGCATTTTAATCTTGAATCTATTCTAGCTCGCAGAAGAGTGGGGTTGCCAACCTCCAAATGCAGACAAAATGTCAGACTGGGGAGCTGCAACCATCAATAACGCTACACATGGATACAACGAAGGTTAGTTTAAGTACTTTTTCTTGTAAATGGAGCATGTGCCATATCATCATATTTTCGTCTCTCTTAGCCTCTCTCTCAGGCGAAAAACCTTGACTAGTACTTCTGACTGAGTTCAATTAAAAAAAATAAGTTTGTCTACTTTGAAAAACATGAATTAGTTTCTTCATTGTTTACTTAGGTCTAAGGTCCAAATATACAAAAGCATCACATTGCCAAAATTTAAGCATTGTAATGAACTTGCGTGGGGCACCCTGGTAATTTAGTTGGTATCGTAGCACCAAAAGAAAGTCAATTTGAAACGTCTGATACTATCTAAACATATAAAAATTGTCATATTTGATAATATTAGGGGAAAACGTGGATACTGGGAAAATTTGGAACCATCTACAGGAAGACCCTTTTCGCCTTCAATGTCAAAGTCGCAATATGACCCAGGATGGAGAAGCAGGTTCGGATTACCAAGATAGATGTATAAGAAGATTTTGAATAGACAATTATGCGTGGTGTAGCTAAGTGAGTATTCACGTTGAAGTAGTGAAAAGAAATCGACATAGACGAAAAAAACCAAATATGTCCAAGCCAAAGTGATTGTGGATACAGTTGGCCATATGTCAATAGGTTATCACTATGCTATTGATGTAACAAAGTGTTGTTTAAATGTTAAAGAAAATTCTTAAGTGGAGAAAAAAGCACGTCACTGGTCGATCGGTCAAGCAGTTTCCACAATTCATGCCTAGGTGAAAAACTAAGCAATGGAGTTATAGTAACGTCAGAGTACGTAAATAATTACCCCGTAATCTTAAACTAAGACCTATTAAGTTTATGCGTGCTTGATTTTATCTGTGTTTCGACTGAAAAAGTTCCAATTCACGCCAGTTATCCTATTGTATAATGCTAGTCATTGTATATTGTAAATAAATAAATCATATTTAGGTAAATATTGTTGTTTAACGTGTCTCTTTTCCCCTACTTCCTTATCATAATACGGAGCTTTTAAAAGAAAGGAGTACTGATGTTATCTCCATAGGAAGAGAGAAGCTTCAATAAACGATCATCGTATAGGTTACTCCTACCTGCCACGTGACAACTCTATTGCCGTCATGATGGATTACAACCTAGCTTTGATATGAATGGCAACGCGGTATTTACATCATAATAATTTCATTTCAGAGTGTCTTCTTGACAAAAGTCTATACAATTTCCATGTAGAATCGTTTAGTTCCATCTTGTTTACTAATTTGTTGTTAAAAAAGAAGAAAAAGCAAGGAGGCTACTTTCGTGTACATTCTAGAGCCGAAAGACTGAACTTTAAGGCAGCTGTTAAAAGAAAAAAATTGCGCAAGTTCACTGTCAGAAAACATGCAAAACACACATTGGTTAGCTATAAGACCCTAAAGGTCTGCCTTTGTCATTTGCAATCGACGGCTGTAATCTCTTACCTTACAGTTAACTGTTGCAAAGGAGGACCTTATATATTTCACTAATACGGAAATGAACAGTGCAGCTGTAAGAGCCTTTGCCCTGTCCAATGGCGCACAGCACAACTGATCTGAGCACAGCAAAAGAGATGCATGTGTTGCAAACTTTATTTCTCAAAATGAATGAAAAGGAATGAAAATCTTTAATATACATATTCTATGGAAGGAAGTCTAGCGCAGTTTTTTAGAATAGTAATCTACTCTAACGTAGGCAAATTCTACAGTAGCAGCTGTTTAGTACATTTTGATAAGGACACTAATTCATCACCAGTGGGTTCAGCACATGCCTTCCATCTTACAAGACCATTTCTATCGATTAGAAATGCATGTCCAACTACAATATTTCCAAGGAGTTCCCTACTTCTCAACTTCTTTAATGAGCTATAAAGGCAAAGGAAATTATCATGCCTGTCCTTCGGTATTGCGTTCTTTAATGCTCGTGATATGAATCCTCTAAATAAGCCATAAAACCAGTATTCCACAACGTTTACCTTGAAATTGAAAAATTGACAGTTAAACGGACAGCAGAAAAAATTACTTAGAAACAAAATTCATCAAAACATCTATTGTCTGATATCTCGTAAATAAAGCGTGTACACTAATTCTTAATCTTGTATGGATTCCACTGATTCCAAATCACGACTAACTTGAATTTCTTTTACAATTTATTTTTCAAGTTATGACGTCACAAGCATCATTTTTAAAATTTTTGAGAAGAGCATCATTAAATACCTCTAAATGTGCAAAATAATTCAAATGTGTTACGAATTAGTTGAGATATGGCCACATCTGTAATTTCGTCTCTTTTCATAACTCTATAAACAGAGCTAAAATATCAAAAATCCCTTAACAAAGTTAAGATCTTTCATTGGCCATATCTCATCCAATTTTTACATATTAAACTGATTTTGCATATTTCGAAGTATTTCATGGTTTTCTTTTAGGTTCCATGATCAAATAAAAAAAATAAAAAAAAATTAATAATAGATTTATTTTACGACATCACACTTAAGAACTCGTTCACTAATCGCGAAAATGAATATGGTGACAACCAGTCAACACACTAGATAAGCAACAGAATCCAAGAAACCACAGTAACAGCAGCAAAGCAGTAAATCAAAAATAAGATACAGAGAAGGTGACATACTAGACTGACTTCAGGCTACATACATTAGATAAGATTGGACAGATAAGAATTCCTCATTCAATTGTAATTTTTTCTTTTCAATAATCTTTAACTTGCACACTTCAATAATCTTGCACAACAAGCTTATAAATAATTATTTGGTAGAGGTAAATTTTTGAAGGAAATAAACGTCTACCAGATTAAAATAAGTATCATGTAATATATGAATATGTCTAAATATTTAAATATTTAATATTCAATTTTTAAGAAGCATGTATTCATTTCAGTGCATGTATTCATGGAAATAACTGATCCCAAGTCAAGCTCTCAATTTTATCAACAAATTTTACCCTAGATTTATTGATATTTAAGTACATATTTCAATATTATTGATGCATACAAAATTAGACAGGAATATTTCAACAGAATTAACACGCAAAGTAAAGGAAATTAAAACTCGTACGGTTTGAGAACCTAAAGAAATGTTCGGTCAGGAACGTATAGAATCATACACAGGTAGTGTTCAAATTGTGTCCTCACCCCTTTCTTTAATTTTTTATCTCTGTTCTCAATTATGATAATTACTGTTTACGGATCTGCCATAAAGTATTCGATGCCGTAAAGGCAGAGCTGTTCATGCTTTTGCCTGATGATCGATTAAGCGTGAAACTCGAGGAAGCCATTTAGAACGGTCCTGTTCTGTACATTAAAAGCGTCGGTAAATGTTCAATTATTCACGCATGTTACCTAACATGCTTTTTGGCGCTCGTTTACCAGTTAATGTTAGTAAGCAATAGAGAGTACTTTAGGTATAAATAACATGTTACAGTTGCCTGTTGATCGCATCAAGCGTGAAATTCGTAGGGAACCTAAAAACAGTCTTGTTCTATAGAAGCATGTACAGCTCTGCCTTGCTGTCGCTGAGCACGATGTCATCACCATTATAACGGCTAGCTTCGTTAAATAACGTTAAAGTAAATGTTTTATCTTATATAAAGTGTCATTATCGCTAGATATGTAATAGGGATATAATTACTTTGAATCTAAAAAATTCAATCGTCCATGTTATCATTTCTAATACTTTCGATGAGCACAAGTCCTTATTCAATGCATCTTTTATGAGCTGACTTAGAAAAAGTGTAAAAATATTGATGTACTATCACTATTTCTCAACGACAAACCTACGGACTTCAGTGACTATGAAGCACTTCTAGAAATCGAAGCCTTTTAGGAATTTAACCTATAAGCACGAAGAAACTTCAGATGGAACTATTACACCCGTATGTGTCAAAGTATTATTGTAACATAGGGAATTTCGCAGAAGAAAGCTGTCTGGTGTCGGCTAGCTATTCATAACAATAAAATACATTTATAACCGACGTTAATGAACCCATTTTTAACAGTAAAATCTATCAATGGTTTTGTTGAGTACAAGACATTCTTTAAAATGAACAATTCATAGGATTTTGAAATTCAAACAGGTTCAGAGATTTGAAAGGAAAAAAAATCAACGTGGATAGAAACTCTGAATTGTTTGAAAACCGCTTTTGCCAAAAAAGAGACAAAATATGCCTTCTCATACTGGAAAACATCAAAGTGGTACGGAAAGCGGAAGCATAGCCAGAGCCCGGAAAAATGGCGATCACACGGTCAATGACAATGCGGAAAACCAAAGTAAAAAAATCTAAAGGATTGAAAGAAATGCCCAGAGGAAGAACTAAAACTTGTCTAGACTCTAGCATAGGAATAGAAAAGTTATCTATAAGCGAATTAAAAAAAGATAAAGTATCACTGCATTCATTCAAGACATACGACGTATATAAAAGGTGTCTTGTGCAAAGGGTCTGGGCAAGCTAAAAACAACAGCCAACAGGCATTGATTGTGAGATTTTGCTTGAATGTGATTGCCTGTTTTGTCTTGTTTTCCTTGTCCACCGGCAGATCAATGATTCGTGGAGCAATAGGAAGCTATTTGATGTCTTCAAAAAATATTTGATGTTTCATAAACCCCGCAAGAAAATGGAGTAGCCGTTGTTTAGCGACTCCTGGTTCCAAGTGAGAAATGTTTCCAGGATGTTTCAACAACTCATCTTTTTTAGAAAACTTGGCTTAAACAGGAAAACAGGCGCCGAAAAGCAATCATCGCAGAAAGAAGTGTTGACCGCCAAAACAATTTTTTCGAGAAAACAGACTTCTAATATTTGCCAATTTAGCATCTCTGCAATTTAAATTGGAGCATTCTGTACGCAATCAAAGGCACAATGAGGGTCAAGGCTGGGAGCGAGGGGTGACGTTTCGATTTTGGAAATAATTTTAGGCGTTTTATTGATAAAAGGAGTGAATAATGTTGGTCGGAAAACAATCCAAAAGCTAAGGTATGTCAGGAAAATAGTTAAAAAATTAATTTTTCTGTTATAGCATACTTGTGTAGATGTTAAGGACAAAAATTTATCTTGTAGCTTTGCAATTTTGAAAATGTTCCATAATATTGGAATTATGTCCCAAAAAAGAAACAAAAAGGGAAGAAAATATCTACTAAAACATCCGAATTGTCATGGCCTAAGGATCCCCGAGAAATTTTATTGGTTTGTCTAAGGAAAAGAGTTTAGTTGTTAGGATAGTCTAAATGGAAGGGAATTATATATGTTAAGAAGCAACTAAAGAGACTCTAGCAACTCACCTCGAAATAATTTGCACCTTTAATTCCATGAAATTCCTCTTGAAATGCTTTGCGGTACTGATCACACATTGGCTGGTAAAAGATGAGATGGTTTAATGGTGAATACATGCATCGAATTCTTCCAACAAATTTTCTTTAAACATCATATAACATATCACTCCAATCACCCATTTTAGAGAGTAAGGTCGGTATGGCTATGCTGCCCAATAAAAAAAACTGAACATTATGATATATTTCAAAGGCGTTTGAAAACCATGCTAATTAATCCAACATCTAAAATGGTTTTAAAAAAAGCAAACATTTGAGTAAACTAAAGCTTTTATTCTGGAATTCTTCAGAGTTTAGAACGTCAGAACATAGATCGAAAACTCTACGCTAGGAAATATATATATATATATATGCTTGATACTTTATTGAGAGCGGTCGGATTTACATGATATCGTTTGAGCAACGATAGTTATCAAACACAAATTAGCTTATCGTATAAGTAACAGTATCCTATCAGTACAGTACCCTATTTTCTAAGACAAACCACATAGCTTTTGCAGAGACTCGATGTTCTTTGAGGCTTGGATGTTCTCAATATTATCCTCATTTCATGTAAGAAAATTGACTATATTCACTAACGATATTTACTAGCGTGAGAAAAGATTTTAAATAACATTTTGCCGTTTCTTCTGATGTTTAATCTAAGTCCTAACTTCTTTGCTAAATCGGGTCTCAGGTGTCCTTCTAAAGTTTACTCTTTCAAAAATAAGTGTATTATCTACATCAGTACAGATGTGAGCCCTTGACAACTATTTTGTGCATTAGTTTCCCTTTGTACATGATATTTGAAATTCATGAAATTATTTAGGTCGTTAAAAAGTCAGGCCATAAAAATAAAAGCTGATTAAATAAATAATAGTGACCAACAAACAAAACCTCAAAATACGGAAATAATATTTGGAACTTGAGTCAATATAGCAGTACGGGATAGCACTGAATTTCTTCTCTGACTCAACATAGTTCAAGCACTGACGCTTTAATTTACAGATGAATCTACAGTACAGAAAACCCCACTAGACGAGCGAACTCAACCCCTACCTTGTCCCTGACCCCCTCCAACCGCACCCATGAATCCCTTTCCACGACCCTAACCTCACGCCACCTCAATGATAGGCAAACAAGTTAATCCCAAAGTTCCTATCCTGCAGTCAAGGAATTGAGAAGCAACATCAAGATGACAGACAAACCCCCACATGGAACATTGACTTTGTGAAGAGAAATATTGGCAAAGAACACGGTAACAACAAAAATACTTGGAATCTCTAAAAGTTTACAAACCTGGGCTATGCTTCTCATAGCGATTAGAAGAAGCGTCACATTATCTTTGAACTCTTCCTCCAGGTTGACAGATCTTCCCGACAGGGCAGTCGCAGAAAATGCTGGGAAAACCACAGCATTCTACAAAGAAGAAGTTTTTGCTATAGTTTATAGTCAACACGGAAAATGAAATAAATAGCATTTCAAAACCTATAAATGATCTACTACGCGTTAAAAATGTTTAGTTTCTCGTCATTCATTGATTTTTTCCTTCCATATTTTGAAACCAACTAACAAAGCTTATAACACAAAAATAATGCAGATTCTATTTGACGCAGCAAACATTATCACAAGTATAAATTAACAAAATAGTTTTGTAAAATTTGCTTTATAAACGCCAATCACATACAGTCTTACTTTCTTGAGATATTGACTTAACGTTGGTACATATTCAATGACTGCATTTTGGTTGCACTTATTCGTTCAGAAAGAAATCGAAAAGTTTGTTTTTCGATAGAAAAATAACGGTAATGATAAGCTTCAATATTAACAATCTATTCGATCTGCAACTTCGTTTTTCTGGATTCAAACAACTTGCTTGAAAAATCTTAAATGTGTCACAAAATTACCAGAGGCTTTGGTTTGGATTCTTAGATAAAAGTCAATTCCTTCGAGATAGACCCAGTCAAAGGGCCTGCGAGCCTTATACAAAAATACCAAAATATACTACCTGCAGATTCGGAGCCTAGATATGTACATTTAGGCCAAAATAAGTCATTCTCACTACCTATATAAACGTACAATTTCGCAATACAACTACAGGAAATAGTGCCTGCTCACCTTTAAATTTAGTCTTACAAAGTTTTCCGGCATTGTAAACGCCTTGCTTTGTCAACTTTTCTCAAATGTTAAATTTGATAGCCATTACATGAAAACAACACAAAATTTAGCATAAAAAGTATCAAAACAATCATTGGTCCAAAAAATGTTTTTGTAAATTCGGAGAGCATCAGTCAAATATACCTCAGGTCAAAGTGTCCTAGATATCGCGGATTGAAGAAAGATGAAACTAAATAACAAAACATTTCACTATAAAGTGAATCTTACTTTTGAAATCTTACCGATACTGGAAATCTAGATAAACATTGCTCGCACTTCTACTCATTAGATTTATAAACATCACAAATTGATACACGTAATAAGGATTACGATTAACTCACAAAGACAAGACAAAAAACGACCGTGAAAGATTAAAAAATCCAAACTCAAACAAAATGAACAAGTAGATCATTATCCATATCCTAGAAGCTTGCCATAAACCTGAAGAAAACCAAACTCAATGTCAAAAAGGTGAAAAAATGCAAACATTTATCGAGCAGAAACACAATTTACTATTGGACATGAATTACAAAATTTACCTCCGCAGGTACTAAGTTTTCTGGTGCAGAAAATCGCTTTCCTCCTGTTCTTTGGTATTCTGCAAAATTAGTGAAAAAAGAAAATATTAGAGCAAACAAGTATATCATGAAATGTGGATGAACTGCTTTTAATGAAAAGAATGTCTTAGTTTGAATACAAGCTTTCCTAGCAATTATTGTTTTTATTTACAAATACACATTAGAGATGTTTTGTGTATGCTTGAATTTTGGATAATGTCCCTCTAACATATCTTATTTTCATGCTTCTACAAGAAACATCTACTGTTGTCTTCATTAATTCACAGACTAATAATGGTTTGATTGGTGCCATGTCTTCATTGTGTTATCAAAGAGACACCCTACTTTTTAGAAGAAAGTCTTTCTCCCAAAAAGGTGCACAAAGGTCTTCAGCCTCGCAAAAATCATCCAACTTAATATTTGCTGCAGAAAAAAATTCTTCTATGAATGAAAAGGAAACTTGAAATCAAAATGACAAGAAAATTAAGTAGAACAAATACTTTTTTATTTAAAGATCCTGAAATTAAAACAAATTTTGATTGCCTTTGAATATTATTTAGGGCTTCAATAATGACCAGGTTTAAAATTTTGAAATGAAATGTGCAATTCTAGCAGGAATGCATCATAAAAAATACTCTTGGGAATGTTAACATTCTCAAGTTAGATATCCATTCCTCTTCCATATATCAAAACACCTATGGGTTTGGTTTTAGTTAACGTTGTGCCAAAGACCAAGTAGTTTGTGCATTGGTTTGTTCCTATTCCCAAGGAAAAATACAACATGGAAAGGGCAAAAGAAGCTAGAGCGTCCTACTCAAAGAGTGGGAAGGTAAACAACCTGGTAATCTGCTTCAGAAATGAAGGATTTTGTGTTGTTATATTTCCTATTGCCTTTAACCATGAAATTACCACAGTCCCATATTTAATACTATTTGGAAGCCCAGGAAGCGATGTGGAGATGAAGGCCATGTTGGTTGAGCAACCGGTCATTTCCATGCAAATTTTTGTGTTTTTTATAAAATCAGAATTTCTATAAAAGGCATAAGAGTTTATATTATTTCTATGGATTTTTTATGATGTGGTAGTTTTGATGTGATAAATTCATAATGCGAACAGTTAATAACCTCTACTTTGATGTTTTTGCAGTTTTTCATGCACCATAAATATTTCATAATACACTATCTCATATTTCAACACTCATAAAACACAGCTTAACATAAAGTTATACCCTTAACAAAACTTTCACTTTAAACTGAAGCAACAGATAGCTGAGAAGATGCAACCTGGCCTGTATCTCTATACCTTAAGAAGATCTGTTAAGGAAATGTTAAAAATAAACAGCTTAAAATAATTAAAATGTTAATGTATCTAACAATTTGAATTTTGTAAGAAGGAACGTTTCAAAGAATTTGACAGAAAGCTTTCTGCATAAAAAAGTCTCCAGTTTGCATTCAGATTTAGGACAGAATTAAGCAACTTGACCCTTCTAAGTTATATGATTAAAAATTAAGATCTATTCCATCAATCTTTTTTGATGACTGATATAATAAAACATAACTTTAATGGTGAAGAGAATAAATTCATGATTTGTAAAAAAAGTATTCACCTCTGATGTCTGCAAAGTATGAACCCTTTTTGAATTCTGTTATCCTAAAATATAATGGAGACAATTCTGAATTCTAAAAGAACAATTGACTGTCATTTTCTAATAAAATCAAAATCTAAGTTGGAAATATGTAATTAAAAAATAGCTTAGTTATGTATTATTCTTGCATTATTCAAATATATATTATGTATTATTCAAATATATATTATGTATTATTCAAATAGCATTATTCTTGGAATTTTTCAACAATTCCTATGATGTTCATCATATTACTTCCATGTGGAAGGCTTCCTTCTTGAGATTGTTTTCCAGGAGGTGGCACTAAGGGAGGAATGTTAACAGCAGTCTGCTTACTTATAGCCTTGTGCAACATCAAGATATTTGATACAAATTCCCTCTTCTGCAATGATGGAAATTCCTGCATTTTATACTGGATTTTGGTCATAGTAAGAAGTGACGAAACACAGAGCTTTCCACTGTACTTTCACTGTTTCAGCTATGTCTTTCTTTTATATGAGTCACAAACTAAGTTTGGCTATTCAAAGGTGGGTCATATAACTGAATGATATCATAGATTCTTCACTTCTTCTGGTGTCTTGCATAGGTTTTTCCTTGGCCAATTTAATATACCTTTTGTTTTTTCCTGTAACATTTTCATGTGTTCTATGTGTGATGCCCAGAAAACATCTGAAGTCAATTCTTTTCAAAGATATGTTTGCTGATCAACTCCAGATACCATTTTCCTTGACATTACATACAAGTATTCCAGAGTGCTTTGTAATAGATAGAACTCGAAAATCTGAGGATAGAGATGACATTTTCCTTCTATGATTAGGTGTGACTTCTGCAAATGCTTGCACGGGAACAAATAATGTTGCAAAATGGCAGGTTAAAAGCTGTCGGATTTTATTTTTGAATAGCATTTGCAAGCCTTGTGGTATGGCTGTGCATGGGATTCACCCACAAATATGCCTTGGTTCATCTAAATTAGAAAAAATGCATACCCCATGCATACCAAACTTTTGCACTCTGACCTGGCCATACTCCATTTTGCAGAGTGAGGCCAATTTTGACAAGATCTTGAGTGTGCCAAGAGTCTGCACACTTCAGGTGCAGGTTTGCAAAGATCATCCTAAAATACAAGGTGCACAAGCACTATCCCAGTATTGGAAAACATTAATGATTTTGCCACCGCATCACTTCAACCAATTGTTCATTGTCAGCTGCAATCTGTGAGCAGAAGCATTTGAGCTGCGAGGAATGATGACCATGTTAACACAACTATGGTATCATATACGAATTCCTTGATATTTTGGGTCACTAGCGGCCTGAGAGGTGAGCACAGGAAGTCCAGTGCTCACACCCCAGACTGTGCTGTTTAAAAACTACCATATCTGCATCTTAGGTGTGCAATTGCCATGCTATGCTCTGCATACTGGCCTTTATTTTTTCCTTTTGAATTTGCTGCTCCTTTAGAGCCCTCTCTTTTAATTAACGGAAATAGATTTATTTAACTTATTCTGTGAACAATTCAAGATCTGAAAATTTTCCTCCAGATTGGAATTTTTAGGAATTATGAAAAAATTTTATCTTTGCTATATTGTTTTTATCACCACTAATGATGTTAGAAATGTTTTTCTCTGTTAATGTATAACCAAACGTTACCTATACACTGTATTTTTATGGTAATTAGTCTCAGCCGCACAAAATTTTTATCTGTGCTAATTGCAAATGCGCAGTTTTCATGGACATGAAACAGATCCCCTGCGCATCTTTCAAAGATTCCGATCTGAATTTTTGCATAATAAAAGACATCACTGAAATCAGAATATATTTTATTGCCTAGCCATTCTAACGATACTTACAATTCCTGCCTTCTCATCTGTCGTTCTACCTTTGTTGAGTACGCAGATGCATATTTCAGGTTTTCGAAGCAAAATACCTTGTTTATACACTTGCTTTGTTGCCATAAACCGCGACAACTAGCATACTGCCTCACGAGAGCAGCAGCCATTTTGAATTATGTACCAAATTCGACGAAACGAGGTCAAGAAATTGTTATCAACTCGAGGTCTTGGTTTTAACCACGAATCAACATAATCATCAGCGATCAGCCTTGTATTTCTAATTTCCGCTATCCAAGGGCGTCGGAACCACGGGGGCAGCGGGGACAGCACAGGGGCAGCAAAGTGCCCTTTTGAAGAAATTGATTTTCAAGCAATACTAATTCATATAATTATTTTGAATGCTATTGAAATCTAAGTTTCAAGCATCTCTCGATACCTTCATGCAAGACAAAGGTCAATGTTTTCCATTTTGATGAGAACTGAAAATCGATTTGCCAAAAATTTTGACCACGAAAAGTTGAAAAGTTCTCTTTAACTTCCCTGATCATGCTGAACAGATTTCAGATTGCTACAAACACTGGTTCGCATATATTCGATATATCAGTCAAGGCATCAATGATGTCCTAAACTCAAGCAAAGGCATATGAGCCATGGGGGAACAGTGGGCACGTACCCCCTTTTCCCCCAAAATTTCAGCTTACCTGCTCCTTTTTAGCTCACCGTGTTGCTCTTTTTGCCTACTGCATAACCAAAAAGTGCTCTTGAATATACGAAATAGATGCTATACAAAATGAGCAAAGGGGGCATAGTCGCCAAAATTTGTCTGCTCGCTTCGCTCGCAAAGGGCCAGGGCCACCACTTTCGATTCTGCAACAAGGCCTCCGAAACTTCTCGGTGGCATTACACACAACTAAGCCAGAAAACGATATCTATGTCATGGTTGTCAGCCTTTAGCCTCCCATGATGGTTGATGTTGGGTTAAATGAAATTCCGAGAATGACGTTTGTCTGTAGTCTTGATTCAAATGTATTTTGATGGATGTTCTCCTATTTTCCGAGAATCTTTTAGCGCAGCAATGCAAAATTTCTAGGGTCCCGCTCCAGACCGCCGACCTTCTTTACCTAGAAAGAGTCTTCACCTACAACCAGGCTTCGTCATTGGCTAAACGCCAATTGATACACCCAGGTGCCCTTTCTGCAGTTCCTGCCCCCGCCGCATCATGAAGCTTCCGGCGCCTCTGCCTCTCTCGTACGATTTACAATTATGGGGGTGAGGATCACACCCCTTGAATGTCTATAATACTGCAGAAGAGTTGGTCATGCAATGAAAAATTCAGCGTGAATTGGAAATTTGTTTTTACCAAAATTCAACGTGTACTAAATTTATCATATTGATAATCCTTAATGATAGTCAAATTTCTTTTTTGTAAAATTGCAAATGATCAATTGCAAAATTGCGTTTTCCATTGATCAAGTACTTAAAGTTATCCGTTTCTAGAAGGTAGCATTAAAAAAGATCTTCCATACTGCTACGCATGTCAGTAGTTTAAGGAAGAGTTTGACAGGGAAGAATTGAAATTTCCTCGTCAGATAGAATACGAATTGGGATTAGATTTAATTGATCCAGATAATTCGCTAAAGCAGCCAATAAATTAAAATCTCAAAGATGCAGGTGACTGAATTTTGATTGCAGTGTTCGAATAATCATTCACCAAAGAGGGATTCGCCAAAATTGCCGATAGATTAATTTGTTTCTCTTGTGATAGCTCTGTTTTTTGTCATATGTAAATGTGTAAAAAGTTGGGCAAGAAAAGTTGGTCACTTTGTCTAAACTACTACCCCTCCCCCAAAAAAAGCAAATTGTCCAGGCAGTTCAGTGATGACGATCAGTGTTCACAGAAACAGCCTCCAAGTTGAAAAAACGGCGAATTCAAGAGGATTGATTTCAATTATCATAATCACTATTGCTCTGATGAAGCCCCGTATGCCGGGGCAAAATATTAGCCTTCACTGATTCACATGTATTTGCTGTTGTTCATTCTCGTTGCATTGCGGTGTTTCTTATTTGCTACATTTTTATCAATATTTCGCCGCAATAATTCCTTTGGAGTCCGTAGAGCAGCCTGCTATCGTGACCTTTTCTATATATTCACACATAGGTATAATAGTTTGATGACCTTGTAATGGCCTGGTATGACCACAAGCATTTTTTTGAGGGATTGCCACACATGTTCGATTTTTTCAATTTATTGTAAATTTAATGTATCAAACTATTGAAAATGAAATAAAGTTTAATTAGCGGAGAACATTATCATGTCATTGAAAAAAAAATTTCGAGCAGCATTTTCATCTGCAGGAAACTAGTAAAAATTTGATACAATGATAAACTTTCATTTTAAACGAGGATTTTAACTTTGCTTAGTTGGCTAAAAAGTATATGCTACCGTGATTGTAGCTTTTTTACACAGTGTTAAATGTCTTTCAAATATTCAAAACAACTGATTTACAATTCCTTGAAAAAAAATCGTTTGTCTTCCCAAACTTATTAGGCCTACAGACCCTTGATAGATTAAAATCAGATTAATCTAGCGCTCTACAAAGTTATGATGATTTTCTGATAATTGGACAGGCAAATGCTTCTTCGGCAAAGAGCGACTGCTGCAGAAAGAGAGAAGGAAATGGAATGGAACGAAAAAACGAAACTATCAACAAAAGCCAATATATACAAAGAATTTTCTAAAAAATTTTAAGAAAATCGACCTTTTTATAACTACGATCAAGGCAGGAATTGGTACAAGTAAGACTAAGAATGCCATTTTTGTTCTATTTATAACGGGTAAAGGAATAAGGCGGATTCCCAAGTTTTAAAATCATCATCATTTGACTTGCCCTAAACTGAAGTTATGCACAATATGCTTTTGCTTGAAATTATAAGTTGCATTTCTTGGAAGATCATGTTCATCTGCAAAACCCGAGTCAATCGGAGTACTGCAAGGAAGTGTCCTTGGGCCAGTGCTTTTTCTTAACCTAGCTAGTTAGTGTTTTAGGCACTCCGCTGCTCATGAGTATGCTCTAGAAGAACTTGATTCATTAAAAGTCGTAGCAATCGCTGCATCGTTTTCTGCAACAGCTTCAAAGAAAAATAGTTCATGAAGTTGTAGCAAAAACGTCATGAACACAAAAAGTTTTAAGTTAATAATTTACAAGGAAGAAATGGCCATTTTAAACATTGGGAAGTTTATTGCCACACCCAAACCCCGCCGTGTTTTTTCATTGTTTTTCTGTGGAAGGTTTTCTGAAGAACTTTAAGGTATTGTCTAGAGGAAAGTTAGACTAACCGGACTCTTATAGCAAAAATAGCAAAAAGCAATGAGACTTCTTCATTAGCGACTGCGTTTTTGAAATTCAAGGCAAGTCGCTGTAATAGTAAGAGCGCATTATTGAAGCCTGTCTTGTCTTCGGCGTTATAAGTCAATACTCTTCTTGAAAAAGCACCGTGAAAAGCTGCGCTTCAATGAGGTCACTTGTATTTAAATCTGTCAAGTTAATAGACAACACCCAAAAGCTTCCATTGCTTTATCAATTGGTTTAGCATATTGACATAGGTTAAAAAACCTATGCTCTTGGCGAAGAAATCATATTAAAGTTAAACAAGATCAAGGCTGTTAAACTATTACGTCATAGGATTATGGGCTTGACTTTATCTGTGTGATTATCCCTTAATTCACTATTTCATTTATGTTTCACAGAAGAATATAGAAAAATTATTTGTAAGCTAATTCACTGCAAGTTTTCGACAAACATAGAAATTACTGCATACGTTGATCAAGGGAAAGCTAAGAACGATCATGGCTTTGATATCATAAGAAAAGGTTGTTGCGCCCACAAGCTAGTTTCACGTGGGTCTTTGGACTTATTTGATATTGAGGTAGAATAGATTATTACATGAATTTTTCTAAAAATATCAATAATAATAAAGCGATTATTAGCCATGGTCCTTGGTATTGAAAAAGATTTTGGCATTTAACTTTGCCTTTCAGTTGTTGATCCATTGAAGTCTGCAAACTTATTGTGCTTGTTTGACGCAATGTATTTGCGCGTGGGTCTTGAGAGAGGCAGAGAAATATGCCCCACCCTCTTTCTGATAGTTCATTGGACAGTTAGACTGCTTCACAGTAGGCACAGTACAGACACTAAAGCATTCACAAATGTCTCCTTCAATAGGTTATGTCTGTCAAACTTAAACCCTACAGATGATAAAGTTTAGGCATTATTTTCTAAGTAAGATAGCTTTATAATCCTTTATACTCTATAACTGCAAGGCCCGGTTCAACTCGTATTCATTATTTTCTTTTTACAAGTGCATTAATATTGTCAAAACATGAAATTTCACCAATACTTTCAGCGCCAAAAAATTTCTATACTTTTTTTGCATAAACCACTAAAAGATAACCCTAATGAACAAAGTAACGATAAACGTTCTAGTAGAAACTAATTTAGACTGGTTACATGCTAATTTGTGTTATTAGAAACGCATCCCACGCTGCTCATATATCAAGATGGCCTTACTTCTAGATTAATGCACACGCCTAAGACGATGAATTTCAGTTCCCACATTTTCCAGCAGCATTCCTTGTTTAGAGGGTAAATGCCACACAGACTCACAAGCTAGCGGCATGACAATAAAAACAAATATAAAATTGAATCGTTCCACTTCCCTTCTTACTTCTTTTTGAAAAAAATCGATGACTTTTAAAAACATTTTCATCTTGATAATGGCCTTCCTCTGCTTGTACGTAAAATTTCCGGAGTTATGTTGCAAAAATAAATGTGGTTTTGAGTAAATTTTGCTTGTTTGTTGTACAACCTAAACACTTCATTGTTGACATTTGTGTACAGTTTTCTCTTTCAGACACAAATATCGCTACAAACTTAGCTCAAATTCAAGAACTTGGTGATACATCGATCTCCTTTTACACAAAGCTGATTCCCAGTAAGTGTAAACGGAGGGGCATGTACGTTGGGTCATCTGCGCAATTTATTTTGCAATTAAGAGACAAAGATAACCACCTAAATCAGTGCTTAGAAGATTATACAAAGCTTTCATTCTTTCACTTCTGTACTTGCGCTCTTTCTGGAGGATTTAGCAACAATGATAATATTTTTCTACAGTACAAAGCAAAA